GATTAGAATTGCTCATAATATTTTTAAATGAAAAAATGTACTTTTTTGTTGTGTTCTACATAGGTAAATTGTTCTCATAAATCGTATATTTAAAAGAACAAATATCTGTTTTTTTTCTCGCTTAAATCCCGCTTTGATGTTTGAATGTTATTCTTGTTAGTTCAAGGAATTGGAATGCAACTATGGAATAATTTCGATAAAATACACTGGTGCTCTTTCGTCGTCGGAAATGTGCGAGTTCCGATTCATTAGAGAGCTACTCGCTTCGGCTTATTTTTGCTCTTCATTCTCAGCTTTTAGCTTCCTCTCGGCGACCACAATCCTCTCCCATCTCACACCATTATTATTATTATTATTATTAGAAGCACCGCATTTGGATTGTTGTGTTGTTAACAAATCTGCGTCGACCAATCCATTCCGACCTCATTTATTATGCATTCGACCGATCTATTTCGAGACCCCAATCGTCGCGTTTTCATCGCCGTGTTTCTTGCATTCGATGCCCTTTTTTTTTGTCATCGAGCGTGCAACTTCTCTGTGTTCATTTTCTAATTTTTTCTTGTCGGAAACCAACTTTTTTTTCTTGAAATAATTAGTTTGACAAGCTCACCCATTGCGAGAGTTGGCTCGACGCCGTTTCGTTTTGCTGCTCAAGAGATTTTCGCGCGGCGAATTTCATGCGCGGCGTCGATGATGAGGCGCGTTTCGAAGTATGATCGATCGTATTCGGTGCAGGATTCGTTCGGTAAGATACCATTCGCAAATGAAGTTTCACACATTTCCCTAAATTGCCCGCTAATTTACGGTACGCTAATTGACAGTGTTGCCGTTATCTAAATTGTATCCCCCCCCCCTCGAAAAAAAATAGATGGTCCACAAAAATTCAGGGTACTCGCTTATTTTTATGATAAAATTAGTCATCTTTCATGAGTTTTAAAAAGAAAGTTAGCTTCTTCGGAACTGTTTAAGGTTCAACACATTTTTCCGTGTTTGATTCATTTTTTTCGGTGTATATCAGAGATATCTCAGAAGTTTCTCGCTTTTATCGGGATTACTGTATGTGCTATAAATATTATAGAAGCTCACCGAATAAATTTATGCTTATATTGCTTTGTAGGTGTCCAAAATATTAATTATATAGCTCTCTAAATTCAAAAAATTCAAAAAACTCGAGCAAATAATTTTTATCGATTTGATCGAATAATGAAATCCTTCAGGCAGCAGCGGTTTATCACGACGCGGAACTCAACGAGGATGCAGCCGATCGAAATCGACAAGACGAGGTGAGCCGCAATCGAAAAACCAAAGTACATCGATGAAATTTGAGAAGAGCGTTCTACAAAACGTTTTGACCTTTTTTTTGCAAATTCTCATTATAAGAATTGCAAAGAAATTTTGCGAAAATGCAAACAAACATTTTGGTTTTGCGGATGGCCGATCCGAAACTAAAATATGCATTAGCACTTCAAAAATTGCCCTTTTATACAAATTGCAACAGTAAAAAAAAACAAGAAGCGCCCTTGTTACTGTAATTTGATGTCTGTAGTTTGATTCGCAGGTTGTCGTTACCCGAATTATATTGTTCAAATTGAATTGTGAATCGAACATTTCAATTTGTGGCTTCGTAGACAGTAGTAGATCACATATTTAAAATGTGTAACGTAGTTAGGCTTCTGAAAATAAAACCAGCAACCAAAATCGCACACCCGTCGTTTACTTTGAATTTACTTATAATGATATTTGAAATTGTTGAGTTTATACTGAAGAAATTAGAACGAACTTATGCCGCCATGAATATCACAAAATATTGAGAAAATTCACGGGATCGTACGCTAACTGCAAGGGCGACAAAGGTCTTGTGCCGATTCTCGGAAATGCGAAAAAACAAAAGCAGAGAATAATTATGTACTTTCGAATTAGAAAAGATCCATAATTTTTCTGAAAATTCTCGGGTGTTTGATTTTTCTGCAAAAATGCTCAATCTTGAAGAACGGGCATTCGGAATTTCTTTTTCAATTCCAATAATATGAGATTGCCCTTTATGAGCCTGATGAAGATCCCTAGGATTCGAAAAAGTCAATGAGGGCTCTTTCTGGTTTTTTTTAAGGCCGATTTAATGTGCTCCGCCGCACAATTCAAATTTGTCAAACTCGTTGGTCTCGAAAAAGTATTCAGTTTTTATTTTTGATTTATTGAGAAATTATCTAGCGGAGAATATGAAACCACAAAAAAATAATTGATTTTTCATTGAATTTAGTACATTGTAAATATATTCCAAGAAAATTCTTTGCTTTTTTTTTTGAAAGAGCAAGAAAAAGATTGCCAAATACGTCATTTTCGTTTTCAATTTGCATAATTAATTAGCGAAAAAAAGCACATTTTATTGTTCGTCGCCACTTTTCCAACATCCTCTCATTTTTTTTGCCCTCAATTTTTCTTTCTCAAATTTCTTTCGTTGTTGTTGTTTTTAGACGATTGCATTAACCATCTAGATGCCGAATAATTACGCTAATTTATTCGCATGATATTTAGTTATTGCTTCGGCCGAAATGCATCCGTCCATCCTTTCTTGATTATTAAGTTATTCGGTCGACTAGTGTGTAAATAAGCTACAAAAAAATGGCAACGAATATGGGAATCGAAAGGCTTTAGGCAGTTTCTTGTGTCATTATTCATTTTTTCTTTTTCCTCCTCTTTTTTTTATTCTCCTTCCTCCTAAAATTCGGCTTCTGTCTTCATGGCGACGATGGACAGAACAAATTTTTGAAAAACGAGCACCGTGTGTGTAGTGAGCTTGAATATCCACATGCGAAATCGCAAAGATGAAATTCAAATTTAAAACTTTAAAAAAATCGTAGAATTACTCAAGGTGCTTTTTTTCGACGGTAATATTTATTTGCTTGTAGTTTTTTGAAAGCTTGATGATTCAATTTCTGTCAATTTCCACCCCCCCCCATATTTGGTTATTCAATAAAACGTGAGGCTCCTTGGACAAGGCTCGATGTGAGAACTCGCTGTTTCTTTGCAATTTGAGATCGTTTGAACAACAACGCTTTCTAGATACTCAGCTTGCCGAGAAGTCGGAATTGTCTTGAACGCAAGGATCACTTTTAGACTATTTCGAAATATCCAAACTGGAAGAAAGATTTGTTGATTTAAAGGAGCATTCAGTGTTTTGAAGATGCCTGAAAATCCACCACCAACCAAATCGAATTTTTGCTCATTCGTGAGCAAATTCTCGGCCCCGCCCACTTCCCTCCCTATCGTTGAATTTCAAGCATTATGACGCAAAAATGAGTCAAGAAAAAACAAACCCAAAAAAAAATTGGCTCTTTATTTCAATTTCCTTATTCGTCTTTTGCCACAACAAATTACTTATTCCTCAATGCTTCAGCTTCTTCTTCTTTTTCGTCATATATTGTTCGTCGCAAAGATGATCCATATAAGGAATTTCCAGAACAAAAAAAAAATACAAAGTCCAGAATTTCTGATTTCCGATTTCTTTTAGAATTTGCATAAACGCGTCTCCCTAAATTTGGTTCTCCCAAATTACAGGGTGTCATTTAAGATCCCGCACAAAAGTTAGACGCCATGAAAAGCTTGGCTGTCGCACTTTTCGTGCACCAATACAATTTATTTTTGTTAAATAAGGTGTATTTTACTTACTTTTCAAGTTTCACTTCATTCGGATGTGTTTCCGAGAAATGGCGAAGGCTAACATTCATCGCGCTTCCATTATCGAACTTCATAAGCGAAATGAGCGCCCGACAGAGATCATTCAACGCCTCGGTGTGCCTCGTAGAACGGTTTAAGACACCAACAAACGTTTCAAGGAGCTAAATACGACTAGTGACCTTCCCAGACAAGGAAGACTCGTCTCAGTAACCACTCCTCAGAAGATCAACGCCGTCAAAACGAGGATCAGGCGAAAACCGCACAGGAGCATAAGAAAGATGGCGTCAGACATGGGAATGAGCATCTTCGCTATGGAACAAATCGTCAAAACAAAGCTTGTACTGACCCCATATCGTGTCCAAAAAGTGGCAATTCTATCGGCCGTCAACAAGCAGAGACGCTTCGAAAAAGCAAAACAACTTTTTGCTCGCACGCGGTCTGGAGAACACCTCGCCACTGTCTTCTCCGACGAGAAGCTGTTCACTGTGGAGGCGGCATTCAACTCACAAAACCATTGAGTACTTGCCCAGACATCCCAGCAAGCTTCAGAGAAAGGAATAACAATTTATCCAGCCTCACATCCTGCCAGTGTGATTGTTTTCGGTGCCATCTGCTCAACCGGGAAGTGCCCCTGGTTTTCGTGGATCAGGTGGTGAAAGTGAACAAAGAAGTCTACGTTCGGGACATTTTGGGGAAGCATATGATGCCCTGGGCCCAAACGCATTTCGGTGGGAAGATATGGGTCTTTCAACAGGACGGAGCACCCGCCCCTACTGCCAAAACTACTCAGGAGTGGTGCCAGACCCATTTTCCCGACTTCATCAAGTCATCCGAATAGCCTGCTTGCTCCCCAGACCTGAACCCGCTTGACTTCTCCGTGATGGGGTCTTGCAGGAGAAGGTCAACGCAAAACCCCACTCAAGTGTAGAGGCTCTGAAGAAGACATTACTGGCGGAATGGGACAATCTTTCCATCGAATACCTGCGTACCACAGTCACATCCTACCCGAAGCGTCTCCGCGAAGTCATAGCTGCGAAAAGAGGCCGAATCGAAAAGAGTTAATAGATAATTATTTGTTGTACTATAGATAAAAAATATTTCGAGTCTCGTTTGATTTGGACTTTTAGTTTCAGAAATATACGTCTTCAAAGTTGTGCGGGAACTTAAATGACACCCTGTAGGCTTCCTCTTCTTTTCTTATCTCGGCGCAGCCAAAAAAAAGCGCGTACTTCGCTTTCCGGAGCCCTCGTCAGAAGAAAAAAAAGAAAAAAAAAACATTTGCGTTGTCACTCGCCGATTTTGAGAATCGCGTGCCGCATTTACAGATGAATTCGCGAAAGTCGAGCATCGTTTCGATTCGGTCCAACACATCCTATGGTAAGATCATTGAAAATTCTTGAAATTGTCGACTCGTGTGTTTTTTTTTCTCGGTCGAATTATAGGCAAAAATTGTCCGCAGATCAAATGCGACATGAGTTGTTGAAATTCACAAAAAATTTTTCAGGAAATGTCGGCACCATCTCATCGTTGACATTCAGCCAGAAGCAGGCGCTCACCGTCTCATGGCGTCTTCTCAAACCGCAATCATCGGCGTGCTTCCGCAAAATTTTTCTCGAGCTTGAGGTAGCTTCACCGAAAGTCAAACAGGTTTATTAAAGCGGTAGATCAAATTCCATTTGCGTTCGGCTTTTTTGAAGATTTTCTATAAAGCTGCATTGGTTGATGCTTTCAACAAGGATGAGGAGAACAGTGCTACGCTTGAAGTCCATATCAAGCTCACTGTCAAGTAAGACACTTTTGGTTTGAACTACCAGTCGGATTGCTATCAGATTCATCGACGATGTGCTCTCCTCATTGGACGATGAAAATGAGTTTGTGCGAAAGATTCGCGCGATGGGACAAATCCACGCGGTGCTCTCACGCAGCTGCAACTTCTCGGCGGTCATTTGGGAACGTCTCGGCGAGATTGCGATGGAGCGCATTTGCACGCACGAGACAGTGCAGGTATTGCGCAAAAATCGTCCGCATTCCAACGGCCGTGTTGCGATTTCAGAAGACGAGAGAGGCGTCGAAAGCGTGGCGGACGTTGATCGCGATTCTCATCGACGAGCTTCGCGGGGGTTTCGAGTTTGAGCTGCGACAGCATAGGTAACACATTCGCATATCGCGTTCGCTCAAGAGAAATGAATTCAGAAAGAACTCATCAACGGATCAGATCGATAAGAACAATGGTGAAGACGATGAGGATCTTCATACGAAGCTTCAACAACTCCGCATGGATTTCGATAATACTATGCCTTATCGCTGACTGATATAATGTTGTGATATTGAGACGATCTTGTAAATATGTAGTTCTCAAGCTTCTTTATTTTGAAACATTTGATCCTGATTGGCCATATCGCTAATAAAATGCTTTATTCGAATGATGATAGTGATTAATTATTGAGGACACGAATTGCACGTTTTTGGGCAAATCCTAAAATGTTACTATTTTTTAAAAGCATTTTCTCTCGGTGGACTATTTTACTTCTTATAGTAAGATCCTAACATCAGGTTATCGCAATAAATGGCATTTTCTTCGCAGTTCGCGTTCGGATCATCCTCACATGGTGGCACCGTACAGAATTTGCAGGTACGACGGCACATTCTGAAGATTTCGGTTCATTCAATCGCCCATTTGGCAAGATTTTACCTTTTCATGTAGTCCTCATAAATCGGATTATTGCATTCATTGATATATGCCTCACATTTGGCTTTTGGATCGTCGACGCATGGATTTACTGGGCACTGATTGCAAGTTACTGGGCAATAGCTGGAAGAATTTAACGAATGCTGAATGAGAGTGGCGTGGGAAACTAACAATCTTGTATAGGTTTCCATCATCATAGCGTCGCAATCTTTGGCCATCGCCTTGCAATCCTTTTCCGGATCATCTAAGCAGTATGGATCAGGGCATGAATTGCAAGTTATTGGACACGCTTTTTGAGTGGCTGGACCAAACAAAAAATGCTCGCAATCCTTGGCTCGAGCCGCACAGTTTGCATCTGGATCATCATTACAAGTAGCGCTCGGACAAGCGTTGCAAGTCACTGGGCATTGCCTAAATTTGTCCATGAACAAAAACATACATATGCTATTTGGGATACTGTTGAACGTAGTGTCCAATCATTGGATCATGGCAATCGTTTAACTTCTGCGCGCAGTTTGCATTCGGATCGTCCAGACACGGCGGCATTCGACAAACGTGACACGTCTCGGGGCACATTCTGAATATTGTAATTACAAAACAAATTTGTATATGACTCTGAGCTTTTACGATTTCAATGGCGCCATCACGTTATTACAATCATCACTGGAATACGCAGAGCAGTTAACTATTGGATCATTATTGCATGGATAGCGTGGACAATCATTGCAGGTTTGCGGGCAGAGTCTAAAAAAAACCTGAGAATTATTATGTGAGCGACAAGCCATTTACTTTCTGATGTATTGTCCTATCATTAGATTCTGGCAGTCTTTCGCCTTCTCAGTACAATTTGCCGTCGGATCATCGGCGCACGTTAAATCTAAAATTTTTTTGATGACGCGTCGCATTGATTGTGGTCCCGTTAAACATACCGTAAGCATATAAAGTAGTGGCTGCAAAAAAAGTTTTCATTTTATTATAAAATAATGAAATAAATGCCTACCCAAAAGAGCAACGAACAACGCTGATTTGAATATCATTGTGATACGCCTCTCCGCCATCCATTTCCCATTTTTATACACCCGATTTTTATGAGCATTGTGTGGGCTGAATTTTTGCGATAAGCCTTCTTGATGTCGGCAGCTTCGCGAGTTCTTCAAAAATATGAAAAGATCAAAAACTGAGGCACGTTTTTCAACGACACCGCAGAACATGCGAGGTGCTGATAACCGAAATTATTAAGAACGCTAAAATGTGACGCAAAAAAAAATCGCGGCGTGTAGGCGGAAGATGGATTTACGTCATACAGTTTTGAGAATCACAAAACGCATTCGCTTCGATAATGATTTTTCGAGCACGAGATGCGAGCAAACTAATTTTTGAAAGAGAAAAATTTAAAAAGCAAGTATAGTCGGCGTCCGGCGACTGTTGTACGCGGGTAGATTTACGGGAATGCGTCTTTCGAAATGGTCTCGCAAGGACTAACAGGTTATTTCAAATTTTATGGAGACCGGTTCGATAATTTATCAATCAAATGACGTTAGAAATTCAAGGAAATGCGAAACTCATCAAGAAAAATGAAGCAGTTCACGTGAAAACAGCAAAATAAGGATTTACGCGTAGCGAGACCTTTTCAAGGCGCATGCGCGTATATCTACCCGCGTACAGCAGTCGCCGGACGCCGACTATAAGAGAATTGAACGAATGCTGTTTGTATTTATTGAGAATCAAACTATTTTCGAAGACGCCCTAAATTTGCAATATACAGTGCGCTGCAGAATTATAAGGCCACCCCCCAAATTTGAACGCCGTGCAATGATCTCGATATTTTGAGACCAACCAGTGTGAAAATCGTGTTCAGCAGGAAAATTACCTATAATTTTTATGCCAGTATCTTAAAAAGTAATGGCCAAAAAAACCGTTTTTAGGGCGGTGCAGAATTAGAAAGCCACCATAAGAAACTAGATAAAAATTAATAATTATGTGTGGACCCTCTATAGGAATCATTAATTTTTTTTAGAAGAACTGAATTTGTTTCTTAAATGGAAATCTATTTCTGAATGAATTTGCCAATAATTTTTTTAGGTGGACATCTGCACTAAATAAAATAGAATCTAATGGGGTTCCAATGACTGGCGGAAGATTGAAAGGAATTTTTCGGGATCATCAATATTAGTTAACATATATTATCATTTATTTCCCGAAAACTGAATCCCATAAAATGTGATTGATGATTGAATAGCCGGCCAAACATGCTTAAATATTAAGATATGATCGCGCGCCGCCGGCAAAAGACTCGACAATTGTGCGATGTGATGAATGGCTACGAACAACAATTGCCACAACATACAAACGAGCGACCCCCGAGAGAAAATAGACTACACATAATTACAGGCGGTTCGAATTTTCGAAGGCGAAAATCGCGCGGTTATTTGAATACATTGGCTAGAAGGCGTCGGTTAATAACCCGGTTTGGTCGCCAAAGTGGTCAAGCGCTCAAAGGGATAAGCTGGATTGACCGACGCCATCGACGACGACGACGGCGAGAAACGAGAATTTCGATTGAGGCGATTCTGATGCGGCGAACTTCACTCGCTCAATTCACTCATTTTCTCATATCCGTTCTGCGCACTTTCATTCTGAATCAGTTTTTCCGAATTTCCTGTCATTTATTTTGTTCTGTATTAAAAAATTCTATATTGGTTTTGAACAATCCGCAAATTTTATAAATCAATTTGGGCTACATAGGTCTCTTTAAAAAAAAAAGGAATATTTAAAAATGTGTTTAATTTTTTTTGTTTTAAGACCATTTTTACCTCCAAAAAAGCAGATTTTGTTAATTTTTATTCTTCAAGCTTTAAAGATCTGAGTAAAATCACTGAAATTTCAATTCCACCAGTCGCTGATTGCTAATTTGATAACGATGTGAATCTATCGAAAGCATAACATTGACTAAATTGGATCGGACTCGAATTTTGACCTTAATAGGACAAAATTTTTTCAAACAAACAAATTGCGAAAAATTTTCAGATCGGCTTTCTTTATTTATAAAAGTTGATGTTTTCAATTCAAAACACCATTTTTATTACAAATGTTTTGTTCGGATTTTCCATGTAAAACCCATTGGAATCACACGACAACGAAATTTCGCGATTTCTTTTTACATAACAAAAGGTAATGGTGTACAGTACAATAAAGCACTCAGGCGTACACATATACTAATTTATGCATTAATTTTGATCTTTTCAAGTGCAACATGACCTTAATTAGCCTCGATTTTCATTCATTTGTGTTATGCAAATGCGTTTATTCAACATTTTCTGGAAGGAGGTTGGGCTGACAATGGCAAACTTGATTTTCGGGCGTCACTTTGCTGGACGAAAACTGTATAATAGTCGGTTCGGGGGGGACCCATATCACACACATTTGGTGGATTTACCTCGTATTCAAGTCTCCCTCCTCCTTATATGCATCGTCGTGTCAACCCGATGAGACGTTTGTCGACGGGGCATAAGCCGGTTTCACACGCGCCTTCATCACATCGCTTCTTCCATGTCGCCCCAGCCCCTCGAAAAAATGTTGCGGTACATTCGCACTCCTTTTACGATTGTATTCTTATTACTATTGTTAATTTATTTATTTCAAACCTTTTTTTTTCTTATTTGGTATTTTTTAGACATGCGCCTTATCGGTTTATTGCTGTTGAGTGTTCCATTGATTTGCGGACAGTTCACGTCGCAGACATATCCAGATCCGCGGCTTGATCCCTTGTCGTGCCGTTTGGCACTTCCCTCGCAAGTTTGTGATCCGAGTGCGATAGTATCCGATGAGGAAAGAACACGATTAGTGCAAAGGATCAACCAGGTTGCGTTTTTCGACAATGTTGGATCATATGGCAGAGATTGGAACGCCATATTGGTTTCTACAATGGAAAAATTTTGAAGAATTAAAATTTACATTGAAAAATATTTGAAAAGCTATCGAAAACTCCCCGAAGACTCCGACTTTGATTTGGTTCCACAGACAGGCAGACACGATTGTTGTTTTTCATTAATAGTTGTTTCAGCTTCATGGTGTGACCTCAAGCATTCGCAACACATCTCCAGCATGCTCTCTTTCGCCCGACAAAAATCTCGAGGTTTTTCATGCAATACATTGTTGAATTTTTCCAATGTGTGCTCTTTTTTTCTTCTAGATTATTGTTGCTATAATCGACAAAATCGGAAGTGTTCCCGGCGTGCCAATTGACATCGAGAAATTCGCCAACAATCTCAAACGTCGCTATCAGAATTTCCAAGATATTGGAATGTGCGACACGACGGTGCTCATTGTGAACTCGCGACAAGATCGGCAGGTGTTCACGGTTGCCGGAAGAGACGCCAAGATTTCCAAGGAAATTCTGAAAAATGCATTCGAGAGAAATATTGGTAAATTAAAGAAAATAGTACGTATGCCAGTTGGCCATTAATGAATTCTACAGGACACTTCAAGACAGGAAGATATGCTTTGGGACTTGAAGGAATGATAGAGGTTATTGTGGCCGCATACTCAAATGCTCATATCGTCCAAGTGCCAACCCCAGAAATCTTCAAGCCATCGAGGTGTGGATTTTTTTTTAACAAAAATATACTCAGAAAAAATGTAGGAAAATGAAATACGGAACGACATTAGGATTTTTTAACGTTTTAAATAGGTTTTCAAGGTTAACGTGACGGGACCATAAATTTTGGCATACGTGCGCCTTTAATTCTTCTGTAGTTTTTAGTCTAATTTTTTTATTTCTAACCTAAAGCTCATTTTTAACACGTTTCAATCGAATTTTCATACGAACCTTCCAAACTAATGTATATCTAGTTTTTCTGATTTTTCAGCTTCGTCCAACCACCGTCCACCATTGAATCGCAATCATTCCGTGCCGCCGGTATTCCAAACAGCGTCCAACCAGTTAAACGCCCATTCGCCGCTCTTCAAACCGAAACTGTTGAAGAGGATGACAAGATTTGGGTGTCCATTCTGCAACAAGCAATGTCGAGATGCGGAAAAAATGAAGCCGATCTTCCAAGACACGTGAGAGCCGTTGTTGAAGGTGAGAAACTTTCAAAAATTGTTCCTTCATGATTTATTATTATTCAGAAGCTATGAACATCTCCCTAAAACTGATTTCTGATTCGAGATACAACAAAATCGAGGAAGAATCTGAAGAGCATAAAGATGTGCTGGATAGTCGACAAACGTAGGAAATTTTACTTCTGATTCTATCCAATTGGAGCTTTTTTTCAGAGCATGGGAATCTGCTTCACGCGACTTCATCCGTCCACTGTTTGCGAAATACCGCAACACAATCCTCTCAGGAGCCTCACAAACTTGTCCAGCTACTCCAGGAGTCTCGAGAAGAAAGCGAGTTCACGTTTAGATTTCAAATTGTTCGTTCAATTCTCAATTTGACGGGTTCTCATTTACGTTCTTTCAATAAATTTGATAATAAGAAGCGAATTGTTTCAGTTTCTGTAGTGATTAAAAGACATTGTCCAACTAAATTTCTCTCATATTCAGAAATTCAGTTTCTTTTATTCGTGTGTACTTTATCATGTAATTTTTTTGCAAAATCAAGCGTTTTTTATCATCATCATCATGACAAGAAAGAATATTTGAACAAGGAAGATACTAAATCGTCATCTTCAATCCATCATCATCCTTGTAAAGTGATGGACCCAAATTGGCAGTGCTACTTAAAGAAAGAACACAAGTTCAAATGATTCTGCATAATCTTACGTCTGCGAGTCCGTAGTCGAGCCGATTTCAATCGCCGTTGCAACGTCTTTCGACGATCTGATTAGAATCGATAAATAGTTTGAAGTTTATAAATTTAAAAAAAAACCTTTTGGCTTCAAAATCGGTAGCCGTGTAAACATTTTGAGAAGATCTGAAAAACGCACGACTTCGAAATTTTGATTTGTCTGAAAATTACCCGCTTCTCGCGATTTCGATAGCAGTTTTGACATCTTGAGATGATCTTAAACGATCGATAATAATAATTATAGTAATAATATGAAAGTTATACCTGATAGCGCTTAAAATTTCTTTAGCTGTTTGAACGTCATCAGAAGATCTGAAAAATATTGAATATTGTGAAACTTCGAAGAATCCATTATGCATTTACTTGATCGACGAGAGAATCTCTTTGGCAGTTTGAACGTCTTGAGACGACCTAAAACAAATATTCTCCGTTTGAATCTCTCGAAGACCTACTTGATCGATGACAATAGCTCAACAGCCGTGTTCACATCTTTCGACGACATCTGACTCGCGCCGAGCGCAGTTTCCACATCGCTCGTTGGAGCGGTGAACTCGATGCACGTCGACACATCGGTCGATGGTTTTCCGCTGACAGAGCTCGTCGAAGCCGACGCCGCCGTTTTGGTGCTCAGCAAATTCGGCTCCGGCGTCTGAGCCGTTTGGATTCCGGGACTCTGCGCTTGGAATATCTGCGTCGCAAGTCCCGGACTCTTTGCCGAGTGAACGGTGAGAAGGTTGGGCTCCAAAGAGTTCGCCGTGTGAGTGCTCAGAAGATTCGGCTCCAGCGGCTGAGCAGTGTTAATTCCAGGGCTCTGCGCCTGGAAGATCTGCGTCGCCAATCCGGGACTCTTCGCCGAATGGACGGTAAGCAAGTTGGGCTCGACAGAGTTGGCAGTTCGAGTGCTCAACAGATTCGGCTCAGGAGATTGTGCGGTGAGCAAATTGGTTGATGACGCCGATTCGCGAGCAGTCTTCAGCTGAGCGATCTCAGCCTCCGACAGTTTGTTCTGTTTGGCGAACTCGCGCTCCAATCGCTCACAAGTAGCTGGTCCAAGGAGCTGCACGAGCTGCGCAAATGTGAACTTGACCTTTGACAGATCGACGCCTTCTTTCAACTGGCCACCAGAAGCCTGAAAATTTTGCGTAAAGACAAAAACACGCTCTCGCGAGATTCCTCATGACACGTAATCATGTTCTACGAATTACCTGAAGGTTAGGATTCGAAGTGCTTCCTTCGACGGCTGTCTTCGTATCAGCTTCACCATGTGTTGTGAAGTACACCTTTCCATTGACAATCTGTGGCACCACGACCGCATTATCCAAAGATTCGATTTGGGTTCGGAGCTCTTTGGCGCTCACCGGAGCCGCCACCAATAAAGGACGGTGTGGGGCATCACGAGAAATATTCGGATTCTCTTCCGCCTGCTTCTGCAACGATCGGAGAATGTATTCCGAATCGACACCTTTGAGTTCAGCGTTCTTCTCGAGCGGCTTCTTGTTTAATGTCTCTAAAACGTATTGCGATTTCTCGCCTTTCAAATTCTCTGCAATTCGGCGAATCATCTTCCACTGGCTCTTTTGAGCAACTCACGACTCAATGCTTCCTCATACTTTTCGATCAAGTAAGCGCTGACTTGTTTCTGGGTTTCCATTGGAAGATCGCCTCCTCGACAGATTGGAGTTGGAATTTTCTTTTGAAATGCCACTATCGCGTTTTGCGACGCGTCACGCCAAATTAGGCAATTTTGCATGTGAGCAAAAACGGTGTTCGAATTAGGTTCACGCTTCGCTTATACGCTATATATGCAAATTTGGGTGTAACGCGAAAAAGTTGTAAGTTTCGCGGGTGTCATGTTCAGCTCACAAACTAGTATTGAAACGAAAGGAGAAGAAGTCGAAGAGGAAGAAGAGAAACCAACAGGTAGCTTCAGTTATTTTTCGCTTTCATATTGTGTTCCATCGATTTTGAAGTGACTAACTTAATTGATAATATTTCAGTCGAGCCTACACCAATTGTTGAGCTTGATGATCAGACTGCTGCTGCAACCGAAGCTCTGAAAATTCGGGGAAAAAAGATGGCGCAGGTTGTCTCGAGCTTTGAATAATCTTCATACCTTCGATTTAGAGCCTTCGACCTCGCACGAGTCCTTATAAGAACAATGCGGATGATGAAGATCGTTCGGGATCGCCTGATTCGATTGCTGCAACATACACTATTCGAGATAATCGGACCGAACGGCAGACACGGATTAAGCTCGAAAGTCTCGAACGACGATTGAGGGCTAATGAGAAATCGAGAAAAGAAATCGAATTGGAAGTGGAGAAGTGGAGGAGATTGGCGGAGCGCAACTCCAAAAGACTTCCCGAATTGGAAATTGAGCTTGCTGAAGCGACGCAGGCTCGTGATGAATGGATGGCGAAGAGTCAGGAGTTGGAGGTGCTCATCACACAGCTGACACAAGAGCGGGATGAGCTGCAGAAGAGGTTGGATGAGATGGAGGATCGGGTTGATGGATTCTCAAGAAAAATTTCCGTGCTGATGGATGTCGGGGAAGAGCCGAAAGATTTAGAAGGCGTCGAGAAAGAGGTTCTCAAAAAATTAATATCTAATTATTATTAGTATTCAATGATTTGCTAGATATCGAACAATTTGGAGAAGATCGGGCAGCTTGAAAAAGAGAATATGGAATTGAAAGATGCTGTGCAAATGGTAATAAGTTAATGCTAAAAAATATGCTCAATCGTCAATTTTCAGCTTTCATCGAAACTCACAACAAATCAAGATAATGTGTCAACTCTAATGAATCAATTGGAATCGAGCAAAATTCAGAGTTCAGAGATTCACGGAATCTGCCGAAAAGAGCTTGAGATTCGGCAGGAGCATGAGCATCGCATTAATCATGACGTCACCATTTTGAATTCGACAGTGAACGAGCAGAAGCATGAGCTCGAAATGCTGAAATCCGAGATCAGATGTCTTCGATCGTATTCGCAGGAAATGAGCAATTCGAATCGAAATAATATCATTTTGCTCAAAGCTGCTGAAACCGAAAGGAGAAGCTTTTTAGTTAGATGTTTTGTGTTTTAATTGAAACAACGGAATTCTGAAATTCAGGAGACTCTTGTCGTTTTATTGAATGAAAATATCGAAGCAACCGAAAATGATATCAAAAAAACCATAAGGTATAATAATTTATAGTTAATAGGATCATATTGGTGTATGATTTCCAGAGATCTTGTACGTGCCAAAAATTCCGAACAGACGAAGCGACTTGAAGCTGAAAAGAAGGCGGCGAATGCTGAAGCGATTCTTCTTGATCAGGCCAAAAATCAAAGAAGTGCTCTATTTCGAGCGAGGTTCTAGAAATCTCAGTTTTGAGAAGCTTCACCTTCAATCATTCCAGACTATCTGAAGAAGAGTACGCAAAAGCTGAGGAGAAGATTGCCGAGCTTGAGCAAGAGCTGCTGGCGAGCGATTTGGAGCGAAAGAATCTTGAGCATCAAATTTCGAATCTTGATAATTGTGTTGCGAAAGTCTCACAACTTCTCGACGTTCCTTCGACACTTGGAGGCGTCTTCGATGGAATTTTTGAAAGGATTGAATACCTTCTGCAACAAGAAGCAATTCATAAGCTAGTATTGAATGAGAATAGGCTGATTGTACAATTTTACACACTCTTGCATGTATAGCATTCGAATTATTTTCAGTCGGACGGAATTATTCGAAGTCTGCAAGGTGTCAAAAAAGAGCTAAGCGGTTCGGAGAAGAAAGGTTTGAAAACGTTGAACATTGTGGAAAAGCTCAACAAAGACTTTTTGACAACGGTGACGATTGAGACATTGAAAGCAGCAGATCTGGAAAAGCATACGATGAAAGTATTGAAGCGATTCATTCTCGCAAAAAATGTTCTTCATTTTAGAAGAAAATGAGCGAGCAGGAGCAAAAAATTCGGCAACTCGAACGCGAAAAAAAAGAAGGCGAAAGGATTCGATCGATTATTGCAAAATGGGAAAAACGGCAGAATCCCAAAGACGGTGTCAAAGTAGGCTCGCCGTTTAATTTTCGATGTATTGTAATGTTGAATTGGATTCAGAAGGCGTTCAGATCAACACCATCCATAGATCACGTCCGCACGAAATCTCAGACTTCGATGTCCGCAACATCTCAAACATAAATTTAAATAATCAATTATTCGAATTATCACAATCAAAATAAATATACACAAATTAGTATAGTTGTACGTCCGACGACTGCTGTACGCGGGTAGATTTACGGGGATGCTTCTTTCTCTTGGTCTCGCGCGGAATAACTGGGATCTTGCATTTTATTGATTGGTTCGGTAATTTTTAAAATTACCGAACCAATCTTAGGAAAGCCAAACATATCAAGAAAAAATAAATCGTTCACATGAAAAAAAAGCGTACACACGTGGCGAGACCTTTTCAAGGCGCATGCCCGTAAATCTACCCGCGTACAGAAGTCGCAGAACGCCTACTATAACTTCCTTGTTTTATAATATGCCATAATCAGAAGATCAGAAGCCAGGGTCCGAAAAGCTTGGGGTGCTGTGGTTTGGCCCAACAGGCAAAGAAAGAACCAACCAATGGTAAGCAGAAATTGATTAGAATTAAAATAAATGTACACTAATTAGTATTTTTGCAACTTCCTTGTTCTATAATAAGCCATCATCATCTGTCAACCATCTGTGCATGCGTCACCGTGTGTCTCTTCGTCGAGAGACCACGCGATTCGAAGAGTCCGCCGACAGCTGGCATCTCTCCAACAGCTCATTGTGCGACATGTTTTTTTTTCATTTTTTGTTTGCTGCGAAACAGCTGCTTTTTGCTATCAATTGAACCAAGTCAATATTGTACTCAAAAAAATATATGTTGCGTGAAATTCAAGAAAATACATTGCTCATCAAGAGAAAAGAAGAGCTCAAAGAGAGCCCACTCATTTGTCGGACCGCTTCTGCAAAAACTTTCCATTTACGGTCACCAATCGAATTTATTTTTGAAAACGCATATGTTCACATAGTCAAGGTCAACATTTTATACTAGTATTTGCCCTCATCAGGCATTTTTTTTTCCTACACACACACTCTCTCTCTCTCTCTCTTTCTGATTCGCTTTTCTATTTTTTCTACATGAGACGTTTTGGACGTTTGGCCTCATCGGCGAGGGCAAACTCATGACACTTGAGTGAGAAAGCGCCGCCCTCTCGTTTCAAACGGGGGGATTCCCCGCACGAATCGATTCGAAGATCATTGCTATCCAAAATTTCAGCAACGCCGTTGGAAATGTTTCCGTTCGAGCAACTGCCCGTTGAGATGCGAGTCGAAATTCTAAAAAGGGTAGGCGTTTTTTTTCGTGTCTATTATTTTCAAGTATTTTTCGTTGTTTTTTTTTGCTTTTTTTCACGTATTTTCGCAAATGGATCATGTGTAAAGTTCAAACAATCAATATGCTTCCCACTAGGGGATTCCCTCCACCGAAATCATGTTTCCCATAGTTGAGATTTCAGACCGAATTCCGAACGGTGCAATCGATGAGGAGGGTCTCGAAAGGAATGGATAGTTGCATTCATTCATTTCGAAAATATATGCGGCCAATGGAAATTTTTCAAATGCTTGTCACAACGGTAGGAATTCAAAATTCTGAATTTCAAATGTATGGAAATTTTTGATATTATGCTGCCAGATTAACACGGCTGATCGTCGGCATCGTGTGACTGCTGTACGTTGGTAGATTTACGAACAAGCCATTTTGAAATGCCAAAGAAAAAATATTTTCGCGTGGCGAGACCATCGCGTAACGCGCACCCGTAAATCTACACGCGTATAGCAGTCACCGTGTTTCACTACAATGATGATAAGTTAAGAGCAAAATATGTTAATAGTACGAAAATGAAAGTAGATAATTATGGTAGTATGCAGATTGTTGAAAAAAAAAAGTTTTCTTCCCAATATCTTTAAAGCACCAGAAAATGTTTTTTTCAACTGCAAAATTTGACCAATTTGGTTGTACAAAAATCTTCCCATGAGTTCCTACTAAAGTTATTATCATATGCCAATTATATCATTGCCGGTTTCAATCGACTGACCGAAATGAAATGAAAAAATATTGCTACGTGCCGTGATGTCACGAGGCAAAATGATGGGCGCTTGTCGTAGTATACGGGCATTTCATAATTAGCCAACGTGTAAATTTACAAATTTGTTAATCTATTACAAAAAACGAGCACCCTGCGCCGATTTATAGTAAGTTAGCTTCGCAGGTTATCCAGAGTACGGTGTCAAAATTCCCCTCAAAATCGAATTTGAATTGCCGCTCCGAAAAAGTGCGATGGTCCACAATTACGCAAGGCGATCGTTTTTTTTTGTGATGGTGCATTAAATTATTGAAAATGAGGCCAATTATTAATTATTTGACTCCGACAAAAATTTCTTTAAAAAAAAATGAAACGCTTTGAAACGACAAAATGACAGTTTGGAGTCAGTAATTTATTGCGAAAAACCGTTCGATGAAAAATTTAACATCAATGTTCAGAATATGGTGTTTTACCACATGAAAACAGTTTGAAATAGATTTAAAAATCATGAAAAAAAAAGAAACTGCTACAATACTTTTTTTGCAGGAGAAAATCTGTTTCACCCTTGCAAACGCGTTCGAAATCTGCTCGGTGAGCCATGAAGACGCCAAATATTTTTTCCATTCGGCGTTTGTCGAAACCCTTTGGATTGAAATGGGCGGCAGCGAGTTGGAGCCGTTTGAATTTATTACGACAATTCTTCCAAAAACGCTGAAAGTGGAATTTTTGAAGTTGGGAGGGTCTCGAACGGAATGTGATATTTCAAAAATGACTGCATTTATGGACGATATACGCTGTAAAAACTTGATCATTGAGTACAGATTCTGCCTTCCAGTTGATTTTTTCAAGACATTCCCTCTTTCCAAGGTATTATATTCCGAGGTTTTCTCAATTTTTCATATCCAATTTCCAGCTCGAAGGTATTACAATTGGAGAAGAACGATCCCATCACAATTATGAGCGATGGTCGGTAGATTGCTTCAAGAAATTTAAAGGCACATGGCTCGAAATCGGGCAAAACCAACTCACTCCCAGCAATATTCTTCAAATTGTCCAGGTTTCGCTTCATTTTCCAGTTGAAACATTCATATATCTGTTTTAGGATTGGAAGTCTTTCGAAATTTCGAAAATTGTCATGTATAATATTGTCTTGAGTTTTCCGATTCGATCAGTCGCTGAATCTTTGCGCAACACAACTGTACAAATCACACCAATTCGATGGAAAGCATTTAGGCGACGAGAAAATGAAGAGAATTCGGAAACATTGGAAATTATTTGCTACCCAGTAACTAAATTTGTCCGATTGCCTTCAATTGTTTTCAAACAACATTGAGCGTGTAATTGTTAATAACAAAGTAATAATACACATACGTTTGGCTTTACTCAAAGGTTTTTTTTCCATTGATTACTGTATCTGCATGCTTCTGTAAACATCTAAGCGTATATCTGCACAACTGTGTGGATTTAATTTTTCCACGTTTAATTTTTTTTTTCATCGACAACAAATAAACATGAAATTTCTCAATGGTTTTGTTTTAAAACAACCAATTTATTTCAAAAAAGACGAAATAATTCGGATGTGATCCTTAATTTCTTGTCGCGAGATCGAAATCGGCCTCGAGGCCGAGCTCGTCCGTGCCAAATTGTCTGTTAGCATCTTGATTTCCTCCCAAATTTCCTCTTGAGGTTTTTCAATTAGTTTTGGCATATCTCCAGAAGCATTGTGGAGGAATGAAGACGTCGTTTGTTTGGAAACTCTTTTTGAGACGTTGGCTTCAATACATTTAAAATATTTACAGTTGAGCTTAAATTTTCTAACCTTTAGCAATCGCTTGAATGCTCGAACCTCCGGGGTCATATTAGCTGAAATATAATTATTTTAGCGATAATCTGCATTATTTACATTGCGTTATCATTGCTAACGGAGATGCATTTATTAGCTGTTTCTCATTTCTCACCTGAATCAAAAATTATTAAAAACATAAAAATAAAATATTTACTTACCAGAACCGGCAAATCATTAGTTGGTCGTTGTTTTGCCGTATTTTAGCTGAATTCTTTTTCGACATCTGACTAAAACTTGTACGCGTTTTTCAAAGCTACTTTTGTTTTATTTTTACTTATAATATTTTATTACTTCAGCTCGTCGTTGCAACAATTCCTCTCGGCCTAGTTGGTTCGCAGATTTCTCATTTTTTGGCTTTGATGGAGAACAAATCCGTTTCGAAAATGGCTGAAATTGACTGAAACAGGTAAGAAATGATTATACAAACCACTGGCACTGTCGCAGGTATAACTTTCTTTGAATTCATTTCGCCACACTATTTTTGTGTTTGTTGAAATTTTTTTCAACCGAAAGTTCACGTAAAAATTGTGTTATTATTTGAAAAATCATGAAAACGAGAATTTTCTTGTTTATAATACATGCGATAAAATTTGATCTAAATAGGAATTTAAATTTTGTAACGCTCGTTGTAATAAGTTTTCACGTATCATCTATTATTTTTTTTTTATTGAAAAGAAATTCTGTTTCATGGGACCATCACGACTACATCCTAGTCTTATATTTCATTCTCAGCTTTTCCATATCTACAGGCTTTCCGTCATCTGTCTGCTTCCCAATTATATGAATTTTTGAGAACATATAAAAATATATTTGCTTCTCGTTTGACACATTATTGCATCATTTTCAATTTGGAATCGGATATTTTGGACACACGTGATTTGGAATCAAAATAATCAGAGTGCATTACCCTGATTACGTATACATTGCCGCTATGGCTACTGTCAACACCTTTTCTTATCATCAACATCATCTCCTTCTCGCCTCTGTGTGCCCAATGAAGTTTAGCCGATGAAATAACGATTTATCGCTACATTCGTTTTTTTTTCTCTCATCGTCTGTCCAGGGGGGGGGGCGTTCGGTGGCGAAGAAAAATTGCAGCTCGCTGCGTACACTAGCCCTCATCGCATTCCCTTTTACATTTTCTTTTTTTTTTCGTCGACGCACTAGGCGGTCTTTTTTGGGCGAAATAAGAACAACAGCGCCTATTTTTCAATTGGTTTGCCTTGAGAGAACATCACCCGTCTCCGATTTTTATCTGTCCCATGACTGGCGGTTTGATGATTTATCGATTTTAACGAGTTGTTGTTCTTTTGAACATCGGTTATTTCTCTTAACTTTACACTTCAGTTTTAGGGCAAAAATTTGTTAAGGACGAACTGCTGTTGGGTTTGGTTCAAACCTCCGGGTTTCACAAAAACTTTCACGGTTTGTCCCTAAACTTTTCGACACTACCAGTACGACACTCCAGTTACACATATTTTTAGTGTATCCGGCTACTTTTTTTTCAACTAATTCAATTTTTTCCACGTCGTTTCCAAAATGTTCTGAAAATGTATGAATCCGATATTGGACGGCTCGAATCGCTGACAAGCATTTATTCGAATCTCTAGTTTGTTTGAGAAAAAACACCATTTGATTCCCAATGTGAGATTTGAGAGTTCCAGAAGAGTTGATTCTTCTAGACACCCGCAATGTTCGATTTCGTTAACATCACCAGGCGCATTTCATTTATTTCCGTTTCGATGCTCTGCTCTCCCTCTTTTCCTCTCTCGTCGTCGGTTTTTTTTTTGCGAAACTGGAATTCAATTGTACTTTATGGTTCGCTGCTAAAGCTCTCGATGAGACGTATTCTAGCCATTTTCTCAATAATACTAATTAGAAGATCTCAACCTAGGTGAACCATTTTAGCCAAGGTCTGGCTATGCAAGAGACCCCTCAGATACCATCAACCGTCGGTTTCAACTATTTTTCTCTTCTTTTTATCCTTTTCTATCCGTCATGCTTCTAGATCTTCTCAATGTGTTCACTATCTATAAGAGCACTATCTAATCGACCTTCAACACAACTTTCACTTTCATTTGATGTAGGCGTTTTATCACAATCAGCCAAAGATGTGTCATGCTACATGTTACCAATTTTCTTGGTTTATTGTTCTTGCGAAAAAGCAATACTCAAAGTTTGTGTTGCCGTCTCGCCATTTTCATTATTACATGTTAACGGCGAAACATGACCCGCGGTTTAGCGTAATGCCTAAACATTTGTGGTGCGTCAACACGTTTTGCAATGTTTTTGGCTCAATGTTCCTCTTTCATATGTTCTTTGTTCTGTGCCATCGATTAATCAATATATTTTCCTTGATTCTCATCAATCGTATCATCTTGTTTTGACCAGTTTTACTTCTTAGAAAACAAATCCAGCGTTTTCAGTTCCGAACGAACTCTTCTACTACTTGGGAAATATGGAACAAAGCGGATCTTCTGGTTCGAATCAACTTAATATATTTTTTTAAAAATTTTTAAATTTTCAGTTCGCGAAAATGAACAACATCTGCGAGATGAGATTCTTTGCAAAATTGATCTTCACAATCATCCGAACAGATCAAGATTTCTTGCCGAGGTACGCAATCAATTTGAAAGTCGACAATTATTCAATTCCGATGTTCAGATCACCGAGCCGCCATCTGTCGACCCATCAACGATAGTTTTCTGCGCTGATAAGACAATGGAGGGAACGGTTCGCATTGCGAGCAAAATTGTTGAAAAGAGCTCTGTAATGGTATCCGATGCCAATGAGAAATATTGGCCAGTGATTCTACTCTACGCCGAATCTAGTAAAAAGCGGAAAATTGGAAAAATGTTCTAAAAATTCAACATTGTTTAGCTGTCAAGGTTTCGGAATCACATTCGAAGGCGGTGGCAACGGTGTCGTCAATGGCGCCGTACTATCATAATCTTTCGCAATTCATTTTGGACAGTCAGGAATTGTTTCGAAACATGGTCCATCAATTGAATTTGTTGAGAACATTCGAGTAAGTGGTTTAGAACATATCAAAAGTTAAAAATATGAGTATTGCTGTATAGAGGAATGACTAATATGTCCTTTTGAAGTCATGGTTGCGGACGCACAAATTGGAAAAATTTGAATTTCGAATTGAATTTGGTGTCGGGGCAGATTTTTCCTAGTGTCTCGTTAATTTTTTCTGGTTAACGAACAACGATTCTCTGTGTGTGCTTTTCTGTGAAAAAAAACAAAAATATGCAATTTTCAGTTCTTAAAAATGTCAAGAAATATGAATACTACATTAACAAATTGTTTTTTTTTTTAAATTTCCCAAGAAATTTCCTGAGAAATTCTAGTTTCTTTCCCCAGAAAATTCCCACAAATTCTTATTCCTCCCCCCCCCCACAAATTCTTATATTTTTCTTATAGTTACTGACTTGCTTCATATCATACATATTAAATAATCAATTGAATTTTAGCACGAGAGCCCTTCCAAAATCAAATGAGCTCTCATTTCTTCGAGTTTGGCGATCATTGGGTGACTTGCTGGCGATCAGTGTTACTCTTGATTTGATTGTTAAAAACCACCCGGTTGTAAGATCTCAGATGGAAGTCAATTTGACGTATGTCTTCTGAGAAAAAAAAACGTGTTCCAAACAAAGTGTTTATATTCCAGTCATGTAAGCAACACTCTTGAACAGAATGGAACACTCGATGAGACACACGTCGGGATGTACAAGCAAGCAAAACGCGTTATTGAACAGTTCTTGTCCAACATTTTGGGTGGCAATGCGTTCAGAGTATGTCAATGATTTTGAGAATATGTTTTTAAGAGCGCTGGTTTTCAGAATGCTTGTGCGATGTCACTTGGAGAACTTGACAATTCTCGTGATCTTGCCGATGCTTTCGAACGCGCTGTCGAACAATTATTCAATGAATATCAAAACACTGCAGGATTTGGAATCCCAGCAACGTAGACTTTCTATTAAATATTGGGTATTAATCAATTTGCAATTTCAGAAATTCAAGTCTCTTCTTATCACTATGCTCTCTTGCCGGCTATTATTATCTTCATTTTCCGCAATTCGCGCGCCCGAAGCTGTTAAAGCTTCTCGCGACAATTCAGCCGAAAGTTGGCGATTTTGCGATGAATATTTCCGAAGGCAATTAACATATTCCAGAATGTCGTGTTTTATGTGATCGGATCTATTGGATTCTTCCCAATGGAATTCTTGTGCACCGAAGTTGGTGATGCGAAGTTCTTCGATGAGAAATATAAGAAAAGCTTTGCGTCTCTGAAAAGAAGTGTGTTGTCCGAAGGAGCTGCAAAGACGTTGCTCAATGAGCTTGTGACACATGCGAGAAGAACGAGTGCATGGAAAAATAGCATATTTATGAATTTGAGGTTTGTGCTTCTTCTATTAACATACATACATTTGAGAAATTGCGTATTTGAAGAAAACAAAGAAGAAGCAGAAAACGAAATCCAGTTTCGCTGTTGTTAGAGCTCTCGGAGCTGTTCATGGCCGGTGTGCAACATGCCGAAATCACGACCCGACTCTTCAAATCGTTAATGATTCTTTACGCTGAAAACACTGACAATGATATCGGCGAGGTGTCGAAGTTTGAAACCCACATGCTCATCGATGTTGTCACTGAAATCAAGGTTGGGATTTGTTGTGAGAATTGCTTTTTGAATCAATGATCCAATTTTGTAGTCGATTGAGATGATTTTCGACAAATGTTGGAAGATGTTCATGAGAGCCAATAAATTAGCCGAGCAGCAATATCGCGTCTACGCGATCAAATTTGTCGATCAGGCGATGGAAAAAATGACGCGAATGAATTTGCCGCAGAGCTTTTACCGATCCCGATATGGCGCGTTGACGGCTGCCAGAAATTTGCTGTTGGACACGGGTAAGAGTTATTGCATATTTAAGAAAAACAATTTCAATGTGATTTGAAAAATTTTGCGATTTGAAAGCATTTAGGACTTGCGATATTCCTACCTTTTGAACGATTCAAATTATATGATTAAAAAAATAAATGAAAAAAAAAGTTGCATAGAGCTGAAATAGTTATCTCCATTTTGTTGATGAACAGATGTGGATGTAATTCGATTTAGGATCAAAGGAGCGCATGATCTCATGTAGGATTGCTTTGCAACTTGCCGATGTTGAGCGCTACCTTCCTGCCAGCGAATACTACAAGCTCGATGAGTTCGTTCGACGCATCAGCGCGCTTGCTGGTTGCTACGGAATAGCGAAAAATTCGACCAATTGCTCGTTCCTCTTCCACTCGCTTCCGTTCTTCCACAAGTTTTGGATGCGAGTGACAAAAAAGAAGTGCTCATACGAGGCGCTTCAACACTTCTCGCGTGTTATTGATGATATTGCTTCATTCTGTGCCCGCGCGAAACATAAGATTCCGTCATACACGATTCCGATGCAGGATGTGTTCACGGATGAAATGATTGAGATCATGAAGAAGGTAGGAAGCTTATCTAAAAGCATAATTATGTGGGTTTTCTTTCAGAATTTCTTGAATCCATTGTGTGTGAGAATTGAAAATGATTTGAGAGTTCAAACGCACCCACACCTTACAATTGATGAGCGTGATCGCATCACTGAAGATGATGTCAATTATATTAAAATGCTCATGAGAAGAAAAGAGCTTCGCATTTATGATCGCATCATCGATGTTTCAGGTGAATCGGATAATCGTAGTTCATTGAAAAAACGAATCAATATTTCAGAATATATAATTTCATATCTTGAAAGAACGTTTTTCAACTTGATTGTGATCGCTCCCAATGAAATGGACACTTATTTAAGAATGGTTAACATGGCTCGTGAAAAGTATTATTTTCCAACTTCAATAGACACCTTGATTAAATTCTTTCTAGATATGGAATTAATGTCAAATTTGCTCAACTTTTGCATGAAAGTCGCGAATACAACGGCGATGTTCAACATATTACAAATTACCTTGACTGGTTCTCCCATTATTTCAACTATAGCATTCATCGAAAGGTTTTTTAAGCATTCAAGATTGGAGTAGTGCGATAATCTATTGATTTTTAGATGTTTATTGAGAAAATGGCGGCGGATCGTAAGCTGATGGTCGTCGGAATGGATGATTTCAAAAGTTCGATTGAAAAATATAACGCTTCGCTGTTTTCCTTGAGTCTTAGCAAAGCTTATAAGGTTTTGGCATTCTATCAGAAAATATGCATATATATTCGAATATTTTGCAGATTCTTAGCAAGAAGATGACGACCGTTTACAATCTATTTGGAAATCCTATGATTATTGGGCAGATTCAAGTATTGCTACGCGATTATACCAAACAAGTCGATGAGCTTAAAGACTATGCGGTATGTTTTGTTGATATTTAGCATATTTAATTGAAATGCCGTTTACAGCTTTCCCAAGATCACGTTTTGAAGTTTATGAACTCTTTGGAGTCTTTTGAAATCGATGGGTTGTTCGACCCAATTGAACAATATCCAGCAGCAAATGACAATAATCGAAAACAAGAAGAGCCACACGAAGAGACCGAAAAGGGAACTCTTGAAAATATTAGACTTCTCGTCACTCAGGTTTTTTTTAAGATAAGATTTTAAGACGAATTTCTAATTATTGAATTTCTAGATTGGAAACGTGTTGGGATTCTCAAAGAATTTAAACATTGCTACCTTGGAGCACCTATCTCAGAATCCAGCAGCTTCTATTATCGATGAGCTCTCGCCGACAACTGCATCGGACTTCCTTGAGGAGACTGAAGAGAATATGACGATTGCTTCGTACTTGATGAGACGCTTGGAAGATCAGTATTCTGAGGCCCCACAACCACGCGATGCTGATTTAGCTGACTTCTACGTGCCAGCTTTCCAAGAGACATTCGACAAGATTCGTCGCGAGGCTAGAGCGTCTAAGTATGTTGTTAAGATCGAGGTCATTTTATACATAATAATAATTATTATTATAGCTCAAACACCAATGGTTCTGAGATGTTCTTTATAATGGTTCCAGCATTGGTTATGTCCCATGCTGAACACATGCTCGAATGCAAAAGCCGCCTACAGCGTTCGATTTCAATGGAACACAATATCGAACTAACATTCACTGATGATGGTTTTTCTATCGGTATGTGATGACGCTGATTTGCAAGCTAATTATGAAGTATTTAGGACTCGCTTTCATTCTGGTCGTTTTCCGTCAAAAAGACTTCTTTGATCAGGTTGAATGGTTCCAATCTGTTAGAAAGTAAATCATTGGTCGAGAATAGTTTTTCGTTACAGTAAATTATTTTCAGGCATATCGAAAACAAAAAACAAATGCCGGTGACGACGTCTGAAGTCGCGAATAAGATGAGATGTGATCGCCTGACTGCCCTTGAGAAGGTATTCTGAATTCTTCTGAGATATTTAAAATCTGTGTTGTTCTTTCAGGAAATTAATTATATTGAGACAACTTTGAACACGGCGGTTTCGTTCTACGACAAAGCCAGCACATTTTTCTGTCGCGGATTCCAATCGCAGAACATGGCGTCGATTTTCAATTAAACATCGCCCTCCCTTCATTGACCACGCCCACCCGTTGACCGATAAATTTCACTCCTTGCGCTTCCTCTTAATTTATATTTGCTTGAGACAATTTTCATGTTGAAGAATAATTATTATTCGCATATTATTCTATTAATTATACCATATAAACCCGTTGGCATTAATCCCGTAACCCAACATATGCTGATTTTAATACATATGTTATTTGAAATAAAGTAGTTTGTAGAATTGTTTTCCGACGGTTTTTCAGGTTTTCATCGCCGTTTTGTATTCTTCGTATTTTCTGCATTTTCTTTCGAAGAAGTTTATTCAGATGTCTGTGTACGCTGGAAGAGCCTGGTCGCTTCTCAGATTTTATAAAGATTATGCGTACGCGGGCGTCGCATATATTGCGAATTCTAGAGCTCATAAGTAAGACATTTTAAAAAATTTGAATTCAACTTATCAATAGTAAATTTTATACTATTGTTAATTTTCAATGGGTTTTTGAAACAAAATTGTGAATGTTTGGAAAGTTGCAACATCATACATCAGATGTTTCCGGTTCTTTTTTTTTGCAATATAACAAATAATGTTAGAATGATGATATTGCATTACATCATTAATAAACTGTTATGTTTTTTCTTTAACAAATAGCTACAATGTAGACGGAATACCGAAATAGGCTACAATTTGCGTTGTTTCGTTATCTGGGTCTCTTCAAGATGTCCCAAAACGATAACACCATTATTTGTTGTTCGAATTCTCGTTGTTCAGATCGATGCCTTCGTTGACACCGTTGGAACCGATCGAGATATGCTCGCCGGCGGTTACTAGAATTCTTGGATTCAATCCAGGCCCGTTTACGCTTCAAGGCACCAATACGTATTTGTTGGGAACTGGAAAACGGTAGTCGTTTGCAAATTGAGTGCAAAATTACTATATAGAAATTTTTAAGAAAAATTCTTGTCGACACTGGTGAGCCGAACATTTCTGATTATATCGGAGCACTCAAAACTGTCCTCAAGGTTTGATTCTCGAATAAAGAGATATTGATAAAGATTGCAATTGTTTTTATGTTTTAGGAGAATGAAATTGAGTGTATGGTTATTACTCACTGGCATGGAGATCATGTTGGCGGAATCAATAACATTGTTTCGGATATTCTGAACTCGAAAAAGGTGCCGATTTACAAATTCCGTCGAGAAGCGGATGAGGAGAAGGAGAGATTCCAGTATGTCGATGATGGATTCATTGTGGCGGTTGAGGGAGCAACATTGAAGTATGCAAATATTCGTCCAATATTTATCTACGAATTCATAAACATTTTTTTTACAGATTTATTCATACGCCAGGCCACACCACTGATCATTTTGCTCTTTGGCTTGAAGAAGAGGAGACATTGTTCAGCGGAGATTGTATTCTTGGAGAAGGAACGACTGTTTTTGAAGATTTACATGATTATATGACAAGCTTGAACAAAATCAAAGACTTGAAGCCGAAAAAGATTTATCCAGGTAGAGACTGAAAGGATTCCAGAATTTTCGCGAAAAAAAAGTTATTCGAGAATGGCGAAAGCCACGCGAAATTTTATTATTTCAAAATACGACAATGTATGCTTTGATTGAATTCCTTTACGATCTTTACGAAGACGTGCTAGATTATTTTGGTCAATTTACATGTTGCTCAGTGGTCTCATAATCGTTTGGCAAAATTTGCAGGTCATGGTCCCGTAATCAACGATGTTGCAAAAAAGATTGAAGAATATATCGAGCATCGAATGAAGCGCGAACGCGAAATTGTTGCTGTTTTAAAGGATCATGACGAGATTTCGAGCATGGATATTACGAATCAAGTCTACAAGGTATATATATATTTTTTTTTACAAGCGTTAAAAAAATTTTTTCTAGGATACCCCTTGGGCGGTCCGACTTGCTGCTTTAAACAATGTCAAACTTGTGCTCAACAAATTGATTAAAGATGGTGTTGTAACCAACGTCGGCTTCGAGATGTATCGCTACATTGGTCCAAAACAGTCACCAAGCTTGTGATTCACTTGTAGTTTTTATCAAAATTTAGTTATATATTTGTATCAAATTAAATAATCATTTTTATGAAGCGTATATATTTTTAGTTATTTCAGCAATCTAGAATAGAAAATTGAACGCCTATATATGTCCTAGTTGCTGAAAATATAAGTTTGCTTTAAGCATCGAAGTGTGTTTATGCACAAATTAATAAATTTTATCGTAATAAAAATAATATTTATGCATTTTACCGTAGTCGTTGTAATAATTCTGGCGAATATTGAAGACTGAGTTGTAGTTCGGCGAGATGTTCACCATTCACATCAAGAACTGAAAAAAGATTTTAAATAAGTATTATTTGAAAAGCGAAAACTCACAGTCAATAGTGGTATTCAAATTATCAGAATTATTTCTATAAAGCACAAGTTGAGCTACTCCAATCTCTTCTTCTTCTGGCATCTCAGCAATTATTGTAAAATCTACGCGATTACTAAGGTCGATCCATTGCTCCAAAAGTTTCACTTGACGACGAGTTAAGTTGAATTCTGGAAAAAAAAAGTGAAAAATGTTAGACATTTTTCTTGAGCTTCTACTTTTTTCAAAATCCAAATCCAACGATTCTTCTGCAGCTCTCGGTAACTTGAAGCCGGTACTTCGTGTTGTCTCAATTGGAATATCCAAGAATCCCCAATCAATATAAAACGTGGCGTCGTCGAAATATTTCATCAATAGTCGAGAATATTGAACAACCGTGATTTTCTCTAATCGAATCGTTACATAAATTGCTGGATCAATTGTGGGATCCTAAAAAAAAAACGTTTTGAATTTGATTTTAGTTGGAGAAAAAACCGGCGGTGATTCCTGTTGGAGACTTTTAATAACACCATGTCCTTCGAATTCTGGAAGAGCTACTGGACCCTTTTCAGCACGTCTTGGTGATGACGTCGACGAAGATTCAGATGCTACAAAAATGTTGCGTTAAAAATTTACATATTGTAAAGGAAAACCCATCATGTTCTATCACAAAAACTTAATCAAAATACATCAGCTCCACCGGAAGCCGTGGGCGACCGGTGGCTGATGTAATCCTTATCAATCCGTTATTAAATTTTTTATTAAATTCTTTGATTGTAATAGCACCATATATAAACCTCTATAACCATCAATCTAGGCCTCTTTCCTTCCTTTATGAGTCGCACATGTCGGCTCCGATTTTTACCAACTCTCACCAACACGATCCACCACCAAATTGTTTGTGATTTCCCCACTTTATTGAAGAAATAAAGCAGTATTTTCTTCGAGCGCTATGTTATTTCTAACGTCTATTAAAGTGAGTGAGAAATAAAGGGAAGCACCGCCCTGCCACTGTTCGGCAGGACGGCAGCTTTTTAACCCCTTTACTATATTATGTCAAACATACGCGGAATCGAATGATGCAGTGGCTCCGTGAAAACCACATTTCGATTATCCGATTTCTGTTGTTCACTGATATTATTGCGTGGCTTCGCAATTGGCGGAAGGACGCCGAGAAGACTTCGAATTTCGTCCTTCTGCGAATTCTTCATCGATTCTGCCGATTGTGGGGGCGATTCGGAATGAATCGAATGCTCAGAAATGATTTCTTCATCAACGGCAACTGAAGTTACAATGTTCGGGGTAAATATGCTCATTTGTGAAATGACTTGCCACTTCTTTGTGTTGGAGGTGTCGATGGACTTCGCGATTCGGGTTGCTTTTCAGGCGAGCTCGGCTGAGACACTTTTTCTTCAATTGGAATCGGCGTTTCTGATTTCGGCGGACTTTTCGGAACGTCTTCAGATTTCGCCGAAACTGTTTCGATCCTAAAAAAATGAATTTCGTGTTTTAAGCGACCAATAAATAATTTTTACTCTTCCTCGTCGTCTTTGGTATTCGCAAATGGGTATGACGGATAATCGAAAACAAGAGGTGTTGGCTGGAACCAAATATTGATATGTTTATGTATCGTAAACTCTATCACCTTGCTAGGAGGGCTGAGAACATCCTGCGTTGATTCTGATCTACCAGGAGATGGCGATGACGAAGGAGATTGTGATTCTTCGCGTGTCAGAAGCTGAACAGAAGACGTGCGAACGATTTGCGTCATTCGTCGTTCTTCAGCAGGTTTCGGTGGAGAATCCGGTAATTCTTCAACAACACTAACATCGAATTGCTTCGACGGTCGCTTTGGAGGAAGCGCGCCAACTTCTTGAACTGCTGGTGGTAGAGGTGGAGGTGGAGGTGGAGAAGGTTGCGTAGGAGGAGAAAAGGCAGCAGGTAGAAATGCGGGAATTTCGTGTTTCCACATTATACAAATATCCAATGACAATGAGCTAGCATTTTCGGAGACCTGAATATAATCTTATTGAAACTATAAAACAAATCCATTCTTTTGCAGATGTTTTCTAATCCAAATCCTTCGATTTTTGAAATGCGGGTATTCAAAAACATAAAAAGCTAAATGACTTTTAGCCATTCAATAACTCACATCTGTCATCGGGAACGTGCCTTTAATTGCGCCGCCCGTCTTCAGAAGCGGTAAAAGGGGCAGATGGAGCATCGCAAGAACGCCATCCGATTTTGGCACATTCTCGATCACGTAAAAGCTAATGTTCTGCAAGATTGACATCAAATTCAATGCGATAATAAAAATGTGGCACCGATTTCAAAAATAGTTCCCTTGTTGCTTCGGTTTTGGGTATACTTATATCTCGTTTGGCTAAAATTTCGACGTCCGTAGAGAAATCTGTGAAGAACGGCGAGAATGACAACAGCTCATAAACGACACAATATTCTGGAATTGTAGAGAATTTCTCGAAAGTTCTCAACAAATTCAAAATACCTTTTCCTTTCGTTTCAAGACCCTGAATCCTATTTACCATCACAGTTAGCGGCTCATACTCTTCTTTAACCTCAGTTTCGTCAATATCTAGTGGTAGCATTGTTCGAGCAATGTCGGTTTTCTGAAATTTGGTTAATACGAAGAAAATAATATTCATATGAATACTCTAAATCGTTTGAAAGTCTCCGTAAAAGGTTGAGTCACTTCAATTTCATATTGCAAAATGCAAATCTCCTCGCCAGTGTCTATTGATCGTAGCCGAATTTCAGAGCAGTACCTCGAATTTGATAATTGATCGTTTTTATTATAACAATTTCTCACTTGTTAACAATTTTTGGGTCTAACAACGGCGCGAGGGATACTGTACCAGCAGCGATAAGTTGATAATGATCTTTGCCTGGCTTATACATTTCAATCGTGATTCCATTCTAAAGAAAAATGATTAATTTATTAATTTTCAAGTCCACTCACCGTTTGCAAATAATGAATGAGTAAATTTGAGACAACGACATTGTAAACCGTTGTGAAATCCATTTTTTGTTGTTTCGGCTCCACAATTGGGGTGGTCTCAAGTTGAAAATCGAAAAATTCCAATGAAAAGAAGAATTTCGTAGTTGTTCCAGCCAATGGTCGAACATTTACCAAATGAATCGACAAATCTGTATTAGTAGTGGGAAGAGACTGAAAAAAACAGAAGATACTCATTAAAAAATCGATGAAAAGTCTCGCCTTCTCGGCGGATATAATTGGTATCTCGTTCTGATCAGCATAAGCAATTGCCCGGATTTGTTCTTCCAAACTAAATATCTTCTTCTGCTTCTCTTCTAAAACTTCCTTCGCCTTCATCAATTTCTCAGCATTAAGTGTTTTCAGGCGAGTTAATTCGTCTTGGAGCAGAGATATCTAAAAAAACAAATTATGTCTATAAGCGCGAATATAATTTCTGACCTCGATTGTCTGCTTCTGTGTTATATCATGCTGAACCACCAGCATATTTCGCACCTTCTCCAGCTCCTCATAAAGCTCGGAATACATTTTCTGCCAACGTGCAAGCTTCTTGAGACCTTCACCGCTATCCATAATAGCGACATCTTCAATTTGCACATCATGCGATTTCAGAATCTCAGCCACTTCTGAGTGAAGCCTACTAAGAAGGTCATCATCATCTTGACGCATTCTCATCAATTCCCGTTGACTTGCTCGCCGCTTAGTTTCAGTTTCTTCGAATAATGGCTCTTCGAGAGCATTTTGAGACGCCTTCGGTTCAGAGGCGGGTCTCGACCTGAAATTTTGAAAAAAAAAATCAATTCAAATATTTTCCTATTACCCAAAAAATCAATTTTGATTAAGATATACATTTTGCGCAATTTTTGTATCTTGCTCTCAGTCTTTTGAAAAAAAAAATCAATAAAAACTCACTGAGCCGCAGTTGTTGTTGTTTGTGCTTTATAATGTTGTCGAAGTGTCTCGATTTTCTTCTCATAATCCCGATGACGTCGTTCGGCCTCCTGTTGAAAATAATTAGAGTCAACCCATCAGATTAGTTCATCTTTTCATAAGCGAAGACTAATAGCACTAACCTTGAGCCGTTTCTCAGTGTCCTTCAATTGCTCTTCAAGTTCGACAACCTTCTTTTTGTCCTCTATACTCTGTTTCTCGCCATAATCGGTCGATTTGTTCAATGTTCTGAAGAATAAACTGTACAGATTATTTTAGGATACTTACTGTTGAATTAATTTCTCGTTGGCATTTTTTAGAACTTCATTCTCATTTTTCAGCAATTGCAAATCATTTTCAGCGATTCTCAGCTTATCAAGCAGCTTTTTCTCGGCAGCAATTTCGACGTTTCTCGTTGGCTCCGGAGCGGCTTTCTTTGGCTTCTTCGGCGAAGGAGTGTGATCCGACGATGCTGACGACATTTCCGAAAGTTCAGAAACTATCGACTTTTTGTCATCCTCGTCTTCCTCATTGTTGTTTTCCGACGAACTTTTGCTAGGAGATAGAACTTTCTAAAAGAAAATGAAAATATTTTCAAAAAGAAAAGAAATGAACGAACCCCTTCTTTCAGTTTCTCAATTGTTCTTTTCAATTCGGCAATTTCGTCATTCTTTGTCTTCAACGTTCTATTCAGTTTGACAATTGTTAATTTCTCATCGGTGCCCAGTCGAAGTAGTTCCGTTTCAGATCGCCTACATGTTTTGTTTATTGAAAAAAAAATGAGTCAAATTATTTTTTTTATGCAGTTCGTGTTGTAAAAAGCAACATTTTCGACCAAAATATAAAAGACTTTGACATTATTTCGAAATATCATTGAGAATTTTTGATATTAAATTATATAACATTATTGAGATTTCACAAATAATTTTCGGTGGTCCGGAATTCCAATAATTTATTCTTTGAATGTTCCATATTATAATATCGTTTTCTATTAAAATTTTTCTCACTTTCTCCCCGATGCCGGCATTCCTCGATCGATCGACACTCCAGAAAACGGGGGCCGCTGGCGATGTGTTGACGGCGGCTGCCGAAAAGTGGATCTTCCGGTCATCGCCGACGTCGTCATCGCACGAGCGGACGGCGCCGTGTAAATAAGCAGTTGGTGTTTTGCCGACTTCAGCTTCATCTCGAGAATTTGGTTCTCCTTAACGAGATCATCGTATTTTTCTCGTTCGACGACCTGTTGTTCGCGATGTTTGCGCTCCAGCAGATTTCGTCGAAATCGAGAATTGAACCTACAAAATTTGTATTCAAATGAATAAAACAAACAACTATTCAGTTTTTCAGTTAAAACCCTTATTAGATGAATGAACCAAGCATTTTAGAACCCCTATCGTTATTTTTCTACTTACGTCGTTAGCTGCTTCTCAAGATCTTTAACTTTCTTTTGCAAGTTCTGCACCTCCTCGGTAGCATTATGAAATCGATCTTCAAGTTGTGGACGACTCCAAGTCTCAATTGGATATCGCTGATTAACCCTTAAAAGTCGAGTATTTGTTCTATGAATTGTATTTAAAACTCACATGGGCTGAGAAGCTCGTGGAATAGAATGGAGTTTGAAACGGCTGACCCGAAGCCCGCACGGGTTGCCATGGTGATATTCTGAAGCCCGCGCACTGCAATTAGTTGAGGTGTGTCGCCGGATTAGGACTCGTGAATACTAATTGATTATTGAACTCGTTCGCGCATTTTGAATTTCTAGTTTAAGTTTCCGATTCTTTTAATAAGAAATCTTACTTAACAAAAATACATTTTAACTTTTTCACTCTTCATTCAATAAATTATTAAATCTAAAAAAAATTTGTTTTGGAAAATTTTAGCCATACTCCAATTGACGCGAATTTAGCTATAATGGACGTAATCGCCACGATTTTTAAATGAACTCGGAAATTTGATCAATCGAAACAATGGTAAATTTTGGAAGAAACCTCGGTAAACTTAACGGGAGTAACAGGGTTTTCCTAGTTTTCCGCTTCGAGGAAAACAACCAATTTTCGATATTTTTTATGCCACTGTTTCTTTCAAAGTTCACCATTGTTTCACCAAACACTTAAAACCTAGTATTTTGCCCAATGAGTCCAGAAATCGTAAAAAATTGTGTTAATTTACGTCAAGTTGCAATGCGTATCCCAATGCATTAAAATTGACGCAAATTTATTTTTTTTTTTGAATTTTCCCAAAAATTTACTCCATCAAATTCATCGGGTAAAGTAGTGCTGAATTCAGGGAGAAACGATGAATGAGTTCACTTTTAAATTTGATAAATCTGAAATTTTTTAATATTTACTCATTTCATTTCATGATCTTATTTTATTAGAGTAAAAAGAATTGTTTTATTTGGAAAATCCTGTTGCTTTCTCGATTTAAATTCAAATCTCTAAGTCATCATTTTCCCTTGCATTCTTCATTCAATTGAATCATTTTGATAATATTCTCTTTTTCTATAACCACATTTTCTTTGCAAAATGCGCATCGCTCGAACAGTTGTTAGAATCGAAAGATCATAAAACGCTTCAGTGCACTTATAAATCGCATGTAATACCATAAAATCGTATTTTTCATAAATTGAATCGAGTCATAATAGTTGATATTTTATATTTATTGTATTTATAAATACATATGTGTGTTTAGTATTATCGTTTTGAATATTAAAAAACACACGTCAACCGATTTAATAATGTTTTATATCGCATCAATTTCACAACAATATTTAGTTATAAATATTATTGTCAAATTTCTTAGTGGGATTGTTGTTTATCAACTAGTTTGTAAGTGCAGTATCACATGAGAACACGTTCATGATGTTCAATGTGGCTGCGAAATGATGGCCGAGTGATGCGCTGAAGCTTCTAGGCCACACCGTTTGCTCATGTCTGTGCCTCTCCGAACCCTTTCATCCTATAACATGGCATTGTTGAAACGTAAATAGATATGTTTTGAAATGTCTCAATAGTGCAGCCGGCTGCTCGCGCGAAATCGATTCGCGGCTCGCCCGCGCGCTAGGCCTTGATTGCCGGAATTTATGATCGAAATTCGCTTGAATTGGTTTTTCTCACGACTCTTGCATTCAAATATCATTGAAATTGTACGCAGTTTTTGCAGTTTCCACATGAAAAGCAACTAGTATGAATCGTCTTAGTATCGGCGGTTCGATTCGCCTTCACGATCTTCTGGAAGCCTCCGATGATGAATACGGATTCGCACGGAATGAGATTGAACGGGCAATCGATGTTCGAGATGCCACCGAAGACGAAATTATGCGATGCAGTCCATTGAAAACCGTCAAAAAGGTAAGAAAATTTCAAAAATTTTAATTTTTTCTTCTTATTTTCTATCCATTTTATATATTAATAATGCTCAAGAAACCAAATATCATTAAAAAATTCTCATTTCCGTTTATTTTTAATTTATGATCTATTTGTTCTCTTTTTCTTATTAATCTTCCTTTTTTCTCTGTCTGAAATGTTTATGAAAAATAGAAAAAAACGTTACGAATTCCCTATTCATGAAAAGTTCGTTTCCCTGTTTTTTTTTTTGTTTTTCTTGTTGGCTGATTAAAGCGAAATTGAACGAAAAGATGTTACTATTAAAGATTAATTGAATATTTCCTCTGTTGATTGGTGAAACTTTAAACCCAGAATACGTAAAAAAAAATTGCTAAATTTTACGAATAAGCTCAATTTTCTCTGATTTCTCGATTTCAAATTTCGTTTTTGCTCAAAAATTTAAAAAAATTCTCATTTATTGGTACCATGAAAATTATCAAATTTCTAGTTTGTAGGTTTAGAAGGTATTCTTCTCAAGGGCACATGAGTAATAGAAGTTGCTGACCTTCCCGCATTAATCTTTTTGTTTTAAGTGTTTTGACTTTGTTTAGAACATTCGGGAACGTCATCTAGGATTCCGAGCGCGATTGTTATTCCCCAACGGCTGGAATGTTTACGTAGATTTGTTACTCTCCCTTCCAGTTGTACTTTTTATTTTTGTCGTCACTTTAAAAGAAAAACAAGTCCGAAATTCGTTCTATTTTGTGATTTTTCTTTGGTGCTGAAAAATGAGCGATTTCTCGTCGAATTCCAGTGATTCCGACGACGGAATAATCGTTTACGAGGAGTTTGTGGTAGGCGACTTTTTTATTGGATTCTTCTAGAATTTGTGTTTTTTCTTACGCAAATAAAATAGGTTGTCCGAAATTTACATCAAGCTGACTGATTCGAAAAACGATTTGCAAACTTTTGACTAATTATGGTTAAAAATTGTAAACCCGAACGAAAGTCTACAAATTTTCATTCAATTTTTTTCTAATTAGCCTGAAAAAATTCAATTGGACGATTTGAAGTTGTAAAATACTTGATGAAAGAAGATAAAGCAGGATTGGCTTTCTACTAGCATTTTTAACATTTGAAAAATGTATTCTTAAGAATCTGATTTGGGTTTCCATAATCTTGATGTTCAAATTTAGCCAAAGCTTAATCTTAATCTCTATTAAGCATAGTTATAATCAAATTGGACAAACTTGAATTGTTGTTGTTGTTCCCCTCACGCTCCTCACTTCGATCAGAATTTTTTTGCATAATCAACCTGAGTGCCCTTCTGACTCGTATGTATGATAATCGATTGATAGGCAACAAATGTTTGCTGAAAAAAAATGCGTTAATCATTGAAAAAATAAACGTTTGGTTGCGTTTTGTGCACGCGTGTGTTTATACCCAAACTCTTCAACACTATTCGAAATTGTACGCCGAAATTTGTGTTTATGGCTTCTGCTATTCGAAAATTGATTCAATCGATTAGTAAGGAGAAGATCAGAGGCGTTGACATTGATGTAAGCATTCAAAGTCTATAGAAGTAATTGAATCAAATAAAAATAGAAAAAACCGTTTCTTTAAAGCTTTAGACTGGAGGCATTCAGAATTTTTAAAAATGCTCTTTTAGATAGAATTTTTCGATCGTTATGTTTTTTTATACAGAAAAAAAAACAAAACCAATCGTAGAATTGAAATTCTACCTTTTTGTTTATCTCGTATTTGAGTTCGCCAAAAACTGAAAACACCATGCGATGTGGTTTTTGGCATACTAATAATTGAAGGAAACTGGCATTTCTCTGCTTCTCTTTGCCATTAGACCTCCCCGTTTATCTGTCCATTTTTTTTTGTTGTGCACATTGTTTTGTTTTTTTTGTGTTACTTCTTCCTCGCCTCAGTAGTGTTTCGACATCAATATATGACAACATTTCGATTGTTTGCTCAGGCCGACTTGCGCTCTATTCTGGTCGCTGAAGCTTTACACTTGGCGATTATTGTTGACGTGAATTGTGCTGAAAGTTGCACAATTCGTGTCTGTGAGCCTCTTCGATTAGCTTCAATTTTTGGTCTAATTGGCGAAATTTTTTGGACTCGGCTGACGCGAGTTTCAAACAGTTCTTTAGAGTTTCCTTGCGCTCAAATTTGCTTTGTCAGTATCATTTAGTTCATGCAGATTTTGAGTCCTGTCAGCAATTTAGTTTGATGCGAGTAGAATTGCCTATTCCTACCTCAACCATTAATTTTCTTTTTATTCTCTTCAAATTTGATTCGAGTGTTTCTTATCTCGTTCTCGAAAATTTTCTGGTGATGTATTCATCAGTGATTCAGGAAATGCGATATGTTGCTTGGCAACGTGTTTCAACAAATGAAGACGCCCAACGTGATATCTGAACTAGATAATCTCTATGGGCTACTTAATAAAGGGGGGGGGGTATTGTTAAATTTTTTTGATTTATTCGCATTGTTATTTTTAAATTGTTACTAAACGGTCAACGCCGAAAAGAAAATATAAAGATTATCATTTCTTCCTTTATTATTTTTCCGGTATTGACCATTAATTGATAAATCTTAAAATACTGTCGCTCTACATATACATACATACATATATATATATATATATATATATATATATATATATATATATATATATATATATATATATATATATATATATATATATATATATATATATATATATATATATATATATATATATATATATATATATATATATATATATATATATATATATATATATATATATATATATAATATATATAATATATATATGAATAGATTGTGTACGTTTGGAGCAACTCGTGAGCTCACTTCAAAAAGTCGGTCAATTGTACTTGTGGGTGTAATCATCGTAACATGCTTGTCCACATTTATATTAGTTGAAATTTTTTGTTGTTTCATATTACCAACACAAAAACGAGCTTCCTGAGTATTTGTGAGCCATAATCATTTCCGGGGGGGGGGGGCGGTAATTCAATTTCCGGTATAGACAATGAAAATCGGCTACCGTACTACGGATAACTTGTGCATCAAACTCACCGTTAATCTACCTTATTTTATTTGTGAATACAAGACTTTGAATAAGGCTCAAGTTCGGCTTTTTGATCCCAATCTTGCCGAATTAAAAAAAAAAATTTGAATTATCGAAGACAGAAAAAAAGACTGTCAAATCTTTTCTATGAAGTGGAATTTCCATTTTTGGCGCGAAAACAACCCATTTTTGCATGGGCCATTGACATTAATTGTAGTTTTGCATATAATTGATTCGCAGCTAGCCAAAAAATATTCTGCTCAAATTTTAACGCCGAAATTCGTCTGTCATCCGTAATACCGTAATTTAAACGAACATACTGGAATGTCTTGAGCAAGAGCAAAATGTAGGTATTCTTCGGAAGAGAAGTGACCGCAAGGTTTTTGAACCTTTTGATTGTTGAATGTCTCTCTATCTCAATTAGAATATGCGATTCAACAGATGTTCGATGCTTTTCCAGCAATCCCCTTAAAATCGCTCTTTCTCTTCATCTTCTCTCGATGTTTTTTATGTACAGGGTGTCATTTAAGTTCCCGCACAAAAGTTAGACGCCATGAAAAGCTTGGCTGTCGCACTTTTCGTGCACCAATACAATTTATTTTTGTTAAATAAGGTGTATTTTACTTACTTTTCAAGTTTCACTTCATTCGGATGTGTTTCCGAGAAATGGCGAAGGCTAACATTCATCGCGCTTCCATTATCGAACTTCATAAGCGAAATGAGCGCCCGACAGAGATCATTCAACGCCTCGGTGTGCCTCGTAGAACGGTTTAAGACACCAACAAACGTTTCAAGGAGCTAAATACGACCAGTGACCTTCCCAGACAAGGAAGACTCGTCTCAGTAACCACTCCTCAGAAGATCAACGCCGTCAAAACGAGGATCAGGCGAAAACCGCACAGGAGCATAAGAAAGATGGCGTCAGACATGGGAATGAGCATCTTCGCTATGGAACAAATCGTCAAAACAAAGCTTGTACTGACCCCATATCGTGTCCAAAAAGTGGCAATTCTATCGGCCGTCAACAAGCAGAGACGCTTCGAAAAAGCAAAACAACTTTTTGCTCGCACGCGGTCTGGAGAACACCTCGCCACTGTCTTCTCCGACGAGAAGCTGTTCACTGTGGAGGCGGCATTCAACTCACAAAACCATTGAGTACTTGCCCAGACATCCCAGCAAGCTTCAGAGAAAGGAATAACAATTTATCCAGCCTCACATCCTGCCAGTGTGATTGTTTTCGGTGCCATCTGCTCAACCGGGAAGTGCCCCTGGTTTTCGTGGATCAGGTGGTGAAAGTGAACAAAGAAGTCTACGTTCGGGACATTTTGGGGAAGCATATGATGCCCTGGGCCCAAACGCATTTCGGTGGGAAGATATGGGTCTTTCAACAGGACGGAGCACCCGCCCCTACTGCCAAAACTACTCAGGAGTGGTGCCAGACCCATTTTCCCGACTTCATCAAGTCATCCGAATAGCCTGCTTGCTCCCCAGACCTGAACCCGCTTGACTTCTCCGTGATGGGCTCTTGCAGGAGAAGGTCAACGCAAAACCCCACTCAAGTGTAGAGGCTCTGAAGAAGACATTACTGGCGGAATGGGACAATCTTTCCATCGAATACCTGCGTACCACAGTCACATCCTACCCGAAGCGTCTCCGCGAAGTCATAGCTGCGAAAAGAGGCCGAATCGAAAAGAGTTAATAGATAATTATTTGTTGTACTATAGATAAAAAATATTTCGAGTCTCGTTTGATTTGGACTTTTAGTTTCAGAAATATACGTCTTCAAAGTTGTGCGGGAACTTAAATGACACCCTGTATGTCTACTCCAATACATATGTTTTTTTTTCTCTCTATTTGAATAGCCGAATATTCACTCAACCATATAATTATTCGCTTGAATTATGACTTTGCCTATAATTTTCAGTCAGCACTTTGGCGGAGCCGGAAACCGCGAGTTCTCGCCACGAAATTTTTTGGGTGTGGTGCACTTTCTTTTTTTTTGAACAAAACGAATGCCTGAAGAGCCACCATATATAGTGTGTGTTCTTTTTTTCTGCTTCTTGCTCGCTGACGCCTTTCCATTCTTGGGCATTGTCCAGTCGCTATTTTTTTCCCGTTGCGACCAGAGTATGTTTGCTTTTTACACAAGTTGAAGCGTTCTGCTGGCTCCGCACGTCGCCCACTGTCAGTCTTATGATTGATCTGAAAACTTGATGAAATTCATCATATCCGTTTTGCTCGTCAATTTTCAATGGGCTCAGTGAGCACCGCACAGCTTAATCAACGCACGCATTCCATAAATTTGAAAAAGTAATTGACTCGCCAATTTCGTGATTAATCTTGTAATTTTCCCGGTTTTTCAATTTCGTGTTTGACCTTTTAATGTCTGCAAAATGTTGAAAATGGCATTCTTTCAGATTGATGGATTAACGCTTTGCATTTTTTGTTGCTCGTTTCGTTCTCTCTTTCCTTTTTTTATTTCATTTCGTTTCCCATGATCTCTTGCAACGAATTAATCCATTTCTTCGTCATTTTGGCAGTGTTTGCTTACTCGCTTGTTTGTTGCCACAAATCATAAAATGCCGGCCTAGTCGTTGTTGTAAATATAAGTTTCACGAACCTCGAGGGTTTTGGTTTTCTGAAATTGTTCTTTTCTTGGAATTCTCTCCAGTTACATTATATTTACAAGTTTTTTCGTTCTCAGTAAATTTTTTTTAATCGACAGTTTCCTTCAAGAACATTGTTGAATGTTTTATTTAATTGCTTGAGTGTCACATTTCCTTCTAGCAAAAAGCCAGCATTTACATATTTCTGAAGCTTTCAAATTGGAATTTTCTCGAAAAAAAAAAACAGTTTTTCTAAAGTATTATTATTGTCGAAGACAGCTGATTTTGGTGGGCAGAGCGAAAAAAAATGAACTGTGAAACTTAGATTCGCAAAAATTTTCGCTTTGGCTTCGTATCAAGCATATGCAAAATTACTGTAATTTTTGCAAGGCCCATACCGAAAATTGAAATAATTTTCACGCCAAGACACAAAATTGTATTTGGACTAAACTCTTTGTATTTCCGAGTCTTCGACAATATGGTAATACAGTAGCCATTATTCTATGCGAGTGTCTTCTAAACTTTCGTCAAAATTTTTGTCAAACTGCTAGCTGTCAAATATATGTTTTAAAAAAGTGCAACCTTCAATGAGAAAAATGTGTGCGAGCGTTCGGCTTCCCACTTGTTATTCATATTTCATGAGGCGTATTTCGACTGAATCTCAAAAATTATTATTCAAAATTTCCGTTTTCTTGTGCTCCATGTCTCGACGCCACTTGCACGGCGGCTCCTTCAATTATTAATGTGTCGTCCTTAAAGTCATCGAATGCCGCTCTTATTCGGGAATTGGATATGCAAATTTGAGCAAGAGGCGACGAAAAGCGCACAAAAAGTTTGTCCGGTTCTCTTCTCTCATACATTCTAAAAATGCCTCAAATCCAATTTCCGCGACAGCAGTTTTTGCTTTGGCTTTTCCCATTGCTGAATTCGCCTCGTCGTTGTGTTGTTTTTGGCTGGAACAATAAAACTCATCAATTGGTTGCCATTGGCGACCGAAATGCTCATTTCGTTTATTGAGTCCTCTTCCACCTTCTTCTCTTATTGCGTTTCTTTGTTTTTTTTTCCCATTTCGAATTGTCTTCTCATCTTTCCTTTGGGAAATGAATTCCTCGTGATTTCCCACGAACTCGGTTTTTCTTGGCTTCTCTCTCCTCTTTTGTCTTGTCTTGTTTTTTTGTTGTTGTTCAACTATTTTTTTAAATTTACATTAGAAACATCTAGGTAAAAATAAAAGACGAGAATCGAAGCCGCTCAAGGGGACGCCCTACAAAGTGGCTGGTAGGTTTAATCGGGAAAAAAACGATCACGTAAATTTTTACATTAAACCCAAAATTTTGAAAAAAAAAAGAATTCCTACGTGAAAGGAGCAGCTCATTTTTAAGAAAAAAATAATGTTTTTCAGTTGCCCGACGATCACATCATTCCCGCGGGCGGTGAGGAACGGGTAAAGCCATCGCCGACGGCTTCTGCTGGCGATGAGCACGAGCAAAAGGACAAAGTATCGGTAGGATCGAACGAGTCCAGTGGAAAGGTGAGCTGGATGCCTTTGTTTTGACACCTCAAACTTGGGTAATAAAACTTTCGACTTATTGGAGTTAATAATCTTATCTTTGAAAATGTAATTTCTTTTTCGAATTTTAAATCGAATATCCTTCTAGAAGGAAAAGGAAGAGCACAGCAAGATTGGAGCACTTATCGAAAAAGCGAAGAAAAAAGGTCACAAGCTTGTGTCGGGACACTCGCGAAAAAAGAACAATTCCGGTGAGCCACCAACCTTTTGTGGAATTTCCGTTTTTATTTAGTTTCAGATTGTCTTGATGAAACTGCTACAGTCTCTGTGAACACCTCAACCAGATCCATTGAATCCATTGACAAGTCTGAAGAGCCACTAGCAAGTCGTGTAATTTATAATCAAAATGAGGCGACACCTGAAGAACGGCCGTCGAAATCGCCGATCAATAAGGTAATCTTGAATTGGTCGCTTGTATTTCACCCTTATTGTGTCGTTTAGAACTATGTTGATCCGGCGGATCCCTCTGATCCGTTCCTTGTCCAATCCATGATCCATAAATTTCGGGTGTTACCGTTCTTCCGCGCTCGTCTTGTGATATTCGGAAGTCTGATTGCGATCACAATGGCGTATCCTTGTTTCTTGACGGGACTATTCTGGGGATTTTACACAACTATTATTGGATTTTTGTACTTTTTCGTGTCAGAACCGAAAGTTGTCCAGAAAGAGGATGAGAATTGGTTTCTTGATGATCCGGATGACGCTGATGACGCCGAATCGCGATCGATCGGTGAAATGATTGACGATGAAGCGTTTGGATTAACAGAAGGTGTTGTGTATAGGGTAGGATTGTGTGATAGAGCCCAATTTGAAAAATGAATATTGGAAAATTTAGGGATGGATGAACGAGTTACGGTCGAGATATTCTCCAGCCACCTATCATGTCAATTCAGCGCAATCGGTTCTTGTACGACTTGAGGTAGTCTTTTTAAAATTATGCTGCGGACATTTTTGTGTCGTTTCAGGGTTCGATGCTTCGAATTTGTCGACCGGCAAAAGCTGTCTTGAAGCATGCATTCTATGATGACCCAACTCTCAAACAAATGCAGCCAACTATGGTCTCCCAGGCGATTTATGATTTGAAAGACGCGCAGGTCTCGTTGAGACCCAAACGATTGGCGAAACGACGATGGTGGAGTCGCAAATACCCAATTCATATCAAATTCTCGCACTCGAGCAGTCATCTCGTGGAGATTGATCGGAGCAAAATTGGAGCAGCTCGAGGCATCAGTAGATCGGCATCGATGGCACCTAATCCAAATATGTCGATTAGTGGGATTGAAAGTTTGAGCTATGATTCTGAAAATGGCTATTCGGCGGAAAGCGAATCGGATTATGATGAAATTTGTGAGATTTTTCCTTTTTTGTTTATTGTTTCTATGTGTCGGGGGGTTTTTTAGCATCTGAGAAGCCGTCAAGAATCATGCGAGCGAATTCAGCATCGGATATCAATGAATTCAAAGGGAAACCGGCGGCGAAGAAGCGCGGAAGAAGCATTTACTTGTTTGTGAGAGCCGCGCGAGAAAAAGAAAGATGGTTCCATTTGTGAGTTTTGCTCAATTTTAATTTGAAAATACGGAAATTGACATATGGATATTTCGTTTTTCTGTAAAGCCTTATGTTAAAAAAAAGACCAGTAAAAAACAATATAAAACAAAAGGAAATGAATACATTTTTGCTGAATTCTTCATGTAATTCAAATTCTTTTGTCATTTTGTTTTTTTTTTGGTTTTATTAGCAAAAATCAATCAAATCAATTTGCAAAAAATTAGTAGTTTTGATTATTTTATGAAGATGTTATGAAAATTAGAACAACACGTAAGACGGACATTGATGTGTAGGGTACGCTCGTGGAATATACTGATAGGCACAACAATTACTTTGGATGGAAATTGAAATATGGATCTTCATGGACTTCTCGCCGAATTCCAGCACGAATGCGTTCCATGGTTTCTTCGCGAATGACACAAGTATGGTGTTGATCGGATTTGTCGAGCTCGTTCAAGTATTCGCGAAGTGCCGAATCCTCATCGCGAACGGCTGGATCGGTCGTGTTAATGGCGGGATATGGATGATACCCTCTGTTGCTTGTAAGATTGAATTGGCGGTGCACTATGAGCATTGTGATGCCGTCGGAATCGAACGTATATCGCGATTGGGGCAGATGCATCATTCCATGAAGAAGGAAGTATTCGGAAAAGAATAGCGGTTCGGAAAGTATTGGATCAATGTAGACGGATGCACCTTGGCCGTTGAGAATCGAATTGAACTTATCAAACCAAACATCCTTTGATGGGAATGCTGGTTGAGTGGCAACGAACAGTAGAGAAGCTTCCAATTCTTTGCAAGTCATACGACGGGGAGTGGCGGTCATGATGAACAGTGAATAGTATTGTATAGATGGATAATAGACTGACTGAACTGGCCGGATGCCGCATGTTTGAGACGGAGTTTTGCCTTTAGGAAACTCGTGTGTCTACTCTTTACTATTTTCTATATCGCCTATCAGATCGCACCGCGATTGACTGCAGCGATGATTGGGGCGAACCGTTTTGAAGTGCGAAACGCGATGTGCTAAACATTTGAATCATCGTGAGAAACAGTGTAGAACATAGTTCATAATAATTGATAGTAGAAAATTTACCATATAAATATGTATGTAAAAATTTTTAGACTACGTGAAGCTTGTGCTCGTGCTCGCAGCTCCACTCATATGCAACGATGCACATCATTGGTTGTCAAGTCGAAATCGTCGGCATCTCTTCCAGAAGAGCTCAAAGTCGGTCTTCACGACGACGATCGACCGAGTGTGGCACTCGATGCCCTATCAGCCGATCAACAATCGGATGAGGTGAACGATGCGATACTCGATACGCCGAGGCGTCGCAAATTGCCGAGAGAATACGAATTTCTGAAATATCGTAGTAATTACGCTAGTTTTGTTAGGTTTGTTTAAAACCGATTTTTTTTAAATTTATTTTTTACTTCCAGAGAAATCTCCAAAATACTATCAGTTCAGCTACCACCGAAGCCGGAACGCAATAGCACTGTTTCGGTGGATTTGGGAACGATGAAATGGCAACCGGGTCAGAATTTGATCTCCACTGAACTCGTCGATAGTATCAATGTGCTCGCGACGAGAATCTTCTTCGATTTTTGCCGAGATGATTTTTGGATCAAGCAGGTCAAACAGAAAATCCAGTGTAAATTGGCTACAATTCACGTAACATTCATTTTTGTGTTATTTTGAAAAAAAAAAAAGAATATTTTTAGTTACCATATTTCATTGAAAAACTTGAGCTGGCTGAGCTTAAATTTGGCACGAAGGCTCCGAAATTCACGACAGTGTATACGCCGAAGGTTGACGAATGGGGAACTTGGGTGGATTTTGAGGTAATTGATTTTTTGGAAGTTTCCATTTCTAACCGAGAGCATTCAGATGAAATACAAAGGTGGAATAAGACTTGTCCTCCAGACGAGTGTCAATCTGCTGAAACTGCAAAGTGGATCGCAGCAAGTAGAAACTGAGAAGAAGGTGACAAGATGGACGGAATCGGTGAGAGTTGCGCGTTACTCGGACTCTGACCTTCCTGAAAGTCCGGAGAGCAGTCCTGATGAGGATTTCGGTTCGAAAAACAATTCTGAAGGAAATACGAAGGAGAGAACGGGAAAAAAGTTGCTGTCGATAGTTGAACGAGCTGCGCAATCATCGTTATTCCAGAAAGCAGCGAAACTTCAAGCGGTGGCGAAGGTTTTAATAATTTTTTAAAAGTTTCAATATTCTGATTTTTTCAGCTTATTGAAGATGTTTCAACCACCCCATTGATGCTTAACGTGGAAGTTGAAGAAGTCGAAGGACCGATGACGTGCAACATTCCACCTCCGCCTAGCGATCGCTTGTGGTACGCGTTTCGCCGAAAGCCGCACTTCAAAATCCGCGCGATTCCGCAAGTCGGTGATCGCTCGGTGGATTTGTCGACGGTGTCCGAATGGATCGAGACGAAACTTCGGAATCTGCTAGAAAAGAATCTCGTGTGCCCCAACATGGACGATATCATTCTACCGGTGCTCTCCGGCAACCCGCTTCTTCATATGGGCTACAACAAGTAATTTTTGGCGAATGGGTACTTTCTTGTGTTAATTCACCGTTTTTTTGCATTGTTTGTTTGTATATTCTAATTTATTTCACCTCGCAATCCAATTCATAATGTAAATAGACTTGTCTCTCCGGTCCCGTTTTTTTTTTTGCAAAATTACCGTCATGTATTATCGATATAATTCTTATTTGAAGCGCTTTAATGTTTCTTTTGTGTGTTTCGTGAAATTCCGCTCGTGTTTTAGGATTCTTTTTTGATAAAAATTATTGAATTATTCTCAAGAAGAACACAATGTATGATTAGTATGTGTTACAATATCAATGAGTATTCAAGTTATTTGCAACTCAAAGAATGCGCCGCTGTCATAAACAGCTTGTAAATCAGTCTTTATGCGTTGCACCACGATTCAAAAATAACTGATTGCCTTATGAGGAAATAGTGAAAAACAGAGGCGAGAATTTTCCAAATGGAAATCCCGCCCACAAAAATCCGAATAAATAGACCGGATCCAATCAGGAAATTACATGATTCTTTTTTGTTTAAGATGGCTTCGACATCATATCAGCCGCGAAACATGAGCTATGAGGAATTGAAGGCGGCATTGTTGTTCGTCACGAGACAACCAGAATCCCCTATGCTCAGCATCTGGATTCAGAAGTTCGCGATAATCTTGAAACGAGCTGGACCAACTGTCTATATTAACCCGCTGCTCGCGCACCCGTTTTTTATGTTCAAGCATGTCTATCGTGAGAATCTGCACTGGTTCCCGAAGGATCGATATGTGTTCGATGGTGAAGGCATTCGATTTCTTATTGCATTCCGTCGTCGAAATTTCAACGAGTCTGGTGAGTTCAAGCCGTATCCGCACATGGATGTTGATCAGGAAGGTTGCCGTCGGTTGATCAGATACTGCAAAACGCTCAAAGATGGCAACGGCACCCAAGGATGTATGCATTTGAAAGGAATGTCAAAGTTCATCGCCGAGTCAATTGAGTTCGAGCTTCTCTTCTATGAAGACTAAATTCTTTTGCGTTGAAACTTTTTGTTTGGTTTTCTGTTTTTTGTTAATGTCTATTGAATTCAATGTGTTTTCGTTGTCTGTATTCGTTTTCTTCTAACGTTTCACCAAAATCACCTTTCCATTTCAGGGAATGTTCTAAAGATAATAAAATAACTCCCTAACATACTCCATATGATCCCAATTTTCGCAAATATATATATTATATTTTTTCTATCAACTCTCGTTTGTTGTTTATTTATTTTAATAATTTTAAATGTTGGAATTTACGATTTTTTCTAGCAAATAACATTTTAATTTTCCAACCAAAAAAAAACAAAATGAAAGAATTTGAATTACATGAAGAATTCAACAAAAATGTATTCATTTTCTTTTGTTTTATATTGTTTTTTGTGGACTTTGAACTGTTAAAAGTTTTTCGGAAAAAGAAATTAACAAGTATTCTCTTTCACGCATTCCAAATAACTCGATGATCATCCTGAACATGTTTTTTTTTGAAACGTGATTGAGAGTTCTATTTTCTTATCAGACTTTTGTGATTCATTTCAAGGTTTAAAAGATAATGCATAATTCTGGAATGCAAGATATTGGATTTTCAAAAAGTGTCACAAAAGTTCAAATGTTACCGAATATTGGGATCTGGAATGACGAAACGGCGCTTATAAGGGATTATGTCAAATGCTATTTCACGAAAAAGGTATGAAAATCCAATAGACTGAAAAAGAATCGGTTTAGAAAACATTTCTTCGAATCAAATCTCAAACAGCAGCAAGAAAGCGGGTTCTGATTCTAACTCCGTACGACCAACTCTTGGTATATGAGACGAATTGCACAGGTCGATAAGAATATTTGTACGTTTCAAAGAAAAAAATAATCATTTTCAGGATACTGCTTTAGCGTCAAAAATGCTCAAAGATTAACAGCCTCATCGGAATGGATAAATCCTGAAAAGAGCTTCGAGAAATCATGCACAATAACTTTGAAATATCCGATTGGATCCGTAAGCTTGGTGCTGATCCACAATCAAATATCGATTTGGAGACGAAGTCTATCGAGTATATTCGAATGCGACGCTTTTGATCAGTCACTCGTTGATGATATTTCCTTATATACAGCTAAAGGTGATTATGGAGCTTATGCTAATTAAAGAGAGTTACTTCAGACTCGGACGACAATGATTTCGATGTAACATTTCGCGATGAGGAGAAGCCCGATATGTTCGAGTACACGGACTCAGTTGTTAGTTTAAAGGTATTTCAGCCATGAGAATCGTTTGATGATTATATTTCGCAGTCTGCACACGCGTGCACCAATCTGTCGCCGGTGTGCAGCACCGCCCACGACATCACGCACGATGCAATGTTTTCAACGGAGAAAACCAACTCGAATCGATCGCTGACCTATCTGCCAAGCACTCTGCGAACGGCACGATCCGACAGCGAATCGAACAACTCGCGATTATCATTCAATTCGTTCTGCCCGCCGGATACGTCGACGAGAAAGAAATTCGCACAAGCGGCCAAGTTAGAGTTTGATCGAAACGCCAACAGAAAAAAAATGATCAAATTGCGCGTTATTGTGAGAAATTCCTAAATGACCTCGAGAATTCTGCAAAAATGGGAATTTCTCTTTGAATAATTGCCTTTTTACGAGTACCGATCATTCTCACCGCCAATCATTTGCTCGGGACCCAGCCCATTATTTGTCTAGTTAGTAAATATGCACTAACGAGGTCAACTGTGCACATCTATCGAAAAAAAAACGAGGCAAACATCAAATCAGTTATTTTTTGTTTTCAGCGCTTCAGTTCGAGATAAGGCCCGATGTGTTTCAAGTCTCTGCAAGAAATTCGAAGGACGGATCAAAGAGAGTTTCTCGAAGAACATTGGTCAGAAAGTTTGGCCTCCACCAAATAAAGAGTAGGTATTTAACCTTGAATGAGAGATATTGGTTTTTTTTCGAGAATCTCAAGTCCAAAACCGACATCGCCGCCACTCATGGTTTTATTTCCACCTCCGTTGCCAGTAAAGAAATTGGAAGATCCACATAATAGCTCGGAGAATGATGACTTCGTCGTATCAAAGATTGAGTATACGCCAACGAAACTACGAAGTGAGGAAGTCGTTTTATAAGCAAATATTTATAATGAAATGAAATAAAATGAACCTGAGGCAATCCTTTTAAAGGCACTTATTTTCTTGAGCAAAACACGGGGGTAATTATAGTCGTCGTCGCAAACGGGCAAAGTCTCCTGAAATTTAGAATTATCGCAAAAACTCGATGAAAATTCTCATTGTACCTTCAATATATCCTCGTCTGAAATTCTCGTCAACGGTTTTATCAAGATTCCATCCGTCGGGGATACCAACAAGTCCTCGAGCTCTTGGTGCAACTTGTGGAAAATCGGGATCGACTTGGTAATCGAACGGAACCATCTTTGAATGTGGCCTGAAGTGTCGAATCGATGAGATTTGGATGCATGCAAAAAAAACCCTAATGGAATCTTGGCCTCATGAATCGGTGGAGCCGTCCACGTTCCTTCGGTTGTGGTAGCAATTACGTCGACAACTTCCCCGGGCACACTACTGTCCAATGATTCTTCCGTCGTTGTGCCTTCTGTGGTGGTCGTGGTTTTTGCGGAGTCCTCAAAATCTTCGAGCTCTTCGAGTTCCTCAGCGGTTGGCATTGTTCCAGGGGATTCACTTGGTTTATTTTGAAGCTAAAATCGGAATTGATTGACGAGAGTTCGTGTTTCAAACTTGTTCGGTTCCGAATGGCATTTTCGGTTCGGTGCTTCCGTCTTGAAGTCCCGGTTTTACCTAAATCAATTTTTTTTTCATCAGCACAAATTTTCGACGAGTAAAATAACCGATGGCTCCGAAAATGGTTTCTTCAGAAACGCGTTGTCGCCGCCACGAAGTCCCTCCTTCTCACGAAAAATGATTTCAGCAGCTTCGATATCCAAAGCATCGTCAGAAGCTGATCTACGCACTTCGGGTCTACAGACAGACAATTCCGAATTCATGCTTCTTCGAACATTACCTGTTGATATATTTTCGAACCCGATAAACCGCTGTTGATTCGTGCAAAATGATAAGAAGAACCAAAATTGGTTTGAACATGATCGATGCCGTCTGCAGAATGGATGATAAACGAATTGTCGACCGTCACCAACAACAAATATCTATCTCTCTCTCACTCCCCCTCCTTAAAAAAAACTCACATTACCCGAGGAAAACCAGTTTGTCAAATTGGAGTGATATGATAAAAAGTTCAAATTTTCATAATTATAAATATGATATATATATAAAGAATATATAGATATATAAATAAAGTGTATGGACAAGGCATAAAGCGAAAAGAACCGAAATACAACAACAACACTGAAATTTAAGAAAAAATTATGTCGCCTAAAACTTTGGAATAAAGTTGATCTCGAGAAAAAAAAAACTCGTAGCTTAATAATTTTAAATTAAATTATTTCAAAAAAAGGTGGATGGTGGGAACACGTTAAAATATAGCAGCAAGTTGAAATAAATTACGTGCGAAGACAACAAAAAATTGAGAGAAAAGCTCGAAAACAATACGAATCTATATATGGGATGGTTTCGGACAATTAGTATTAAGAGACCTGATAGAGCTCTGCGAATAAAACGAACAACTGCCAAATATGGACATGGTGCGGAGGCGAAATGTGAATTCATTTTTAGAAGAATCGCTTGTGGATTGCGAATGCGCCGAGATCGTCGTATTCCTTTTTGCCGAGCCACATTTTGCGGAAGGTGTCGAGACTCGCCACAATCGAGCCACCGATCCATGTAAGAGAAAGACGCTCCTATAAATTCCGATTTGTTTTCAATTACTCTAAAAATATCAACAATTCGACGGAAGTTTTCCACCAAAAAAATCAAATCAATCAAGTTTTACAGTAAAATAAATATTTTATAGCCAGTTTCGCGTGATGTTGATCAGTTCTCCTTGAACTAGTATGATCTGATTGATCTAATCACTGTCAATTAAAGCAAAACATCATTGTCTTTCAAATTTGATCACGTGATTTGGTGTATTTCAGAAAAAATTAAAAAATCGACTCACTTGTGATGCGGATATTCTGATTTTTCCATCGGATGGCGCGATTTTTCGAACCTAAAAATTAATTTCCTTTTATTTTGCAATTATTCCCAATCATACTTCGCTCAATAATCTATCTCCGAATCCCTTGAACAATGTTGAGCCACCGCTCAACACAATATTGCTATACAATGTTTGCCTTAAATCAATATCGCATTTCATTATCGAATTGTTAACCAGGTGAGCCATTCCAGGCCATTCAGTTCCAATCAGATCTGGTTTGAACAGCACTTCTGGCGCTCGGAAAAGCGAGTTCGACAATTCGATTTTCGTGTTGTCCGGAAGATTGTACGAAATTTTGCTGGCGTTGTTTTCGACCTTTGTTGGATCAACGGCGAGATAGCAAGCGTTCTGCTTGATTTCGCGCACAATCTCAAATTCATTGCTTCTGTGAAACTCGTAGCCTTCTCGACGGAGGAGTACACGAAGGTACTCTGTGACGTCGCGACCAGCAAGATCCATCCTTTGAATCCTGAATTATTATATTAATGTTGAAACAAAAAACTGAAAAATATCCCTACGCGTGTTTCATTGCAAATCCTTTCACGATCGGAACTGCATGAGTCACTCCATCGCCGGAATCAAGAACAACTCCGGTTGTTCTTCCGGTTGCGTATAACGAAAGAACCGCTTGCATTTGAATGTACAACGCTGGTACATTGAAAGTCTCAAAAAAGATTTCGGCAGATTTCTCGCGATTTTTTAGCGGATTCAAAGGGGCATCGGTAAGAAGGACTGGATGCTCTTCGGGGAAGATTTGCAATTGCTCGGGACTGTAAATGTACTCCCAAATCTTCTCCATATCACTCCAATTGTTCACAATTCCGTGCTCCATTGGATATTCAATAGAGAACAGGCCACGATTTTCCTCAGCTTTGGGCCCTATGAAAATATCGCCTTCCAGGCCGCCGGCCATCACACGATGGTATTTTGGGCGACCGACAAAGTTTGCAAATCGAACCTAATTTAGATTTGAATTTGAATTAACATATATTTCTAAATATTCACCTTCGGCTGTTGCTCGCCAGCAAATCCCGCTTTTATCACCCCTGAACCATTGTCAATAACAACTGGTTGATTTGCAATCACGTCGTAATCCATCACTACTTTGATTACCTGAATAATAGAACTTTGAATACAATTTCTAAGGAACGGAAAATTGTCAAACAAATGTTTTCAAAAAAAGAACGAAAAATTCGCGTTGCGAAATGGACGCGATCAGTCGTCGCGGTGTTTGCATACTATGCACCGCTTGCGCGTAAAGAAAATCGAATTATTCGAAGAAAATCGTTAGATTTTAAATATGACATGGAATCACGACGAATATCTTAATACTAATAATAGAAATAGAAAATATTCAGAAATTTCTTTGAAAAATTGTATTTTCTCTTACTTATTCATTATATTCAAGCATTAACTTGAGCACATCAGTTTATGTTCTTTAACACCTCGAAAAAATTTATAATGCGATTAAATAACTTAATTATGAAACGTTCAGACGGTATTGTCACGCAGCCTCAGCATCTCAGTCATTCTCTCTCTCTCTCTCTATCTTAACTCCCTCTCAACAACACTCCCTCTGCTCAATGGGTCATCTGTCACTCTTCAAAGAATTTCCTCTCGTTTAACAAAACATGCATCGAATCCCGGATTGGAATATTGAAAGCGATTCAAAAGGCTTCGGAGTGCCACCACGTTCGCCGATTCCAAACCGATCAACGCTATTTGTCAATGACAAATTGAGCGGCGAGTTTTTTCAGAATCTCGCGGCGATGCGAGCGTGAGCAATTTTTTCGGTTTATTTTTTTTTTAATTTAAATAAACCTTATTTAGAAATCAAGAGCTTTGCGATGTTATTATCGAAGCCCAATCGTCACCATCAAGTAATGCTGAAGATTCCAGACAGCAAGCATTAATTATCCCACAGCATATTCATGCTCATCGCGTTGTTCTGTCAGCGTCAAGTCCATATTTTCGGTAATCACTAATATTTAAAAAAACAATATTGGTTTGGCATTTAGGGCAATGTTTTCTGCGGGAATGATTGAATCTAATAATAGAATAATTATAATAAAGGTAAGAATCAAAGATTTTTGCATAATTTTGAAAAAATGCCCATTCCAGGAGGTTGATGCCGACATTCTTTCTCAGTTAATCGATTATATGTACACTGGCAAAGTCGCAATCGACGAACAATGTGTGCAATCAATGCTCTCCACGGCGAACCTGCTCGATCTTATTTGTGTTCGAGATGCTTGTTCAAAGTAAAAAAAACGTTTCACACTCGCAAATTCAGTCTGAAAATGAAATTGCCAGATTTCTACTGGAACAACTCGACGTTTCGAATTGTCTTGGAATCGCGGCGTTCGCCAAATTGCACTCTTGCTCACAATTGGCAGACGCGGCGCAATTGTTCACCCGACAGCATTTCGGGTAATTTTCTTGAATCGGAATTATCAATTTTGCGAGAGTTCACCTGACAATTTTAGAGATTTGATTGACAACGAGGAGCTTCTAAGTTTAGATGAAGCAAGCTTCAATCAGCTGATTACCGATGATCGAATTACCACAAAGGTTTCGAAAAATCGAGTTAAAAGAATTTAAAAAAATACAATTTTAAAGGGCGAAGAAGCAGTATTCGAAGCAGTTATCAATTGGACGCGACATGACCTTCTAAATAGAAAAGATGCTTTACCAAGGTAGAAAAGAGTGCTCAAGTTGTTCTTTATTATATTTACCATTTTTAGGCTCCTATCCGCCGTTCGCCTGCCATTCCTCAACACCAAGTATCTTCTCAATCGTGTTTATTACGAGCCGTTGGTATGTTCCTTTTCTTCTCTTATCAATCACACGACAACCAATTACGTGATTTCGACCAGTTCTTTATTATTTTATTCTCAACAATTCGCTCGTTCGTTCAATTTTCAGATCCGCCAAAACAAAGAATGCCAGGAGATGCTTCTCAGCGCGTGCAAATTTCTTCTCGAAAGGAATGAGAAGCCGAACACGACGTCCGACTCGCGAAGGGTGAGCCTCGCCAATTCGGATGCTGAACTGTCTGAAATGATGGAGAGATGTCCGCAATGGCTGCGACCACGCCAACCGGTTCCCATATCGAAATATGTGATGATCATCGGAGGTCAAGCACCGAAAGCTGTTGCGAATGTCGATCTCTTCGATCCGGACTCACATTTATGGAGCTCTTGTTGGTCGAAATGTTTCGATTCTATGAATTATCTTCAATTCCAGGTTCTCCGCTTCCTCAACGCCGCTGCCGTAGCGGTGTGAGCATTTGCCGAGATCTCGTCTACAGTACTGGAGGTTTCAACGGAGCACAACGTGTCAAATCAGTCGACGTTTACGATCCAAGAAGCGATATTTGGATATCCAGTTGTCCAATGGAATGTCGGCGATCTACTCATGGACTAACCGTTGAGGATGGATCCCTTTACGCTGTTGGTGGCTTCGACGGTTCGTCGGGTTTATGTAGCGCTGAAATGCTTGACATAAGAACTGGCGCCTGGTGCCCTCTTCCGTCAATGAGCACAAGAAGATCAAGTGTCGGTGTAGCTTCTTTAGATGGCCTTATATACGCTATTGGTGGTTTCGACGGTGTCTCGAAGCAGTGTTTAGGCACGGTGAGTCTTATCAAAAGTTTATTGACTTTCTTATTAACCGAAAAGCTGAATAAAGCAAAAAATATTGAAAAAAAAACCGAAGAATGCATTATAAATATAGTTGGGGAAATATATTAAATAACAATAAAAAAAAACAAACATATGAATTTCTTTGGAAACTTATGCCCACTCCTCAGCTTTTTCCGTATCAGCGACGTACTCATCAGCGAATCTGCGGAACTTCTCAATAAGCTTCTCCAATGGAACCTCTCCTCGGACCTAGAGAATTTCTCCTTGAAATAATATTGGTGACAAAATCTTACAGCATTATCTCTTGTGCGCACATTAACAGTTTTGTGCTCCATTTCTTTAGCTCCCAAGACGAGAATGAAGTTGAATTGGGCAAGTTGGGCATTTCGGACCTAAATAATCAATTCAGAATTGTTCAAAACAAACCAAGTCACCTGTTTGTTCATCGTGTCCGCGCAATCCGCATCATATTCCACTTCAAATCCAGCATCGAAAATTCTCTCCTTGACCTCTTTAGCATATCCACTAACACTCTCGTGGACAGTGATAATTTTGCATTGTCGTGGCGAGAGCCAGAATGGCCATTTTCCACCGAAGCTCTCCGTAAGAATGGCAGTCATTCGCTCAACAGATCCGAGCACTGCACGATGGATCATGACTGGCCGTTGCTTTTCTCCCTTCTCACTAGAATAGGAAAACTTAGGCTTCTTTAGAATTAATTCTTACTCGAAATAAGTCAAATCAAATCGAATTGGCAATTGGAAATCGAGTTGAATTGTGGCGCATTGGAAGTTTCTCTTCAACGCGTCTTGAATGGTAATATCGATTTTTGGTCCGTAGAAAGCTCCATCTCCAGGATTTAACACCCATTTTCTTCCAGTAGCGTTCAAGGCATCAGCAAGGTCAGCTTCAGCTCTATCCCATGTCTAAAGGGAAAGTAAATAGAAGATTGAGAGGAAATGATTATTTACCTCAATATCTCCCAAAAATCCTTCTGGTCTCGTAGAGAGGTTCAATTTGAAAGTGAAGCCGAACACCTTCTCATAGGCATATTCCAAGAAATCAAGACATCCCTAAAATATAATTGTTCGGTGTTGTAAAATGGTAATAAAATCACAAACCATAATTTCCTGTCCAATTTGATCTCTGCGACAGAAAATATGAGCGTCGTCCTGCTGGAAACGACGAACTCTCGTGAGTCCCGTGAGAGCACCCGACATTTCGTTTCTAAATTTCACAATCCGATTTTCTTTTGACTAGAGAATAAATATACCTATGAAGAACTCCGAAGTCGGCGAATCGGTACGGCAGCTCGTTGTAGGTGTGCGGCTGGTGGCCAAACATCAAACAGTGTCCCGGACAGTTCATTGGTTTCAATCCAAACTCTTCTTTCTCAACCTCGATCTTGAACATATCCTCCGAATAATGCTCCCAATGACCAGATGTTTCCCAAAGCTTCTTATTGTACATATTCGGTGTGATCACCTCGGTAAATCCACGCTTTCTGTACTGCTTGCGAATAAATTCGACAAGCTTGTTGTAGATGTGAGCACCTTTTGGATACCAGAAAGCGGATCCTGGTGAAAGCTGATGGAAGAAGAAGAGATCTTGCTCCCTTCCAAGTTTTCTATGGTCACGTTTGGCGGCTTCTTCTTGAAGCTTCTGCCATTCTTTCAGTTGTTTGGTGTCCGGGAACGAGATTCCGTAGACACGCTGAAGAGACTCAGCGTCAGCTTTTCCCTCCCAATATGACGACGAAGTCTTTGTAATTGCAAGCGCCTGTAAATTGATTTTTTCTTCTCCAAAATCAATTCTGGCGAAAATACCTTGACTTTTCCGGTGTGCCTCACGTGTGGTCCTCTGCACAGATCGATGAGTGGTCCGCAGCGGTAAACCGTGGTCGTTGGTGTATTAACTTTCTCTTTCAAAATTCTCACTTTGAACTCGTTGTACTTGAACATTTCCAATAAATCTTCTTTGGAAACCTCGAGACGCTCAAACTTTTGCTTATCCTTCACAGCGGCTTTAACGATTTGATCAATTTTTGGAAAATCGTCGGGGCTGATCGTGCGATTCTCATGCCACATATCGTAATAAAATCCTTCTTGGATTGGTGGTCCGTAGCACAAATGACCTCCACAGAAACGCTCCATTGCTTCTCCGAGAATGTGAGCTGACGAGTGCCAGAAAACTTGTTTAGCCTCATCGTCGTCGAATTTCAACAAATGAAGGGTCGCATCTCCTTCAAATGGACGGTCCAAATCCCAAACAACACCATTAACCTTAGCGATGACCGCATTCTCGGCGAGACCTTTCGAGATTTTCTCAGCGATTTCAATTGGTGTGGTTCTCCATGATTTTCCATCAAAGGTTTTTCCATCGGGCAATGTGATTGTAATTGGCTCAGGAACCTTATTGGCGATTTCCTCGTCGTATTGAGCCTTTAGCTTGTCCCAGAGCTTAATTCGTTCTTCGATGAACTCCGGCCACGGAGACATTTCAGTAGGTACCTTCGACATCTTCTATAAATTGAAATTAGAAATTGATTTTAATAAAGTCTAAATACGCTAAATAGTACGTACTTGGCCGGAAATAATATGAAACTTATCGGAGGCTAAAGCTTCAGAAGAAAAATATTGGCAAGATCGATGCAAAGCGGTTCGACGAACTAGAATACGCAGAAAATTCAATCGCATCTGCTCATTTAAAGCAGCTTGAAGAGACGGAGAGCTTCTCCTGAAGATTTTACATAGAAATATTTTTAATTCAGCGCATTAGTAGGGCACATTTATGAGCATGTAGTTGCATTATGAAATCTTTCGCAATATCACAATTAAATTTTTAACCTATTTAAAGAGAGAAGAAAAAGACAAAATAGAAAGAATAGCACATCATGGAAAATTAATCTAATGTAAGCGGACCATATATTATGAAAAAAATACGATAGTCCCATTTTGGTATCTCTATAGAACCGCGCTGAGAAAAATATTGTACTACGTTAGAAATTGCCAGCATATATGGTTAATGCAATAGATTACGCGTTTAAATATTCAAAATGGTGAGGATATCAAATGCTATATTACGAATAATCGAGAAAATTGGGAAAAATGGAATAGAAATTTGGCAAAGTCGACAAATGCGCAAGAACGTTTTTGATTGACGCATTTGATGTGTTGACGTAAAAAAAAACATTTAAAAATTTTCAAGTGGTTTTTTAAAAGACTTGTTAGCGAATTTATAAAATAAAAAAATAATGCATTAATTGGATGAGTAAATAATGCTGTAGTGAATAGATAGGTCGTTCTATACACTTTAATATAGAATAATATTTCGGTATTAACACAAACATTCTTACGATAAAAAGGACATCGAATTGAAATTAAGTTCGCTGGTTTAGGTGGAAATCTTCGATATTCGAGCAAATCAATGGCGAGCCGGCCCATCTCTTCGCAGTGTGCGGTCAGGAGCCGGTGTAACCGTGTGTAACGGATCTCTTGTGGTAGTTGGAGGACACCATGGCGCAAATATTCACCAATCGGCTGAGGTACTTGTCGATGGCGAATGGCAAGAGATATCTGGGATGACAGTCGGCAGGCGTAATGCAGCAGTTATTGCGGTCAATGGTGATTTTTAATTAATTAAAAAAAAGAAGATTCATTGCAAAATTAATGTTTAGAACACGTATTTGCGGTCGGAGGCGATGACGGCTCGAGCAATTTGAAAACGATTGAGTGTATTCAGCTGCCGAAAGACGGATATGAAGCCTCGCATTGGAATATCCTCGAGGTAGTTTGGAAATTAATTCCAGAATATCAAAATATACTTTTAGACAAGGATGCCACAAGGTCGTTCATACGCCGGAATAACTCTTTTATCGAAGGGAGAATAGTGTAATATAAAATAAACTGTACGATAGTGTGGTCAGAAACAATATTTGAAAAATAAATAAATAGACTAATTCGACGAGATTGATTAAATCTCATAATGTTTAATTAGAAAAAAAAATATATATATGAATTGCTGCTTTATCAGATTTCCTTAATTTTTTAGTAAAAAAACTGGAAATGGAAACAATTTTAGGAGGAACTTCTTCTCAGCAAATAGTGTCGTAGAAACTACGGAGAAACGAGAAACGAGCAGCAAATCGTTCTGTTGTAAGGACAATGTCTTGAAGAATGCTTATACGAAATGTTGATTTTATCAAATCAGAGTTCACCATTATATCCAAATGTGTTTCAATTTTTAGGCCAACTAATCAACACCAGAAGCTTGTAACGAGAGTTTATTCACAAACTAGCAATGGCCCAAATTATGGAATACCGTAGCTGAACAACTTGAACTGTTCCCAGTAGTTTCCAGTGACCATGAAGAGAAGATTCTCATTAGAAATTCTTAGGGTCGCTGACTGCTTTCCATTATTGCGCATTATTTGAGCAGTATCGCCGCCGCCCATGACGCGGTCAAAGTCTCTACAAAATCCACCACTGAAAAAAAAATTGAAAAAATAATGCGCACAATGCGCACAAACTAACGCTTCTTTTTTAAACTCGTCATCCCAATTTTTGTGAAAAATTCCTTTGAGAATCTCATCTTTATTAAAGGAATTTTGATACCAAATGCTCAATTTGACGAATTCCTTCGGATCGTCGCCATTCATCCATCTCTGCATTTTTTTTAAACATTTTTTGTTTCAATTTTCTATGAAAATTTGCAACCTTGATGAACTTATTAATCATTTCATCAGTTATCGTTGAAGAAGAAAATGTCATGTGAGCAGCTTTTAAATTCAAAAAGATCTCTTCTGTGAAACTGCAATTTGCCCAAAAATAGAATCGCTTGGCGTTTTGAATCTAAAATTGTTTGGTTTTTTTTTCGGTTAATGATTTTTACCTGAGGATGGCTCAAAATCTCTGGAGGCAAGCTAGTATTATAAGACAAATCCTCATTTTTTTCAGAATCCAGCAATTCTAATTGATCGACTTGCTCGGTGAGCATGTTCAGCACATATAAGAGCTGCTGATGATTCGCAAATGCGTATCGGAACGACTTGCAACTGATTTTCTTGATTTCAGAAGTTTCAATATCCCAATCCGCCTGAAATTCGCAATCAAATTATAACCAGGAAACAATTTATTTTCAAGTTTATCTGTCCCTATGTACAAGAAAATCGTTTTAAATTTTGTTTTAGTAAAAAACTTGCTAAGTCAAAAAACGCAGGGTTGGTAAATTGAAGCCGGGGCCGGAAGCCGGCCGGCCGGCTTTCGGCCGGCCGGGCCCAAAATTTAACAACCCTGAAAAAACGCATAGTCGTTGGCTAACAGTTTAGACATTTTTATTTGTCACAAAAAAGGGACTCGATCCTCTGAATGAATTATTTCAAAAAAAATTACCATTTCTATAGTGCAATTTTGCGCAGTATATTTCGCTCTTTTCATCAATTCCTCGAAAAATGTTACCCCTTTTTGATAATAATTGGTATTTTCATACAAAATTTTCGGATTTGTTCGATACGTCTGCGGATTCATATGCCTAAAATTATAACTTTTTTAAAAATTGTTTTTTACTAAATTTTTTACTTGATCAGTTCAGTATTACTTCCTCACTGCATGAAAATAATATTTCGTGATAGCCGTGCGATTCTCTTTCCAAATTCGATTTTTAGCATTATATTCTAAATATTAAATAAAAATTAGAATTTATTAAATATATCGTTATAAATACCTTGTCATTATTATCACAATCATAGCAATAAAACTTTTCCGAGTTATTGATTTCAATTCCATCAATTTTGATAGGCGGCTCCTTTTCAATTTCTTGCATTTTCTTTGAGCACTTCGACAAAGAATATCTACAAATTGTAGAAATTTTACGGAAAAGTTAATTGAAAAAAAAAACCGTGTCAAAAAATCCATGTGAGAAATAACGCATTGCTGAACGTCGGTTGGTAGTTTACACCATTTGATGAAGGTTCTGTTTGACTCCGATTTCGAATTCAATGATGGCTCGTCTTCAGCGGATATATCGAGATTATCGAAATCATCGAACATCGTTCTTCAAAATGGAATATGTGTCCGCAGCAACGAAATGAATCCATTTGACTACGTGCGATTTTGGGAAATTGAAATGTTTCGCAATACGCGTCTGGCGATTGCAAGTGTAAATATGAGAGTTCAATAGAATCAATATTCAAATTTGACTGTTTAGAAAACTAGAAAATAAAAAAATTATTTCAACTTCCATATACATGATTGAAGATATTGCAGTAATTCAAAACAATTCGTTAAAGATACTATCCAAACTCGAAGCTTCAAAAACGGCGTTTGAATTGCCACCAAAATAGCGGTGCTTGCGGACTTGCAACATTTTACCATTCGTTTTTAAATGTACAAAAAAACTCAAAAAACAGCAATTTCATTTTAATTGGTTGGCTTTTTCGCTGCTAAGTCAACTTCTTTTCTAACTTTTTATCTATTTTCAAGCTACTACTGTATCGATAATTGATGCCGTATATGTGTTAAAACAGTGCATCGAGTTTGGAGGGTATTTTAAGAACAGTGTGATACATACGAGTTCTCAAAAACTTCTGCTGTTCGTACCAGAGCTACCAGTACGACACTACAGGCACACAACACCCTCAAGTTAGAGTCTGGTGTGACCGATGTTTGTCCCGATTGAATCGCTGACGTTCTAATTTTTATAAGTTAGATCAATTATTACTTCGAATTGACGAATTTCGATGATATCAATTTTTTCTGGAATTCGTAATAAGAAATAAACTCAAAAATTAGAAACAATAAATTATAGTTTAAAATGTTCAATATTTAAGTCAGATTTGTTGATTTTTTGAAAAGTTATTTCGTTTTCTTCAATAGCTTTGTGTAAATACATAGTGATGAATATTTCCGCATTACGTAGTTTTTCATTGGTTTGGAGCTGCTGAAGAATCCAGGAATCTATCCAGAGTGCGAGCTGGCCGCCAGTAGCTCGGCTCACTTCCATATTCCTGACAAGTTGTGAGTGTGCTTAACACCTAAAATAAACTACTTAAAGGGTGAGGGGTGAGCCTTTAAAAGTATAAAAATACCATGGAAACAAGATACGAAATCGAACAATTGTAAAGAAGAAAAAGTATTCAACATTAATTCCTAGCGGAGAAATTCGATCGCGAATTAAACAACATGTGTACTAAGAAGAATTGATTCCATCCTTTGCAGAGTGACGGAAATTTCGCGTGCAAAAAACCACGAGTGGGAATTCCGGTATAATCCGATGAGAGTGTTCACTTCCAACAAAACGTTGCCCACTATGACATTTTGCAATAAAGCTTATGGTACGAAGTGAATTCTAAACCTATAGTTATTAATTTCCAGATGATATCAAAAACGATGGAAAAACGATGGAACGACGAAACTGAACGATGAACGAACTAACGATGACGTCGTAGGAACTAATTCTGATTTCTATCACCGTTTATTGAATTCAGATAGTTGATCATGTTGTCAAGCAGATCTATCCCATTTTGGAATTCCATGTGACGACAGATGTTCGGGTTGAATCAGCAAAGAAAACAATCAAAGTTGTGTGGATATTCAAAGCGCTATACGTAAAGAACCCAAATAATTTAATCAAGATTTGAACAATATTTCAGCATGCCATGTATATGATATACGTGTTCGATTCCGTAACGACTCCATGCCCCACGGAAGTTCCGGACCCAAGTGCAATTAAATAAACACTCGAAGAAAAATAATTCAATAAAAAAACAAAGTAACAGAGAGTGGTGTAGGAGGGGTTAACAAACAATCATTGGTCCAAATCGATCAACGGTTCTTTTCAATCCATGTTCTTTTACATACAATTTGAATTCCTCACTATTTGGATCACATTTGATCGGTATACTGAAATGTGTAAGAACGTGTATAATAGGGATTTGCAAACTCAAACTGTTTCTTTTTGCAAACATCGCGCTCGAATTCCAAGAAAGTGAACTCCTTTTGACTTCTCAACGTGTATTCATATTTGGTTAAATCATCGGGATTCTCGGCTGTCTTTCCGGGTACGATGTGAACTCGCATATTATTTATGAAAATTGAAACGACGCCATAATACGCGGTCCGTTGGACGGTTCCCTGTAATCAATGCCAAAACTTTAAAAAAATTTAGTTTAAATTGAACAACCCGATAATCATTCATTATATTCAGCTTGGTTGCTATTGTGAACCATTCACGTGTGCTATAGTAAGGAATCCTAAAAAGTCCACAAATCAAAAATATATATTTATTTAAATATACTTATAAATGCCCTTTTCAGATATCATATTCATGATATTGTCGGACGTTATCAGGGTAGCATTCTGAATAATTCATTTTCATTCTAATATAAATAGTTCTAATAGAAAAACTATTTTTTAAAGTAAATTCTCGACCAACCTTGATTTCTTTGATAAGTGCTGCGTCATATTTCGACTTCTCAACAACGTCAATCGGTATTTTGGAAAAATCGACAAATGTTTGAGACTGTTTAATATTACTCAAAAAATCTTTGAACAGCTTTCTGAAAAAAAAAACACACGCCATCTATGATACATTTTGATATGAAAAAACCCGCTTGTTCCTCTCCCAGCCAAATGCATATTATGGGCTGTTCGGCTGATTTCTGGGCGAATACACACCCGATTTTTGCGAACTTCTGGCGTTCTCATCCAATCATCCCAATATATTTTAGCAAATATTGGCGAAAGCTCATCCCAAACGTTTTTCTTGAGCATCCAGCCGAGTCCCGGAAAGAAATCCGAACGATAGACTTTCTCTGGCGAATTTTCGTCAATACGATCTTCAAGGCCATTGTCATTCCACGCGGAAATACACCAAACTTCGGGATAAGCGTCCAAAATCTTCCGACCCCATTCGAAGTATGAGAAGAAATCTAATCCAATGTCCAGATCCTCTTAACAACACAATTTCAGTATTCAAAAGAAAATGAACTATACCTTCTGTTATTAACACATGTGTATAATTGAAATGGTAAAACATTTGGTCGAGAGCCCATTTATAATGAGACGCAATTGCTGAATAACGTTTTCCATTCGCACGATGCTAAACGAAAAAATATTACGAGACGGTAAACAAATTCTGTGAACACGTGTTCGTAGAAATGCGGACATTTACTGCGTTTTTATTGAAAAAAAATTTTCGGCAAACAGATCGGACGAAAGAGAATCTTTTTTCGTGCTCGGCGAATCGATTCCTAATTTTGGAAACGATTCTGTGGCATGAAAACACATTTGTTTTTTTTTTTCGACGCAGTGAAACAGTGTATTCAATATGTTTCGCCAAATCCGAGAAATATTTAAACGTTCGTGTTTCGCCCGACTAGTTTGCCGATAAATATGAAACTTTCTTCAGTTGAAAAAGAAATTGCTTGCTTTAATATGAAATACAAAGTCGTTGGATAGGGTGAAGTCTTGAATAACTTCCGACATTCGAGATAAATCTCCATCTTGGCTGATAACGATATGAAAACGGAATGACGAAGGTCGATGGCTGAAAATCGAACATTTTTGTATTATTTTATATATTTGAATGCATACACTATCAATTGTTCGACGTGATTCTGTAATGCTCTTTCTCTATTTGCACATATTACCAATATTCCAATAGGCGATTGTGGTGGGTGATCGTTCGAAAATTTTTTAAACAATATTACTTTTTTTAAACAATAACTTTTATTCTACCGTAACATATGGCGTCGCAGGAATTTCTTGTACGATTCTTCGTTCTTGAAACGAAGAACTTTGCGGGTTCTCGCGAAAAGAGATGTGAAATAAGAAAAACAATGTCAATACTGAGATGATATACGTAGCATAAAGCCTAGCAAATCGATAGGCAAAAAATCGTGCAGCAAACATTATTACAATTTAAAAAAATGGAGAGTTTCAATTTTAAAAATGTGATCAACCTAGATATGCTGAAATACGTGGCGTTTTCACGCAAAATTTGGGCTTTGATAAATAAACATGAGAATTTCGAACATTAAATTCGGGAAAATGTGGACAATCGTGTCGGAATATTGACGTTTTTGATTTTTCTTTAAATTTAATATATACAATATACCCATAGAAAATCAATTCCTGTTGACTTTTCAATATTTTTTCTTTTTTGATACTGTGAGCAATTTAATAACTGCAACTACCGTAGCGCCTGACTGTTGAAAATTTTATTTTTTCATTTAAAAGAGTTTCTGCTAGTTTAATTTCTTCTTCTTCTTTTTTATGCATTATTTTCCCCAAATAAAATAAATGTTATTTTTTCGATGAAAACTCAGAAAGTTTTTCATAGCCAATTATTTTCCAATAAAAATTGGAATCCCATTACAATAAAATGGCCTATTAATTGACAGAAAATTCGTATAAAATTGCGATGTTTTGTCCAAAATATCATTCATCATCATGTTTCTCCTTTTGTTCCTACTAATCTCATTTGGCAGTCCTTATAGATTACGGGTATGTTCAAGCATAAACTATGTAATTAACCATTGTTTCAGGGTGAGTTATACGACTACGACGACTTCTTCAACTTTTATAATGAGTTCAAGAATATCAGTGAGCCGTCGTTGTTTAACAGTAAAAAAGAACGAGCCTGGTGGCACTATGGTAAACCATATTTCCGTTGTTTGAATTCATAGTTGAATGTTTTAGATGAAACGTTGGTGTCAGTTAATGATCATAGAAATACGACTCGTATAGAATTTGTAAAAGAAATGGCTAGAGTGTAACTATTGAATTTCTAGTTGAAACTCAATTGTAATCAATAAAAGAATTTAGGCTTAAAGCGCAATCATCTGATCTTCAAGTATGGCAAAGAGCGCATTCTGAATTCTTCGCTTCGATTGACTCCAAGGAGAAATTCTTCACTGAAGTTTGCAAAACGGCCAACTTAACGTATTGTATGTTGAAATTAAATGCTTTCAACAAATTTTTTTTATTTCAGTGGAATATATGAATTTTTTGATGCAAAGACGGACAAAATACATGATTAGTAATACGGTATTTAAATGACTTTAAGCGAATCGAAGTTATTTAAATTTTCAGCCGCCAGATTATTATTTTGATGGAAATATTGATATGGAAGGCAAACTGTTTAATTTTATAATCGGAGTGAATAGTTCTGCGAAAATTGGATATAATTCTAGGGACGAGTACCATATATTTGCCGAATTTGTCCGATAATGATATTTGCCGGGTCTCTGTATGCAAATTTTTAGGTGCCAAACATTTTCGGAGGGTATTATTCAATCTACAAAATCATTCACGGTGGTGGTTGCACCGAAACAGGAATTCCGGATCCGAGTCACATTACGACCAATCATTCGGTGACTATTTTATCAACACCGGGAAGCGGGCCGGAATTCGCCAAAGAACTTGTCAAGAACATTCCGTTTCCATTAGCGAGCCAACAATTTCAATTCTACGACAACAACTTTGTTAAACAAGGAATTTTCCGTGGGACCGTGTGTGACGTGGAAGGAGCATTTATTGACCATAGTATGCGATGTTTTCGAAAATCAATAATAAAATTTGGATTCAGATCAGTTGAGAGAGTACATGTCTCGTTTCTGGATCAGATGGAGGCGGAATAATGAGAACGGAACATTCCAAGAGCTTGTGAATACACCGATATGGACCGATATGGGTCTATTAGAAACCACCCCTACTTTTTAACCCCCACCCCTGCTATTCCACCCCGACTTTTTAACCCCGACTTTTATTTATGATACCACCCCCACTTTTTCACCCCCAATTTTTAGATTTCACCCCTACTTTTTCATTTCACCCCTACTTTTTCACACTCAAAATTTGAAGTTTCTAACAGTAATGTTTAACAGTAAAATTTTACTGTTTTTAATATTTTCAATAATTTAAGTTATCAAGAGGAGATTCGCAGGACTGATGTCTAAATTAGATTTTTCAGAAACTATGTAGCGTTCTTATGAAAGGTTGACGTTTTGACAAAAGACGAAATTTTTCTGAACAGGGTTTTCCGAGAATAGTTAATTTCTTGTTAAAATTGTCAACCTTTCATAAGAACACTACATGTTGTCGGCGTCAAACGACTGAAGGGAGGCGGAGCCTTTAAATTCGCGAAATTAATGTAGATTTAAATTAATCGTTGACTGAATATTCAATGCGCGTACGCTATTATGCAATGGACGCAATTTCGCTGCCTCGAGACGCATTGGCACATAGCCAATTATTTTTTAAATTTCGTCATGTCGTTTGACTTCGACAATAGTTTCTGAAAAATCTAATTTAGACATCAGTCCTGCGAATCTCCTATTGATAACTTGAATTATTAAAAATATTAAAAAATTTTACTGTTAAACATTACTGTTAGAAACTTCAAATTTTGAAGTGCAGTGAAAAAGTAGGGGTGAAATCTAAAAATTGGGGGTGAAAAAGTGGGGGTGGTATCATAAATAAAAGTCGGGGTTAAAAAGTCGGGGTGGAATAGCAGGGGTGGGGGTTAAAAAGTAGGGGTGGTTTCTAATAGACCCCTGATATGTACATATTCCGGTTCACAATCCCCTTGGTTTTCAACAATATCACAGCTCATTGGGACTACAAGATCCGATGCGATTATGTATGTGAATTAATAAATATGACGAAGGAGGAGAAGAATTTCAGAATTTGCATGGATATTTCAAGTGGTACGTCACATTGATGGAATTGATTTGCCCAAAGGAGCTTCTTGCTCGATCCCTTCGAAACGTCTATCTTACGGATATCATGTACAAGACGAAAGAAGCGTATGGATATAGTTTTGATACACAAATCAATTGTATTTTCAGAATTAGGGAGCTTTTGTTGCCAACGAGCAACCGATGGAAGTCCCGATTTGATTTCAATGATGTATATGAGAAAATGAAAGAAGGCGAACCGAAGATTATCGTTTGCGATGAGAAATACGGTAATTTAATGACAGTCACCAGGCAGTCAATCTCATTCCCGACTTTGCCTTAATTGATATTCGAAACTTCAGCTGGCGTAACGAAAACCATGTGGCATTTGTATACGAACAGTACCGGAAATGTTGTGAGTTTCCCCGGTTATCACATTTTTTTTGCTCAATCTAAAAAATTGCAGACAATCGATACCTCAATTCTTTTTCATGGAAGACCTTTCCGATTCCGTGTCACAACCGACGTTTACGAAGAAAAACATTTTCGAGTCAACTGGGATTTCGACATCGCCTTTGTGAGTTCCCTTAAATTTTCTCGAATATTGAAAACTATCGTATTTTTCAGGACCTGCTTATGGCAAGCTTCTTCCTCGAAAAATTGGTAATATCATGCCCATTCTTTGTTTAATTCAAATATAAATCAATCAATTTGAAATTACGTTTTTCTGCAATATCTGGTGGTTTCTATGGAGTAGAGTTTGCCCAAAATGAATTTGATATACACCGTTCAACCCATAAAAACTCCAGTTGATTGTGCTTAATTACCATGGACAATGCTAATTTGTGAGGACAAATTAACTAAACAACACCAGCGCAACAGCGATCATTACATAAGGTAGATGATATCCCCTCCATAGACAAACAACAAGAGCAAGGTAGGCAACATCAATTATGCACCAGGACTATGCTACGGACCACATCTACGATAAATGCCATTCACCAAGAGTCACGTCTTATAAATCCGTTGAAAAAATCGTGAAATGTTGCTAATCACGCTAAAAATATTAGCAAGACAAATTCCAATCTTGGCAAATCGCGTTCACGGAACAATTTCTGAGGTCTTTTACAGTTTTCGCTCGATTGCGGACGATTTCAAATATGGCCTATATTGCGTAGTAAGTAAGAGCGAAATCGGTGCGTATTTGCCATCCCATGCACTCCGTCGCGCGAGCGTCAGTTTTGTCGCTGATTGCGGCTCTGTGGGTCCGGCATCGTGCTAGATATAAAAATAGTTACTGAACATGAACCAGTAAAGTTATTGAGCGAAAAGAAACAATGCAAAAGATTGAAATTGCATAAACGAGCGAAATTATACTTAAGGAGAGCGAAAGGGGACAATATAGAACAAGGGAATACAAAAATGAATTAATTGGAATACGTTACGAAAACTAGAGAGCACTTAAACGAGTTCAAAATGATATCATCTTCAAATTCGTGGTAGTCTGTTTTCCAGTTAGCCGAACGAACTGAATTGCGTCATTTGCTAGAGGCGAAGAAGGACGAATTGTTCGATATTCTGTACACCTCAATTATACGGATATTTTTCGGATGCAAAATGATTGGTTTACAAGCTGAAATAAATGTAGATAAGGCTTGTAAGAAACAGGGCCAGGCCGCTTTGAAGCCGGCTTTATTTTAAGTCAACACGTATAAGAAACGGTTTGAACAAGTCTCGCCTTGTCTGCGAAGGCTAATATAATTGGAAGCCAATTATTTTAATAAATTGCTAAATATTATACGAAAATCAATACATGATCTCGTTGAAGCGATCTCAGGCCAACTCGTGCTTAAAAATCTAACAATTTCGGACAATCCGCTTCTTTCTGGCCGCTCTGGAGCATGTCTGATCGAAGAGTTTCTCTACACATTCCTGAACCAGCACCTAGATGGAAAGAAAAATGTAGTTTATATCTCAAAGCTATCGAAAATTCCGCTAATTGCTCGCCGTTTACGCATTTTCGTGAAGGCGGCAATTCAAAACGAACGCTGCTCTTTTTAAAGAGCCTCATTAGTATAATCGTTTTTATCAGGAAATGACCACAGTGTCTTGCAGAATATTTCATAATAACTTTTTAAAGAAAACAGGTATTTATTCATAATTCCTTTTACCAATTTGGCAATGGCAAAACTCGGAAAGGGGCAATAGAATTGTCGCACAGTAGTGGAACACACACGGTATTAAATTATTTGCAAATAAAAATTTGAATCCCATTACATTGAAATGACCCATTAATAAACAAAAATTCTTATAAAACAGCAATTTTTTCCCAAAATATCATTCATCATCATGTTTCTCCTTTTGTTCCTACTAATCGCATTTGGCAGTCCTTATAGATTATCGGTATGTTTCAGCTTAAACTCTATTCGGCATCGGTGACTGCACTCTTCAAGAGTCTCTCCGATGTACCGCATGTTGATCCGAGCCATCAGACCGCGCTACTCTCATCATTCAGTATTTTTAGGATGAAATATATGACTACGACGACTTCTTCAATTTTTACAATGAGTTCAAGAATATCAGTAAGCCGTCGTTGTTTAGCGCTAAAAAACTACGTGTCTGGTGGCGCTATGGTAAATCAAAAACCCTTTAAATTTTCAATTGTATATTTCAGATGATCTCAAAGTGGCATTAGACTATCGAAGGAGTTCGGATCGCGAAGAATTTGTAAAAGAAATGGCTAGAGTGTAATTATTGAATTTCTAGTTGAAACTCAATTGTAATCAATAAAAGAATTTAGGCTTAAAGCGCAATCATCTGATCTTCAAGTATGGCAAAGAGCGCATTCTGAATTCTTCGCTTCGATTGACTCCAAGGAGAAATTCTTCACTGAAGTTTGCAAAACGGCCAACTTAACGTATTGTATGTTGAAATTAAATGCTTTCAACAAATTTTTTTTTTATTTCAGTGCAATATATGAATTTTTTGATGCAGCAACGGACAAAATATGCGATTAGTAACACGGTTTTTAAATGACTTTAAGCGAATCGAAGTTATTTGAATTTTCAGCCGCCAGATTTTTATTTCGAAGGTCAAAATCAGAAACGATTTAAGTTTCTAATCGGGGTGAACAGCACTGCAAAAATCGGATATAATACTAGAGACGAGTACCATATCTATGCCGAATACGTATGATCATTGTATTAATCGGTTCATTGATCATATTTGAATTTTCAGGTGCAAACTATACTTGGAGGGTATTATTCAATCTACAAAATCATTCACGGTGGTGGTTGCACCGAAACAGGAATTCCGGATCCGAGTCACATTACGACCAATCATTCGGTGACTATTTTATCAACACCGGGAAGCGGGCCGGAATTCGCCAAAGAACTTGTCAAGAACATTCCGTTTCCATTAGCGAGCCAACAATTTCAATTCTACGACGACAACTTTGTTAAACAAGGAATTTTCCGTGGGACCGTGTGTGACGTGGAGGGAGCATTTATTGACCATAGTATGCAAAGTTTGCAAAAATCAATAATAAAATTGGATTCAGATCAGTTGAGAGAGTACATGTCTCGTTTCTGGATCAGATGGAGGCGGAATAATGAGAACGGAACATTCCAAGAGCTTGTGAATACACCTGATATGTACATATTCCGGTTCACAATCCCCTTGGTTTTCAACAATATCACAGCTCATTGGGACTACAAGATCCGATGCGATTATGTATGTGAATTAATAAATATGACGAAGGAGGAGAAGAATTTCAGAATTTGCATGGATATTTCAAGTGGTACGTCACATTGATGGAATTGATTTGCCCAAAGGAGCTTCTTGCTCGATCCCTTCGAAACGTCTATCTTACGGATATCATGTACAAGACGAAAGAAGCGTATGGATATAGTTTTGATACACAAATCAATTGTATTTTCAGAATTAGGGAGCTTTTGTTGCCAACGAGCAACCGATGGAAGTCCCGATTTGATTTCAATGATGTATATGAGAAAATGAAAGAAGGCGAACCGAAGATTATCGTCTGCGACGAGAAATTCGGTAACACATTCCATAACGAATCGTTTTTATTCCTGCAAATTTACTTGTGGGTCGTTGCACCAAATGCTAATATCTGGTACCCATATTCCACGGATAATAAATACACAAACCTAGGACCCCCATATGGTCCATTGGTCTATCCTTATTAGTAAATTGGTCCTTTCAGTCGGCGTATCGAAAACCATGTGGCATTTGTATACGAACAGTACCGGAAATGTTGTGAGTTTCCCCCGTTATCACAATTTTCTTTGCTCAATCTAAAAAATTGCAGACAATCGATACCTCAATTCTTTTCCGTGGAAGACCTTTCCGATTCCGTGTCACAACCGACGTTTACGAAGAAAAACATTTTCGAGTCAACTGGGATTTCGACATCGCCTTTGTGAGTTCCCTTAAATTTTCTCGAATATTGAAAACTATCTTATTTTTAAGGATCTGCTTATGGCAAGCTTCTTCCTCGAAAAATTGGTAATATCATGCCCATTCTTTGTTTAATTCAAATATAAATCAATCAATTTGAAATTGCGTTTGGTTGTTTAAAACATCGATCGGGTTCTAAACCGATTGGAAATCCTTCGTTTTCGTGGTTCGGGATTTGGACGTCATCATCGACCTGAACATATCAGCAATCATGAAAATCGTTTTCAGCTACTTAATTCCAGTTTTTAAGAGTTCTAAAGGATTTCATCCAATAAATAAACGAATCGATTAAAATTTTTTCAATAAAAAATTAGCAGAACGTTTTGAATATTCTAATGACGGGAATTGAGGATAATAGTGAAGTGAGCAGAACTATTCCCTTTCTTTTTTTAAATTTTTTTTCAGAAATAAACCAATTTGCGGAGAAAAAGTTTTTTTCTGAAAGATGGCCCGAATAACATCAAGAACACATCGATTGACCAGGATGGGACGACAGAGACGGTGACTGGAGCTCCGCCAACACAAAATCGAACAAAAATTGAGCTCGTGTTGATATTATTGCAAATCTCGAATTTCAGACGAGTTTTGGATCTTTTTCTTACAGCCATTGTCATGGCAAATAACAATCATTTTCAACTATTTTCAAATGTAAGAAGCTCATTCGAATATAATACCAGCTTATATATTAGGTCTAGAAATTAATTTCCGCCTTTTTTTCACATATTAAACTATAAAAAACTGGCAAACTTAAACAAAACTTTGATTTAAAATAATTTCCGTCATTAATAACAACATTCTCCCAGAGTTTTGGGAGCTTATGGATTCCATCATAATAGAATTTTTCTGGTTTGGACGCAGTCCATTCATCTAGCCATTTTTTGACGTCTTGATGATCTCGAGAGCGCTGCTCCGCCAGACCATGAGCGATTGACTGGAAAAGATGATATCCGACGGGGCAAGGTCCAGAGAGTACAGCGGGGGCGGTAAGACTTCCCATTTGAACTGTTTCGGCGTATGCTTCACCGCTTGAGCAACGCGTTGTCATCAAGCAATACGATCTTTTCGTGTCGACCCGCCCATTCTGGTCTTTTTACTGCGAGTTCATGCCGCAACTGCACTAGCTAATGTTGATAGCGATTCGCAGAAATTGTTTCGCCAGGTTGGAGCAGCTCAGAGTACAAAATTACTTGTTGGTCCCACCATATGCACACTAAGACCTTCTTCCCGTGGATGTTGGGTTTTCCGATCGAAGTCGTCGGTTCACCGGGACTAACCCACGATTTTCTTCGCTTCTGATTGTCGTAGTAAACTCGTAGTGTAAAAAAGACTTTCTTCGAAATCTGTCCAACAAGATTTGTGAAGTTGTTTTTCTCTGCTCTTTGTTGCGTTCTGAGAGCTTATAGGGCATTCATTTTCCTTCCTTTTGAATCTTGCCCATTGCTTTCAATCGATGAGAAATTGTTTTTTGCGTGACGCCGGGAGATGCCGCGAGTTGCTCCTGTGTTTTTTTTTTGCAGGTTCTTATGAATGTTGCAGCATCGCCGTAAGCTTGGGCAAGAATTTGGTGCTCGTCAGTGGCTTTCTTCTTGAGTTCGAAAAGGAAAATAAGAGCTTCCCGCAAATGACGTTTTCCTGGTTCAAAGGTGGACATATTCTGAACCCAAAATAATGATTTTTTATAAAGTACGTGAAGAGTGTTATATATAAGTAGAAAGCTGATAATAAAGAGAAAATTAAAACATAAAATTCGTTATATAAAAATAATTTCATTTTGACAAAAAATCAACAAGAAAAAAACGCGGAAATTAATTTATAGAAATAATATTTTCTTCTAAATTTTTTGGATGAAACAAGTAAAGGATTTTTTACGAACTTCCAGATATACATTTTATGAGCACTCAGGTGAATTCCAATCAATCAAAAAACTGTAAATTTTTCATATTGCGCATTCTTTATACTCATACAGAATTTCAAATTATCTAATAATACGTGAATCTAATAATTATACGTGAATTTTTTCAAATCTTTAAAATGAAATTTGATTGATTTCTACGCAACTATATGATTGTATTTTCAAAATTTGGTAAGACTTTCAAATTCTATTTTCTTTTTTTATTGAATTGGGTCTCTTGGTAATTACTGGAATAAAAATTTAATTTTTGCCAAACTTCCTTCCTTTGGTTTTTTTTATTTAAATTCGTCTTTTAATCAATCAAGCTTTAATGGGAAAATGAAATGGAAGGATTGGATTCTGAAATGATCAGAAAAGCGTGAGATAATTCGCCAAATTTTGCATATCTTTCAGGAATTCTATTTCACATTTATATTACATTAATACTAAAATCTGAAGCAGAAAAATATTACGATTTCGATGATTCTTTTTTTTCATAGTTTTTGTCGAAGAAGTGGAGGAAAAAGCACAAATCGAACTGACATCGTGAGTGGTGTTTAGATTGAAATTCTGAAAAGGATTATAGTTTCAAGGAACAGGAGTGGCTTGTAAAAATGCGAAATTCCAGTATCCAGTCAATGAATTTGTAAGCATTGAGACGAAAAGCATGCTAGTTAAACCAAAAACCTGCAGATTGGACCAGTCGAGGCTTGTAGACGACTTGTGCCATATAGGGTGAGAAATGCAAGAACAATCGACGAGTATCTCATCGAATGTGATTATGGTTTGAATTAGAGATAATTACTGGAATTATGTCAATTAATTAGTTCATTATTATCCTTGTCCGAGTAATTATCTTCCAATTTACGACAAATGCTATTTTATGCCGGAAAATGCAACAAATTATGATGGAATCAAGACAATGTGTGGACCAAATTTCAAATTGGCGACTCTCGACAGAATCGATCTGATTGGAATTGTCGAGAGAATATTCAGACCATCGACTTCAGTTTGGATGGATTTCCTCACAAATTATATAGGAATTTATTCGGAGAATATTCATAAATCAAATGATCTAGCAGAAGACGATGAATATTTCGATTTGAGGGAACAATTTAATGGCAAATTTGGCTATATCAAACCACTAGATATCAAGGATGACAATATTCTTTTCATTTGCGAAAAACCATACAAAGACTCATATTCTGGTTTATTTTTGGTTGCATTCTGGTCAAATTGATTGATTTCAGCAGTAAGTGGTGATGTTGGAAAATATTCCGAGATATTCTTTGAAGAATACGCACTACCGAATAATCTAGTGTATCCGACATTTGGAAAATATGGGTAAATCGAATATGAAAATACTCAATATGGAAGGCAATCTTAGAAGTTCATACAACCGAAATAAACCCAGCACAGAAGATGAAGACAGAATATGCAAAGTATGTTGATTGTGAGCTTCAGATGAATGGCATATTTAGAAATTGATGGGATCATTTTCTGATTTCGGACATCATCAATTCATTAGATTCAACGAGGATCATTCGGTGAATCTCTCAATTCCTTCGAATTATTTCTCGCAGACCAAATATGTTCATACTGGAATTAAAGAAACCAATTCAACAAGGTTGTGTGATGGATTCGAAAATGAAGAAATCTGTAATGCAAGAAGGAATATGACGCCATCGATGATAATGATAACAGATGCAGGGTGATCATTGAGATCCTTCTAAGTTCAAAAATTCCTTTTATTATAGTAATTGGCAATTAACATCGGCTCCTTTCGGACAACGTTCTCCAATGTATTGTCATTCACGTAAGAATTCTCGAGATGACGAAACGGTTTTATCGATTCTAAGGGTATTACAATTTCGATGAAAATGGCTATTGTCGTAGTGATTTCACTCCATTTATTAAAGGAAATTATATGAAATGTCACAAGGTCAGGTGGTAAAAACCAGATTAGCCCCCTCTCCACCATGAGCAAATTTCTGAGCATTATCTAAGGCTTAAAAATTAGAAAATATTTTTTGGCGAGAATACGTTAAAATAAAAGCTTAAATTTAAAAAAAAAACTACTAAAATCGGCGGTAATATGGAAAAACGAGGACGGCGCAAATTTAAAATTGCAAAGTCGTCGAGTGGAAAACAAATTGAACCGAGTCACTCTCGGGCCAAAAAATTCGGCCACGACTGCACGGCCATATTTTTGTGGTGAGGGAAACGGGCTTAATTAACTTTTTGCCGGTCAATTAATACAAAGACACTGTCGTAATTTCATACTTTATAGGCTTATGATAACCCTCCTTATACCGATTCAACAGCGAGCACGGAATGCGAAATTTATATAGGGAAAAATACCTGCAAACATTGCAGTAATCTATCGGGAAGGTTAAGCGAACCGGAAAGTGTCGAAGAAGTGGAACTACTCGGCTGTAAGATTTTCTACTATACAATATTTACATTACTGAAAGATAAGCATACGTTGTATTGGCTAGTAAAATAAATTTCCATCGTCTTCTGAAGATATTCGCGATGTCTCGTGTCTGCGAAAAATTGGCTAAATGCCAAATTAACGTTTAAGAAGAGGTCGCGGTGTGCGCCTTTAACCTATCCTTGTACATAGGCCCGTAAATCTACACTTTTAATTTCACATCAAAACCACTGTTTTCGCTGTTTTTAGCTTCATTCTTTAGATTTGCTCTAAATTTTATTAGGATTTAAGAATTATGAATGTTATGACCAAAAACAGTTGGCATATAAATGTTAATCGCCCGTACAACGCATTTTCAGCGATCGCTAAAGATGGCTGGGACTACTATCTTGGAATCCAAAAGTGGCGTGATGGATTTGCTCAGGATTATTATAATGGAAAAAATCCAGTTTTTGATTTCTACTGGTCATTATGGGATAAGACTTATTCGCCTGGACCGCCAGGACTACGCATAGTTCTGACGAAAAACAAACTTCTCAAGACTTTACAGTACGTTTTTAATGGATTTATTATTTAAAAATTATCGCATTATTTCTAACGTTATTTGAATTTGAGCCACTCGTTTTCAACAAACAATAAGCGACTATTTTTCCCAACTCGTTAAATTCGATTCGCTAAAGAAACTCATTTTTACGGTTTATTTTTCCACTTTTCACTTAAAAATCAAAACTCCTGAAAAAAAAACTAAACGAAACATCAGACAATACATTAAATAAATAATTGTAGCGGAATGGTGAGAATCGGATACATGTGTCAATTTATAGTCGATCGACCCGATTCTGTTGAAAAACTCTACTGAATAAAATTATTCGCATCGATTTTATTTAATTTACAATAAAGATGAATATTATGTCTTCAATTCTAAATTCTGAAGATTGTCTTTTTTCTGAAGCGAAATTTTTTTCGATGATTCGCTTTTTCTCAGCTATTGTGGAAGAACTGGAGGAGTGTGACGCCTTAAAAATGATGGCTCCTTCCACCATAATGGTCAGCTAAAAATAATACTATACACATAGCTCTTTGTTCAAGATTTTTGTTATTGAAAAAGTTGACGAACGTGTCAGAATATATAGAGGTAATAGGAGATCCCTGATGTAGCGGGGGACTCGAATAAGGAACCCTTGCGACACACAAAGTTCGCGGAGGCTCGAAAGACTGAATAGATCTTAAATTAGGAGCAAGTCTAACGAGCTCCTACAAGGGGGAACCTCCATGTGACGCCTTAAAAATGGTGGCTCCTTCCACCATAAGAATCAACTAAAAATAACACTATACACATAGGTCTTTATTGGGTATAGCGAGAGCGGCCGGATGGTAGGCCGTCTCCGCAACAGAATGACAAAATATTCCACAGAGAGCGTTAGTTAGCGGTATTTAGATTTTAATTCTGAGAAGGATTATAGTTTCAATGAATAGGAGTGGCTTGTAGACGACGCCATTTAGGGTGAAAGCTGGAAGAAAAATTGACGAGTATCTCATCGAATGTGACTTTGGTTTGAATGAAATTATAAAGGAATTCATTCTGAATATTCATAAATCAGATGATCGACGATACGACGATGAATAATTCGATTTGAGAGAACAATTGGGATTTATGTGTCAATTTATTATCGATTCTATTGAAAAACTTTTTTGAATAAATTGATTAACTGATTGATTGTTTGTTTTTTTTTGAAAATAATAAACATTTTTTGTAATTCTAGAAAACGTGAAAAACGAAAAACCTGAAAATAAACGAGCGAATTTTCATTTCAAGCGAGTAAATCATCCATAAAACGGTTGTAATTGAATCCGATTGTGCTTTTGAAATGAGAGTTATTATTCTTCTTTCGTTTCTTGTTCTGTTCTCGTTCGAGGAGGTTCTCTGGGGTGAGTCAATCGTATTCACAATTTCAATCTTCAATCATCTCGTTTTCAGACTGTGTTCCTGATATGATGTGCATATTAGGTGGCTGGTGTACGGACAAAAACAGATCATGCTTGCACCCACCTGGATTCGTAGAACCGAGCTGCTGCGGTGAGTATCGGAATTCATCAAAAATGTCATTTTTTCGTGATTTAGATAAAAACCCCGTCTGTCTGAGTGGTTGGAAATCTGGAATACAAGTTGAGAATTCGGAATATATCAAATGTAACATAGCCAACACATCACTTGAAGACTGCTGTGGTACGTTTATTCAATTTTTATTTAACTGGGAGAACAGTTTCGCGGGAATTAATAATCTACAAATTCACAAAATAAGTCAATGTCAGTTGACTTAGGTAAATGAATATGAATCGGATTCGAGGAAATATGATATGTAAATTAACCTGATTCGATTGAGAAATTATTTGAATTCGAATTGAAAATTTGGTTTCGTTTCAAAAATATTCAAAATCCATTGATGTATTTCTTATTTTCAATTTTGAAATCCTATTCTATAAAAAACAATGATTCCCGGACCTGAGTAATTCTTATTCACCAGAGTAACAAAAATCAATTTTCTTTTTGAATTTTAAACGGGACACAGCTTTTTAATTAAAGCTGTTTTAAAATTTTTATGTTGGACGTATAGTTGGCGCCCGGCGACTGCTGTACGCTAATAGATTTACGGGTTGCTCTTTTCGAAAAGGTCTCGTTTTTTTTTCGAAAAAGGATTCTTATTTTGCTATTGTCATGTGAACTGTTTATTTTGTTTTTGGTAAACTTGAGTTCGTGCGAGGAGACAGCGAATGCGGATGCACGTAAATCTACCCGCGCACAACAGTCTCCAGATGGCAACTATATTGTTTCGGAATTTTTTTTTACCTATTTTATTATTTTTATTGGCTTATTTTTTACTTTTTTAAGTGCTTTGTTTTGGTTATATACTTAAAAGTTTCAAAAATTCAGGTTCGTAGTAAAGATCGATCTTAGAATCGAATCACAAAAAATGGAGAACTCAGTTTATATTAATTTTCAGATATTGTTCATCCGAAATCGTTGATTGATCACGAAATGTTCAATTATACAAGTAAAATCAACTAAAATAACACAATTTCAGTGTATAATTCTATTACAGCAACATTGGAAGATTACCCGGAATGCGATTCGAATTCAGATTGCGGGGGAAGTCAATTTTGCGACTATCTGGTAAACAACGAATTCAAAATATCAAATCGAACTAGGTGCTTCAATAGTGAGTTTCCGTTTACCTCAATTTAAGATTTATATACTTTCAACATTTTAAAAATGTAACCTATTCAGTCACCAAAAGAGCGTATTCGGCAATGAAGTTCATCGACGACTTCGGAGTTCGCTTGTGCGAATCAGACGCCGATTGCGGCGATTTCCACTGTTTGGACGAAGGATTCTGTGGAATTCATGAGTTATGCCAGATTAACGCCGTCGTTCCCGCAAAGACGCCGATCGTCCACTGCGCCGAGGACATGGATTGCGTACATCTCATGGAAGGCATGGTCGGAACAGGCGGATTCATCCCGAAGTAAACGAAATTCAAAATTTCGGAAATCTAATCGACGTTTACAGTGCCTACTGTAACCACACGGGAGACTTCTGCTGTTCTGGGCTATTGGAAGTGTGTTTTGGGGGAAGTCTCGTCCGGCCTCTGCTGAAATGCGAAACAGGCACGATGGCCGGTTTCGAGACTTGCAATCCGGATTTGGGTAATGGCAAACTCGACGGATTTTGCACAGACATAGGAGTGTGCTGCGAAGGTAACAATAAATGATTCGATACTAAACTCACAAATTCTTAACAAATACGTTTAAGGGCCATATGAAGAGCCGGTTGTCTGCCCCGACGGCATACACCCGCTTTTTATCGAACCGGCTTGCCAGCGTGGAGAAAGCGGATATTTGGAGTGCCCGGAGAATTTCGAGAACTGCACTTGCGTAATGGGGTGGCCGTGTCCATCAAGTAACAAATCTAATTGATTCGCATTTAATACGATTAATTTTCAGTTGCCGCCAACTCATTGTTGGTCAATTTTGGGCGCCCGTTCGTTGGGCAGATTGGGTGTGATCCTTCGCGCCCAATCTGCTCGCGGGCGGTAAACGGATATTGCCACCCCGAAACAAGGACCATCGCATTATACGGGAGATATTTCCCGAGGTTCTTCGGGCTTTCTGAAATCCGGAAATGTCGGATAAACAGGTACGCCATGTTAATATTTATAAAAATGAAATATTTGTTTCAGCGAATGCGAGCCAGACGAAGTTTGCATCTATTATCTAGAAGAAGGACAATGCGCAGCGTTCCCAAACCCAAATTTCCTCGTATGTTATTAATATTAAAGAACAATCAATAATCAATTAAACTTCTGGAAGATGAGAATGACGAAGAAGAGGAAGAAGAAGGTTGGGCAGAAAGAGCCGTGGATTTGTACCGACAAACGGCTTACGGGATAGCCATTGTCTGGGTGTGCTTCCGAATATATCGGTTCTTCGAAGTTCGATACTTCCCAAACGCCTACGATCAAAGAATTGCGTTGGAGGAGGCGTACGAAGAGATGATGATGAGGCGAATGGAGGAGCGACACGAAGAAATTCTGGAGAATTGGCGTCGGGAGAAGTACGGCACACGGCACACGAAACAAACTTGCGAGTGCGTTACATCGACCGAAACGCCGTCTTCTCTTTATTCGTCGGAACTGAGTGAGGCTGAAAAGAGAAAGAAGTGGACGAAGACATTCCGCAGAGGAAGAGGAAGACGTGTCATGAGGCAAAGGAAAAGGATTCATCAAACACGAAGAAACAAGAAGCGTGCAAGAATGGAGAAAACAAATGAAGAGCATATGCCGCGAAGCACACAAGTCTTGTTGAAGGCTTTCGTATACGGTGCCCCGTTATTCCTTATTATTGTTATTGGATTTTTCTTCGTTCCCAACGTTGTTCTCAATGCAATCACTGCTGAAATAGATGAATTGATGAAGGAAGTCAAAGAAACTGGTCAAGATGCAATTTCGAGCGCTTCGAACGATAAAGACGAGGTAAACTTTTAGAAAAATTCAATAATACACGAGTAAAATAACGAACAGTGGAAAGTTTGAAAGTTTTGATAGTGTGCATTCATAGTCAACGTGTTTACGGACGTTGGGTACCGTACCCGAAAATTATATAATATTCTAGTTTCGTCTATTCAATTAATGATTCAATTAATTGTTTTGCAGCTTCTCAAAGTGCTGGTCAATGGGAAAGTAACCATCGCGGATTACGTGTCCCGCGAAGAAGCCATGGTCATCATTCCAACACTTGTGATGACGGCCCTGTTTTTACTCGGTATTGTTTATTATTTGACCCGTCCTTTCACCTAATGTGATTGTCATTCCCCTCTGATTCCTCTACATTTTTCAATTTTTCTTCTTACAACATGATATCAAATTATTATGTTTTTTTTGTACCAATTTTTCATTCTATCGTGTTTTCTCCCGAATTGTGGTTCTTCTATAATTCTATTGTTCGTTTTTTCCTATTTCAACGTTTTTTAATCAAATGTTGATTTGTTTACTATCTAAATCTTATAATCGTTAATATTTATTTAATATCAATTGCTTATTCTACGCATGCTTTTTTTGGATTCTGATCTTTTTTGTATTCTGACTTAATATTTGTATTTCTATTTTTTCTAATGTTTTTTCTAATCATTATGTTATTTTTCGTATTATTCTTAAATGTTCGTTTGTTTTATCAAACATGCATCATAAAATTTGTGTAATAATGCAATAATCGTTTTTCAACGTACGAAGATCGCAATAGTTAAAATCGACTTCAAGCAATAGAGAATACAATGAATTTGCGGATATGTTCTTCTTTTTGTAATCAATTTCAGAAAAATATTTACGGAAATCCAACAATTTATGTACATAACTGATATCAAGCATCAATTATTTCTTTTTCATCTTTATTAAACGGATTTTCACTAGTCCGCATCGTCCATATCCTCCTGCAAATCAATAGATTTTAATCAAATACACCAAATACGCTTTTAACCTGCAATTGGTTTCCGTCGAGACCGATAAGATGAATCAAAGAAGAAGAAAAGAATTGCCGATCTGCACCATGTTCACTGTTCCATCTGTTGGGTAAGCTTATTTCAATATTTTTAAACAAAATTATTACCTTATTTTGTTGATCTGCTTAATATTTTTATATTTGCGAGTTTAAGGAACTCAAGAAAGAAGCGAGACTATAAATACTAAGATTATAAGCGCCAAATTAAAAAAAAAGAACTTACTCGTAGTTTTCAAAAATAATCACTTTCAGATTATTTCGAATTATTTTATTTTAATTGAAGTTCCAGTCTAATAGAATTCCGTTGGCACAATATAGCGCAAAAGTAAAACTACGGAACGAGATCCAAACACTGAAAATGAAGTATTTAAAAACATTTTAAAATTTTGACGAACCAAATATGAACGTTTTGAAGAAATCCCGATCAGGTTGACGAAATCGGTGAAATTCTGAATAGCTGCACACAACATCATGTCGATATTTACCAATTTTGTTTCCATTTACGTGTTTTCTCAACCTAAAACAACCATTTTAAATAAACAACGAAAAAACGTAGAATAGAAACACGGAATTAAATTGTAGAAAAATACTGGGCGTGGTCATAATTGCCATCGCCGCATTTATTTGAGCAATAGCGCGGCGGTAGTTTGAGATATAAGCATAGACGGCTGAATTTATTAATTTTACGAAGAAATAAATACTAATTTGAAATTATTTTGAAAAATCCCAAATGAAATGAAAAAAGCGGACAGATTGTACTCTCCTGAAAATTGAAATTTGAATTGAAAACTTGGTTATTTTTCGATTCGAATTTTTTAATAATTCGAAACCGATTAAATTTTATTCGATTCCGATTGAAAACGAATTTGTTTCTGAATCCGATAGATTCTTATTTTTAGAATAGTTTCAGAACAAAGAAAAAAACAGTGGAAACTGTACAAAATAATACGTGAATTTTTCAAAATTTAAAATGAATATTTTGGTTGATTTCTACGTTAATACTCTATGATTTTTTTGGCAAAATTAGGTAAGAGATTCCGTTTTTTTAATTGTGGTAATTATTAAATGTTTTCATTGGGTCCCATCGCAAAAATGTTCTTCCTTTCTGTTGCTTTATTTTAAAAAAATTGATTCCGACATTATTAGAATTGCGTGAATTATATCGGAATAAGTATTTCAGGAATTCTATTTCACCTTAATATTATATTTATACTAAAATCTAAAGCAGAAAAATATTACGATTTCGATGATTCTCTCTTTCATAGTTTTTGTCGAAGAAGTGGAGGAAAAAGCACAAATCGAACTGACATCGTGAGTGGTGTTTAGATTGAAATTCTGAAAAGGATTATAGTTTCAAGGAACAGGAGTGGCTTGTAAAAATGCGAAATTCCAGTTTCCAGTCAATGAATTTGTAAGCATTGGGACGATAAGCATTTTAAACCAAAAAAAATCTACAGATTGGACCATTCGAGGCTTGTAGACGACTTGTGCCATATAGGGTGAGAAATGCAAGAACAATCGACGAGTATCTCATCGAATGTGATTATGGTTTGAATTAGAGATAATTACTGGAATTATGTCAATTAATTAGTTCATTATTATCCTTGTCCGAGTAATTATCTTCCAATTTACGACAAATGCTATTTTATGCCGGAAAATGCAACAAATTATGATGGAATCAAGACAATGTGTGGACCAAATTTCAAATTGGCGACTCTCGACAGAATCGATCTGATTGGAATTGTCGAGAGAATATTCAGACCATCGACTTCAGTTTGGATGGATTTCCTCACAAATTATATAGGAATCTATTTGGAGAATATTCATAAATCAGATGATCTAGCAGAAGACGATGAATATTTCGATTTGAGGGAACAATTTAATGGCAAATTTGGCTATATCAAACCACTAGATATCAAGGATGACAATATTCTTTTCATTTGCGAAAAACCATACAAAGACTCATATTCTGGTTTATTTTTGGTTGCATTCTGGTCAAATTGATTGATTTCAGCAGTAAGTGGTGATGTTGGAAAATATTCCGAGATATTCTTTGAAGAATACGCACTACCGAATAATCTAGTGTATCCGACATTTGGAAAATATGGGTAAATCGAATATGAAAATACTCAATATGGAAGGCAATCTTAGAAGTTCATACAACCGAAATAAACCCAGCACAGAAGATGAAGACAGAATATGCAAAGTATGTTGATTGTGAGCTTCAGATGAATGGCATATTTAGAAATTTATGGGATCATTTTCTGATTTCGGACATCATCAATTCATTAGATTCAACGAGGATCATTCGGTGAATCTCTCAATTCCTTCGAATTATTTCTCGCAGACCAAATATGTTCACACCGGAATTAAAGAAACCAATTCAACAAGGTTGTGCGATGGATTCGAAAATGAAGACATCTGTAATGCAAGAAGGAATATGACGCCATCGATGATAATGATAACAGATGCAGGGTGATCATTGAGTTCCTTCTAAGTTCTAAAATTCCTTTTATTATAGTAATTGGCAATTAACATCGGCTCCTTTCGGACAGCGTTCTCCAATGTATTGTCATTCACGTAAGAATTCTCGAGATGACGAAACGGTTTTATCGATTCTAAGGGTATTACAATTTCGATGAAAATGGCTATTGTCGTAGTGATTTCACTCCATTTATTAAAGGAAATTATATGAAATGTCACAAGGTCAGTTGGTAAAAACCAGAATAGCCCCCTCTCCACCATGAGCAAATTTCTGAGCATTATCTAAGGCTTAAAAATTAGAAAATATTTTTTGGCGAGAATACGTTAAAATAAAAGCTTAAAATTAGGAAAAAAAACTAAAATCGGCGGTAATATAAAACAAATTGAACCGAGTCACCCTCGGCCATAAAAATTCGGCCATGACTTCGCGGCCATATTTCCGTGGAGGGGGAATATGCTTAATTAATTTTTTGCCAGTTAATTAATACAGAAACTTTTGTAATTTCATACTTTATAGGCCTATGAAAACCCGCCTTATACCGATTCAGCAGCGAGAATGAAATGCAAACGTTATATAGGAAAAAATACCTGTAGACACTGCAGTGATCTATCGGGAAGGTTAAGCGAACCGTTAAGTGTCGAAGAAGTGGAACTACTCGGCTGTAAGAATTTCTACTATACAAACTATACAATATCTACATTACTGAAAGATAAGCATATGCTGTATTGATCAGTGAATTAAATTTCAAAATTTTCTGAGGCCATTTCAAGTTGATTCGATCATTTTTTAAAAAGTTACATCACTTTGAATGTGTTTCCATAATTTTGGGCCACCCTGTAAATGTTAATCGCCCGTACAACGCATTTTCAGCGATCGCTAAAGATGGCTGGGACTACCATCTTGGAATCCAAACGTGGGATGATGGATTTGCTCAGGATTATTATGTTGGAAAAAATCCAGTTTTTGACTTCTTCTGGTCATTATGGGATAAGACTTATTCGCCTGGACCGCCAGGACAACGCATAGTTCTTACGAAAAACAAGCTTCTTAAGACTTTACAGTACGTTTTTAATGGATTTATTATTCAAAAATTATCGCATTATTTCTAACGTTATTTGAATTTGAGCCACTATTTTTTCCAACTCGTTAAACTCGATTCGCTGAAGAAACTCATTTTTACGGTTTATTTTTTCCACTTTTACTTAAAAATCAAAACCCCTGAAAAAAAAAACTAAACGAAACATCTGACAAGACATTAAATAAATCATTGTAGCGCAATAGTGGAAATCGGATACATGTGTCAATTTATAGTCGATCGACCGAATTCTTTTGAAAAACTCTACTGAATAAAATTATTCGCATCAATTTTATTTAATTTCCAATAAAGATGAATATTATGTCTTCAATTCTAAATTCTGAAGCTTATAAATATTACGATTTCGATGATTCGCTTTTTCTCAGCTATTGTGGAAGAACTGGAGGAGAAATCACAAAAGACATCGTGTGGTGTTTAGATTTTATTTTCAAGGGGACCACAAGATCCGATGCGATTATGTATGTGAATTAATAAATATGACGAAGGAGGAGAAGAATTTCAGAATTTGCATGGATATTTCAAGTGGTACGTCACATTGATGGAATTGATTTGCCCAAAGGAGCTTCTTGCTCGATCCCTTCGAAACGTCTATCTTACGGATATCATGTCCAAGACGAAAGAAGCGTATGGATATAGTTTTGATACACAAATCAATTGTATTTTCAGAATTAGGGAGCTTTTGTTGCCAACGAGCAACCGATGGAAGTCCCGATTTGATTTCAATGATATATATGAGAAAATGAAAGAAGGCGAACCGAAGATTATCGTCTGCGACGAGAAATTCGGTAACACATTCCATAACGAATCGTTTTTATTCCTGCAAATTTACTTGTGGGTCGTTGCACCAAATGCTAATATCTGGTACCCATATTCCACGGATAATAAATACACAAACCTAGGACCCCCATATGGTCCATTGGTCTATCCTTATTAGTAAATTGGTCCTTTCAGTCGGCGTATCGAAAACCATGTGGCATTTGTATACGAACAGTACCGGAAATGTTGTGAGTTTCCATCCGTTATCACAATTTTTTGCTCAATCTAAAAAATTGCAGACAATCGAAACCTCAATTCTTTTCCGTGGAAGACCTTTCCGATTCCGTGTCACAACCGACGTTTACGAAGAAAAACATTTTCGAGTCAACTGGGATTTCGACATCGCCTTTGTGAGTTCCCTTAAATTTTCTCGAATATTGAAAACTATCTTATTTTTCAGGATCTGCTTATGGCAAGCTTCTTCCTTAATTGATTTTTTTAAATTGTTTTTTTTTCATTTGTTTTTCACAAATGATCGTTGAAAAATAACGCGAGAATAGCGCATTACAGACCCATAAAAATCAAATTAATTGCCGAATATATGTGTATAAAATCGAGAAGATTTTCTCAAAATTTGCAATTGTTCATGTTTCTTCCATTATTTTTCTTGTTTTCTTCGTGTCTTTCGATTATTGATCAGGTAGAAAATGAAGATTCGAAACGTTTGACTCAATATAATTATCCAGGATTATTATGATTATTACGATTTTATCGATAATCATTCAGCTGTGAAAAATGCGACCAAATCGAAATCATTTTCGGATAAAGCATTGCTGAAATTTTCTGGTATGTTTTTCTGGATTTAACTTAAAATTTCCAAAAATGCTCAGGCGGTTTTCGAGCGGTCTCTGGAGGCAACGTGTACTATCAAACGATCGACAACGTCAAAAATAGGTCGAGAGTTGAATTCATCAAGGATGTCGCAACAGTGTGAGCAATTACGATAATCATGATTTGAAAAAAAATCGAGCTCGAATTGATTCAGACTTCGATTTCAGTCTTCTGATAAGCATGGGAGTACGGATGTTGCGAAATTTCGACTTTTCGCGTTGATGGAACCATCAGATGATTTTTACGCTGAAGTTTGCGGTGTCGCAAATCTCTCGTATAGTGAGAAATATTTTGATTCCTTATTTAGTCGGCAACAGTTTTATTAGAGGGTAGATTTTCGAGCATTCGTATTTCGCTATGATCTCACTGCGACACATGTTGAGCGCATGCCTTTATTTTCATTTGACTAGGCTCTTTTTATACACAATATTAGGTTGTAGAACATTCTAGAACTAGGTCTACCCTACGACCATTCCTATATTTTCGAAATTAGACCATCTTGTATATTGTAGATTTTTTTTTCATCTTCACACGTCGAGTCCCACTCACCGACGCTTCACACGATGTCAACATCAAAACTATAAGACTCATCAATTGTCTTATTCATTCTGACTGACATGGAGGTCAATTTAATTTCCGTTGGGGTTCTTTTTTGGCAGTGTCTTGCGCAGTAATTAGTATAGAATACTATTCTCAAGGAACCGCAAACTATTTCATTTTTGATTTGAATGAGTGTTCCCTCAGCATTCTATTCTTGTAAGAAACTGACACGAATTGCTTTTATTTGGTGAGTCCAGGCAGAGCTAACCGGTTGGTTTTCATTTAATTACCCATTTCGACAATTTTTGATTTAATTTGACGATGGACATTCCATGAAATAAAAAAAATCACATAAAAATAGTCATGTAAGTGTTGACTCGTGGCGAGACCATTGTGGAAGGCGCGCTCGTAAATCTACCCGAACGCCGGCAAAAAAAATGCGGCCGTTTCAGTTGAGTACATGAACTTCCTCGATCACCAGCGCTCTAATTACTGGTATAGCAACACTGTGAGTTTTCAATTATTTTCAACACCACATCAATTTTTAGCCACCTGATTGGAGATTTGGCGAAATACTAGACGACGATGAGAAATATTTCAATTTCACCATCGGTGTGAACAGCTCAACTAAAATTGGCTACAACACGCGTGATGAGTATAAGATTTATGCGAAATTTGTGAGAAATCTGAACAAGACAAGACCAGATGTGAAGATATGTGCTTCAGACAACCACTATTCTTGGCTTCACCTACTACAAAATCATCAAGGTGGTTCATGGTGGCGGATGCACGGAAACTGGGACGCCGGACCGCGCAAAAGTCGACACGTACCACAAACCGCAAATATTATCGACGCCTGGGAGTGGACCAGAGTTTGCGAAGGAAGTCGCTGGCAAGATTCCGTTTCCGAAGCCGACACAAGAATTTCAATTTTACGAGAATTATTTCGGAAAGGAGTATCTTTTTCGAGGCACTGTGTGTGATGTAGTTGGAGCAACAATGGGTCTAGGTATAAATTATTCATTATTAACAAAGAAGGGCATTTGCATTTTTTAAAATTAATTACCTACAGATTCTTTAGTTAATTTCCAATCGACTGATGTAGGTCTCTCCATGCGCTAATTTCTAATTATTGAGATAAGGACCATCAAAGTTAGCCACATTATGTTAAGTAGCATTTTTAGAATACTAGAAGTTTGAGCAGGGTTCTATCGATTTTAAATTTTCTTTCTAATAATAAAAAATATTGTCGATGACGGACGCATTAAGTGGCCGCTGCTTGTTATGTATAAATTTTGGAGCCACGGTCTCATAATTATTTTCGATTTGATCTAGTATGAAACAAATTCACATTGAATACCCATGTAGTCCTAAAAAAGGAACCACTACCACCACTATCGAAGATGATGAAGAATATACAGTACCGTGCAGTAAGATATACAATTTCACATTTTTGGTCATAACTTTCCGAAAACTTTACCAATCGATCTGAAATTTTTGGACAACTTTAAGCATTGATAGAGTGATTATATATCAAAATTAGAAGGTGTAAAACACATTAGGAAAAATTTTATTGACAAAAAATCCGAAATTCCATTATAGCGAAAAACCGACTTGAATAATTTTGATACCGGTACGACTTGAAATGAAATGGAAAACAACAATTATCTGTCAGGAAGCTTAAAACAACTCAATATCTTGTAGACATGTCATTTGTATCGATCACAGTTTGATATCGGACACCCATGGACTCGATCAAATTCGTGTGGGTTGAAATTGGAATATCCATCCATTCTCTCCTCGGCTGCTCGAACATTTCGGCACAATTTTGTACTGTTTGACCTCGAAGACGTCTACCAAGACCTTCCCACAAATGTTCAATAGGATTCAAGTCAGGTGACTGGCTTGGTCAGTCCCTGACGGCCACCCTACGCTGCTAGAACCACTCTTTGATGAAGCGAGAACTACGTTTAGGATTATTATTCTGTTGAAATAAGTATCCACACCGAGCAAAGACTTTGCAAACGGAAGCATATGGTTCTCTAGAATGTCTTTATACATTAATCGATCCATAATTCCTTCGATTCGACGAAGTGGGCCAGCTCCAGAAGCAGTAAAACATCCCCAAACCATCACGTTTCCTCTTCAATGTTTTACTGTAGGTAATTGATACTTTGGATCGAATCTTTTGCCGTCCGAACGCTTCACAAAGGTAATACCATCAGTTCCGAGCAAGATATACTTCGATTCATCACTCGATACGACCTTTGACTATTGTCGAAACCTCCAATTCAAAAGCTCCTTATCCCACTTCAAACGGGCTCGGCGGTTCTTCTCCGAAAGGAGTGATTTTTTGACAGACCGACGTCCAAATAATCCAGAACCACGTAGACGACGCTTAACAGTATCAACGCTGATATGTATGTGACTTTTGGTGAAAAAAAGTCATGGTTTTTCGGAAAATTCTACGTTGACCTCATCGAAATGTCTCAGTTGTCGCTTAATCTCGGAATCGGATAGACGCGGGTTGCTCTTGCTGATTCCTACAATGGTGCGATTGATTGCCGGGGATGTTTTGGAAGGATTTCCAAGTGGTTTGGAATCCGATCGAGGTTTCAAACATCCACAAATGGTCCAAGTCGATGAGTTCAACTGGTGTGATAGACATTGGATGAAAAGACCTAGTGCTCGGCCATCCTTGATTGCTTTAAAACGTCTGATAGAATGTTTTTTGATCATTTTGATCGTCTCCTGCTAAAACAAATAAAAAAACTGATGTTAACATTGAAAATCTAAAAAAAAATCGACAAAATTTAAAAATAAAAAAAATCGCCTTTTTGAAAATACGCAAAAAAAGGTCCAAAAACACAAAAATTGCGTCTATAGTATCCCAAAATGAATAAATTATGTTTGGGAACACACTATCCGTTTTGTCCAAAAATTTCAGATCGATTGGTCAACTTTTCAGAATGTTATGATAAGAAAAGTGAAATTGTATATCTTACTGCACGGTACTGTAAATACCCTAGATGTTTAATGAATACACAAAATGAACTACAACCAGAAGTTCACAGACGAAGAAGGGCAGCCTGGGCGTCGTTCAACAACATCAAGATCACTACCGACGCTCAAACATGTGGGTCATCATCATCGTCGTGTCAATGGGTGGTTTTTCGTTCTATAGACCTTCTTACAGTTTTCCTTAACAGCTAATTAAAATTTGGGAAATAGTGTGAACGGGGCTAACCTCTCTTTCCTGGATTCCGTGATTCGGGCGTTACTATTTAGTTAGTAATTATTTTTTTTCTTAATGGCCGTTCAAAGGGTCTCTGCTTCATGACATACTTATTTCGCGTGCTTGTCACAAAAGCGCAGGAGAATTCTAAAAATAAGGCCCTACCGCTTCCCGCTACCGACAGCATCGATCCGATAATTGATCAGGCTTTCAATAGATCGTTTCGAGACCCGTAGTCATGCAAAAAGAGCGAACTTTTCCGAGGCAGCTAGGAACGTTAACTATCGATGAAACGTCAGGATTGTTGACTACTCGCCACCAATTTTCACCAAAATAGTGGTCTCAGATTCACCCCCGAAGTTATTTCCCGATCAATTTGTAAGCTGGCATGCACGCCAAGATCCGTTGTTATCATACCGATCAGGCAGTTCGAGACAGTTGTTCCGAACGGCCGACCCAAATCCGTAGCTTCAGTTGCCCCAGATTCTCTAGATTCCGTACGAGGAACCTTCACGATCTACAAAAAAAAAACAATGAAAATTGGGCGAGTTATGGACCAAAAACTTTCGCGCCCATGTTCCCATCGAACTTTTCCCGAAGTTCGCGCAAGACCTTTGAGAATCGTAAATGTTGATTTCTTTAACAATGCATTTCCGCATCAAATTTATGATAATTTGTGAAATTTCAGAATCCTTAAAGGATTTGACAATCATCAAAAAATTTTAAGACGGACTATAAAATGGCATCCATGTAATAGAAAAAAAATGTTTTGTTTGTAGAGCAGTTCAAGGAATATATGGCTCGATTCGGTTCTCGTTGGAGACTCGCGACCGAAGAAGAAGCCGGCGGCGATAAGCCGGAGTTTGTTGAGCTTCTCAACATTCCCGATATGTATATATTCCGATACACGGTTCCGTTATATTTCAATAATCAAACGGCGAATTGGGTTTACAAAATTCGATGCAACTATGTAATAAAAGAATCCCAACATTGTGTGACCAATTCATTATTCAGAATCTCCATGGCTTCCGTAAATGGTATGTGACAATTGTGGAATCAATGTGCCCACAAAAGTACATTGGGCGTCGAATGCGAAATATTTATGTTAAAGAATTGGTGAATCGAATGAAGGAAGCGTAGGGGAAGAGCTCTCAATTGACAATTGATGAATAGGGTTCAGAATCAGAGAGCTATTGTCTGCCGACAGCAATCGATGGAAATCGAGATTCGTGTTCAATGATATCTACGAGCCATTAAAGGATGGAGAACAAAGCATTAAAGTGTGCAACATGGTGTCGGGTATATAAACTTTATAAAAAAAAATCTAGAAATAATTATATTGTCTCATTCAGGCGACGTGACGAAAACAATGTGGCACTTGTACACAACAAGTAAAGGAAATGTTGTAAGTATTCCTCAGGGGTGCTTAATAGAAGATGATGAAGCTGCATCATGTTCAGACACTGTCTACTTCTGTTCTCTACAGTGGTCGACCGTATAAGTTCCGTGTCACCACCGATGTGTTCAACGAGCATCATTATCGTATTAATTGGGATTTTGAAATTGGCTTTGTAAGTTCTAGTTATTTCCAATATATGAAACGAAATATATATTCAGGACCTTCTGATGGCAAGCTTTCACCTTGAAAAAGTTTATATTTCGTGCCCAGAGCTTATTGAATAAATTATCGGGTCCACACGGAACCAAAATAAATTGAAATGCTAGTCAGCAGCGAGGTTCTCCACACCCAACGGTAATATCACAATCTTTTGAGTAGTATGCTTTGGCTTCATGATAAACGATGAGATATTGATGAGTATCCGTCGAACCGATCGTCGATAAGGAATTATGAAATACATGGATATTATTGGATCAATAACTCCAGGGAAACTGAGCATTATCGAGCTGAGGTGCTCTAAAAGATAATTGTTTTCATCTCTCGTCATACATGATGGAAACCTGTGATGATAACCGTTTCTCCAGTAATTCTTGTGTATAAAAATGAGCTAACTATAGGAATATAACAGAAAAGAGGGACCAATGTTTGAAAAACTAATCCCTTTTACGAGAAATCAATTTATTGTGATTTCGATTTTCAACAGTAATTACCTGGACCAGATTTGAGGTTTGCTGTTTCATTCTCGTCGACATTGTTTTGTGATTCTTCAATTCATTGAAAATCATTCTTGCCAAGACCAAATCGGTTATAGGGATTCCATAAGCGCAGATTTCGAGAAGCACCGTGATCGAAACAAACCCGATATCATTAGTATCGCTAAACCCCGAATATGGTTCGTAAATGGTTAAATTGTATAACGGGTGCTCATTTTTTGTTTGATATCGAACTGTTTCGAAATTCCAGCTTCCAGTGAATGGGACTATCTGAATAATAATCGGTCAGCTTAAAAATGGGTAAATAATTATTTTTTTTACAACTGCCACAACTCCTGGAATATTCGAGACGAATATCATAAATTTCGCACGTCTTCTACTACACAGAAGACCATTTAAATGGAATAATCGAAAAAGAATAGTTGCCGATATCGCAAAAGCGACGCATAATCCGATACCCATGAAGACATGATAGCCGCCAAAGCAAGATTTTGGTCCGAGTTCTTTGCACGGACCATTTGAAGGAATCGCGTATGAGCTGGAGTTTTGAAGCACTCTGCGAATGGCAGAATTCGAGCGCGAGACCAATTTCTGCACCGACCTGTGCTGTGTGAAATATGCCGTCATAATCATCATCCATTGTAGAATAAATGTGTTATAAAGAAATAATTGAAGCGATCTGATGCTCGACGGCGACCGACTTCGAATCAACAGCAAGATAAATGATTGAAGGACGATTCCGAGGAAAAAGTAAATTTGATAATAAATATTGGCAGCGGTAATGAAGCGGTTGGAATTCATGACGCGCTGAAATATGCGACAACAATGAATAAAGATGAAAAAGAGAAGACGCATATCTGTCTATCTATATGTAATTATGCGTTGTAGGGTAAATACTAATTGTGTGAGCAACTACGAGAAAATGAAGAGTAACAAAGATGCATCATCAAACATTTGAAGAAATAATGGCGGAAATGTCGATTTTCAGTTTTTAATAATTGAATTTTGAAATAGAATTTATAGAGAGATTTAATGGGAAACTTACTAGAGACATAAAGCTGAAAGTTATGAGCACTGAATTTGCTCATGAGAAAATTGGAGATTTTCCTGCCTAGAGTTTTGATTATTTAAAGAATAGGTGTTTCATATATTGATTTTTAAGCAAATCTTAGGTATGAAATTAATTCTGGAAGATATTGCTCAACTGGCTAAATGCCAGAAATGATCTTAAGGGGTTGTGAACTCCACACTGCACATTGGAAAAAATGACTGAAAATTGGGATTTTTTCAGCTTTTAATATAGTTTTGATCTATGTTTCATCAATTTTTCATATTTCCACTTTTGAAAATTAACAACGTTGGCGTAAAAATCCCCCGCGCGTAAATCGACACTTGTGTTGCAAGACCCAACTCACCATACGCAGTCAATAAGCATCCTATAATCTATCAGTTTTTATTTTATATATATAATCTATCAGATTCTATCAGATGGCTAAATAATCTATCAGATTTTATTTTGGATTTTTGAAATTTTTCGAATTTTGACATCCACTTGGGTAGATCACGAAAAAAAAAACCCCAAGAAAGAAATGAAAAATCATATCAAAATTTAAACAACATTCTTTCTAACATTTTCCAGACCTCAAAATCATTGACAATTAAATTTTTTTCATAAGAGTGGTTATCAATTTCTGATATTTTGTCTTCTCATTCACCTTTCTTATCACATTTCATCGTTCGGCTGGCATTTTCTCATTTCCAATTCTTCAGATATGTATTTTGTAAACTTTTTTTCTCGATTCAACCAAATTTCACATGTTGACAAACGAGACCATTATAATATTCAATTTATGCCAGTTTGTGTGCTGATAGTGGTTTTGTGTCCAACTATTTACATTCATTTTCTGACCTGTACATAGTATTTATATTTCTGTCTATAACAGTAGCCTTCTCGCAAATTGTCGGTTTTTCAACGTTTTGTTTTCTTCTTTCAGATAATGACAGTTATTCACAAAGTTGTTGAATATAAAACCAACGATAGCGCGATTTTTGAGGGTGATCTCTATATTCCAAGGTATTTCAAATCAATCGTCAATATGTGTCGTTGAATTCAGTGGTGCTCGCAAATTGGGTGCTGTTCTGGTCTTCCCTGCGTTCCGTGGAATCACCCATTTCGAAAAAGAACAAGCAGAGAAGCTCGCAAATCTTGGATATATTGCGTTTTGTGCAGATGTCTATGGAAAAAACATTCGTCCGCAAACAGTTGAGGAGGCGTTCGCTACGATGAACGCAATCAAGAATGACCGTCAAGGAGTGTTGAAGTCTCGCATGATGGCTGCCCTCGAAACTCTGAAGCGCGTTAAGGCGGTCGATCCGAATCGGATCGCCGCCATCGGCTATTGCTTCGGAGGGCTTTGCGCATTGGACATGGCTCGCTACAACGTCGGATTGAAAGCGGCCGTGTCCTATCACGGCACACTTCTTCCAATCGATGGACTTCCATTGGATCCGATCGCGACAGCCGTTCAAATTCATCACGGCGATGCCGATCCGCACGTTGGACAGGAGCAAGTCGTCGGAATCCACGAGGAAATGCGCAAGAGGAACGCCGATTTCGTGTTCGTCTCGCACGGAAACGCAATGCATGCCTTCACCGAGCCAGGTACGCGCATGTTGACCAATGATCATGGTCGCTGTTGGTCGGTTGTGATATGACCCGACTCACACACACAAAATAGCACGTGTCAGACATGTAATTCCATCGATTTTTGTAGAGGCTGATTTGCTCCAAAGAGCAGGGGTCGGATACAACGCAAAAGCTGCGAAAAGAAGCTGGGAAATGACATTGAATTTGCTTGATGAAGTTTTTGTTTGATTGTTTATTTTTATTGCTTTAATAAACTAGCGAAGTTACTGTTCAGGCAAAGATATTTTAAGAATTAAAATTCCAATTATAAATTTTCAAATATTATGGCACTGTTGTAAAAAAATCTGATACTTTGTAAAAAAATACTTTATAAACCTAAATTTTTTTTGAGTCTCATGAGATTTTTATTTTAAGGTTTTTTAGCAATTTCTAAATTATCCCAATACATTCTAAAAGCTTAAAATACTTTCTAAGAAACTATGCTGCTCTCCGGGAATCTCAAAATATTTTATTTGATCGGCCTGAGCTCAGAATTTCATTCTTGTAGGTAGCTGTCACAAATTATCGATTTTTTTTCCTTGAAATAACGCATATTTATTTATTTACAAAAAAAATTATTTTGTTTTTAAATATTTTACATTTCATCTGATTCGAATGCTAACACTCCGCACAGAAATCGACGATGGCGCTGCGATTGTCACCGATTTCTCTTCCGGCCTTCCAGTCAGCATTCTCATCAGCGCATTGCGATAGGGCACAACGAAATAAAACGAGATGAACGGGTCGATTAGGCATGGGAAACTTGAGCATATCAGCAATCCGTGTTCTGGAAATCATTTTGTGCTCGTGCGAATTTCTACTATAAATGGTCACTAGCGTGTGAAAATGTGTGTTACCGGATATCAAGCTTTCGACGCCGTTTGTTTGCGAATACCTGTATAACGAAAATATTGGAATATAGCAGATCAATGGAAGAAGCGTTTGGCAAATGAGGCCCTGAAGATTCGAGATTTTCGAGAATGACGATTAGGCATTGCGATACGTACGTAGATCAATGTGCGCGCTTGAGTTTTAGTCCTTGTCGACATGGCCGAATGACGATTAATCATCCGAAGAATACTTCTTGTAAGAAGTGCCGACATCAGAGGGATTCCGTATGCTCCAACACCGATCATGCTAGTGACGAGCACGAATTGAAATGATTCGATGTTGCCGAATCCCGAAAATGGTTCATAAATCGACAAATTATAATGTGGATGCTCCAATTTCGATTGGAGTCGAACTGATTCGAAGTCCCATGTATCTGTGAACGGGATTACCTGAAATTTTGCCTTTGAATTTTCGATTATTCTATTTGAAAATAACCGCAGTTGCCAATGGAGGTATATAAGACAATACAAGCATCCAGATGACATGTTTTCTGCCGGTATTCGCAATTTTCAACACCATGTACCGGAAAAGAACGGTATTTGAAATTGACAAGGCGATCGCGAAAACGACTCCGTAGTAGATGTGATAGGTGCTGAAGCACACATAAGGACTGATTTTGCGGCAAAAGCCGACAGATAGAACGGCGAATGTGGTCGAGTTTGGAAGCGATCTGAATTGTTATAATTCATTTTAATCAAAAGCTTTGGTTGAAAAAATATTTATCAAAAAAATTCTGATAAATGAATGTGAAAAAAGAGTATGTGTTTTTGGGAAACGACGCTGGTAAATCAAAATCAATCGAATCCATCAAAATTCTACAACGGAATCAACCTAATACGATAGGTAATTTTACGGATAAAATTATATAATAAACGGATCCGATTTGTTTTAATTTTTCGTGTATGATTAGTTTTGAGTTTCCAGTTTCTATGAAATCTTTTATAAAATGGTGGACGTGGCCTGAAATGCAAAATACAGTCCACGGCCGTCAACATTTCAACGCAAAATATTAATCATTTTAATTAAATACGAAGAAAAGCAATATTGCCTTTATTCGTATTTAATTATTTATATGAAACAATCAAAATTAATTTAGCAAAAAAAAAACATTTTTTGAAACAGCCCTCACATGTCTCACCTGTGTTGCGTAAAATAACCGGTAATTATTCCAATAATTTGCACGAGTGCTGTATTCCGCAAAAAATACTTGAGATTCGCCAAACTCGACGGCGATTTTTTGGTGATGAGAAAAACGAGAAGAAACTGAAACGATAAACCGCACACGAAGTACACATGATAATAAATGTTGACGATTGGCTGAAATCGATTCGGATCTGCCGACATTATTGTGTTTTCTGAAACAAAAAAAAAACGATGGTGACGATAAAAGAAGGAATGCGTTCTAATTTCCGGCAACCAAAAAATTAACATCATGAAAAGTTGTGAGAAGGTACGACACTATACATATTTTTATCTGGTACGACACTATACATATTTTCACATGGGAATTTATTGTGAATTGAACCTTTCGCTGAGTTTTTCGTTGTTTTTTATAGGTTTATTTTTTCAACAAAGAAGTTCGCATGATTCTCGAAACAACTTCCTAATTAACAAAAATGCATATTTTGTCAAAATATTTTGTTATTAATGGTACAAGACAACATTAGGTTTGAAAAATTGAGAGAATCTAGAAAATAGACATATAACTCAAGGAGTTTCAACATTTTCACATGAAAACGATAAAGGTTGAATATTTTGCATGGGAATTGCAGAAAGTGTTTAATGTCCAAATTACGTATGATTCGTTTCGAGATCTCATCTAATGTCTCTACTCTTTAAAATCACAATTTATGTGAAAAACGTGAAGCTGGTTTATGTCACCAATTTTCACAATTCGCAATGGTTCGAATACTACTCGAGTTTCATGTGAATTTTAGGTCCTACGTAAGTGATATCCATGCTAAACAACACGGAGAACAAGCAAGTTCCCACGAATTATGAAAATCCCAAAACAATGTTATTTTATCATTTTTATTGAATTGAATAAATTATGAGCAAATCATTCAAAAAATATACAAAAACAATCAACCAAGAATGTGCTAGTTGTCATAAGACCGAACATGTCGTCGTTACTGTCATGAAATCCTTTCGCGAGCTTACTTCCTTTTTTCTCAAACAAAATTGAAGAAGGGCCCGGCGATAAGGGACCACAAAGTAGAATGATATCAGAGGGTCGATGAGGCCTGGCAAACTCGGAAGAGCCAAGAACAAGTGCTCTAAAAGGAAATAAAGCTTTACTGAAAATGTATATGAAAAGAATACCAGAAAGAAGAATTTCGGTGCCAGTAAACTGGGTATAAACGTAACACGAGAATATCGGTGTGTAGATCACAAACGGGAATATTGTTTGACAAAGGAGACCCTGAAAATTAGACATTTAAAAAATTAAATCTGAAAGAATGTATGATATATCAAATTTCGCTTATATAACTAGTGACAAGCTTTTTCATCGAACATTTGTTATTCAAAATATTACATCACATATTTTTTGATATATTTTGCTCTGTGAAATTTCAGAGTCATTTGACCTAAATGACATGCTGTCAAACTAAGTACACCCACCTTATATTATGGGAATTGTTTAGAAATGTTTCGAAAATCACGTAAATTGATCTATAAATAAATTTAAATTTAATCTTTTAGCCTCGATGGTGTGGAAAAAAATGTCGCGTAATCAAAATGTATTTATCTCAACAGTGACATTAATTGGTCCCAATTTTCAAGAATGTATTTAGTATGATCGTCGTCGGATATAATGAGAGAAAATACACGCAAAACCTATAACATTGGTCTCGCAACAATCGATACTAGTAGTCGTTTTTTTCAGAAACGGTCACATTATATACACATACAAGTTGCGGCAATATTATGTTTGCATCGAAAAAAATCAAATAACTATTCGAAAAAAAACAACAATACTCGTTCAAATTGGCAGTACAACAACAAAAAATTTCAAAAAAAAAAATGATTAAAATGCAACAGAAAATAAAATTTAGAAAAAAAATTAAAATGCACAAGAAATGCGTCAGTGGCGTATGAGCTTGCGTTTAATTCGTGCACACGTAATTTTGCCGCACCCTGTATATATTTTTGTTATTAAAGAACTCACGTAGATCAGCGTCATTGCCTGCTTCTTCGTCCGGCTCGACATATTCTGATTAAATCTGATGAGCATTAGAACTTTTCGTGTCAAAATTCCGCTGCACAACGGGATTCCGTAGGTTCCCAACGCCAAAACCGTCGATCCGACGAGAAATGGAAATGTGGAAGTGTCAGCGAAACCGAAGAATGGCTCATAGATGCTAAAATTGTAGCTCGCGTGTTCGGCGTAAGTCGATTGGCGTAATTTCGCAAAATTCCATGTGTCGCAGAACGGCGCAATCAGCAGAATGATAGCGAGGAGATGAGAGCTGAAGACGATGAGAATCACTTTTCGACCGGATATGTAGTTGGCGATCAATACGAAATAGCGAAAGAATACGGTGGTGCTGATTGACATTGCAGTATCGACGCTGAGCGCCTAAAATCGGCCATTGAAATTTCGAATATTGTCAAGGCTTACGGTATATATTATATAGGATATAAAGCAGATATTGGGTCCAAACCAGGTGCAAGGACCAGTTGCCAGAATCGCAGTAGATCCGATGTTAGGCACAACCCTGTATTAGGAAATCGACAAGGTGTTCAGATCTCGCAGTTCACCTGTGTTGTGTGCTGAATGCTGTCAACACCAGCGCAATTTGGACAATATTCGTATTATACATAAAATATTTCAAATGGTCCAAACTCGATGGCGATTTGAATCGTATCAAGAATAGCAGAATCAATTGAAGGGTGATGCTCGTCGCTGCATAGAACTTATAGTATATCGAGAATACGGTAGCATAGCGTAATGTGTCCGGCATTGCACTTAATTGTGACGGTTGCTTATGAACGTAATCGGTTTCACACGAATAATCGAGAGATCAACGGGTTTTGTTGTTTTTTTTTCCTCGAGGAATTTGCGCTGTGAACTAGACGAGTTCATATATTTTGCCATCTCCAAGATTGCGTCATTCAGAGGGGGGCGGAGTCAGAGAAGACGTAGATCATTAGAGACCATTGGTACGAATTTAGGTCTTGACCTCGATGAGGATTTGAACTGAAGGGAATTAAGATGGACCGTAGAGCCTTCTCCTTTAGACAAGCCAATTGTTTTGAGGGTCCTTTCATTTTTCAATTAACATGTTTGAAAAGTCATCATTTTATTCAGTTTAAAGGCGCATGATTGAAATCAACCATCACAAAGGCGTTTATATGTAGTGTTTCTCGGAAATCGCAAATGTTCAATTTTCAGACAGTTTCAGACTCTCAAATTCCCACCTAATATCATTGTTCCATTGACGAAGAAAAAACGACGAGAAAGTCTGCGTAATTTTTTTCCTCCTCCGGCAACCCGTGAGATTTCTTCAACTCCACAAATCATCATCATTAAAAAAATGACCGTCGACACAATGCGATATGTTTTGTTTTTCGACGTCTACTATACCGTCTATGCATTTTTTGGGCTTTTATTCCAATTCATTTTACTGTATTTGATCTACCACAAATCGCCGGCAACCATGGACCATTTGAAGTTTTATTTGTACAATACGGCATTTGTGCAAATCGCGTTGATCACCTCGGCATATCTCACGCAGCATAGGTAAAAAATCGCCGAATTTGTGGAAAGAAAAATATCGAAAAATCACAATTTAATAGGAAATTTGAATGAGTCTGGAAATCTTCAAAATTTGGGGTTCATGCCAATTTCAGCCCAGCCTGGAAATTTCCAAATTTCATTTTTTCGCGGTTAAACCAATTTCAAAAATAGCTTATTACGTGAGAATGTGCTCTTTGAAACATTCTCTGAAAAACAAATTCTCTTTCCATCAATCAATGACCAACAACCTTTTCTGCTTCCAGGGTTGTTCCCAATGTCGGCTCAACTGCAATTATGTCGAAAGCGGCGTGCTCGTGGATCGGACCGAATTCATGTTTTATGGTTTACATTGTGTATACCGTAATCATGAAATTTAAAGGAGCATTAAAAGATGGTGTGATGTATTTACAGGCGCTCAGCGTTGATGTCGCCATCTCAATTAGCAACACAATTCTGTACCGCTACCTAGTAGTCGGACTGCACTATATAACTCCGAAGCTGATATTCATCATGATCGCGTGCTCTCACATTCTGCCATTTCTTCTTCTGCTCGCTCCTCTCGCAGACACGTGGGATTTTGAAAAAGTTCGAAGGGCGACGCATCAAGCTCACCCGACCTACAATTTAACCATCTATGAGCCCATTTATGGCTTCGCCAACACAAACTCGCTTCTATTTATGCTTGGCACTGCAATAATGGCTGGCGGCAGCTACGGAATCCCGTTGTGCAGCGGAATATTGACAAGAAGTGTTCTTGTGATGATCAGATACCATCAGAATATGTCTGACAAAACGAAAAAACAAGCAATGACTCTCATCCATGTTAGTTTTTCCCTTAGAATATTGTTTAAAAAATTGTGCCTGAAGGTCCAACTTCTAAATAAATTATAGTCCTAATTTGAAAAATCTGATAAGGGAATGAAAAAAATTAATTTTTATAGTTCCTTTTTTGAAAAAAAATTATTTGTCTATTTTTTTAATTGAAATTTTTTGTTTTTAATTGTTTAACCAATATCAATTTAAAATCAAATTTTTACCAAAACCTTAGATTTTTTTTGAGACTGCGCACTTCATTAAGCATTCGATGAAAATCCCCCCAAAATATGAAATCATCACACAAGGGCATCGAAAATTTGATTCAGAATATTATCAATAAAATGTCGCAATTTGTTAGATCCCATTTCGGCATTCTACCACTCTGAATTTTTAGAATTTTGCAGGGTTTGATTTGTCAAACTTTATTGCCACGCCGATTTATTCTTGTTATCTCTATACGCAATCAACTGGAAACGAAATTATGATAACAGGTCGATCAGAGATTTTCGCAAGTCTATTCTTGAATTTCAGAGCACTTGTTTCTGGCGATGGCGAGTCTTCCAGGCCTCATCGATCCTTTAATCTCGTTCTACTTCATTGTTCCCTATAGACAAACCATATCGGCAATATTCTGTCCTGAAAAACGTACGGCCAACAAGGAAATCATGACGATCACAAGCTCTTCCGTTTTATCATGATCATTCTCTGAACAAATTCCAATATCCCTAGCTTGTGCTATTTTTGAAAATATCTCGTCATTACGTTGACTCAAAAAAATGAAATCGTGTGAAAAAAAAATCAACTAAATTCTGCATTAACTGCATTCATTTGCGAATGAACTCTCTGAAGTATGTGCTGGTTTTCGATATTTGGTACAAATTCTACGCAATCGCCGGTCTGACTGGCCAATTTTTACTATTATATCTAATCAATCGAAAGTCGCCGGCCACTATGGATCACCTGAAATATTTCCTCTACAATACCTCATTTGTGCAGATCGCTTTGATATTGGCGGTGTTCTCAATTCAGCACAGGTAGAACAATGCCCAAAAGCACCTTCCAATCCTTCCAGAGTGCATGCGAATGCGACGTCCGTCGCGATCCTTTCCACTGCTCCTTGCACATGGATTGGTCCGACTGCGTGCTTCACCATGTACCATGTCTACACGGAAAGACCCACAACTCGTCATCCATCTTCAACATTTATTCTATTTTAGGCGCTTTGCCTCGATGCTGCTTGTTGCATCAGCAGTACAGTTTTATTCCGCTATCTTGTCGTTCGTCTCAATGAATTCACCGTCCGCAAAATCGCGATTATCATTTCGAGCGCTCATGCGATTTTATTTCTTGTCCTTTTATTGCCATTCTTCGACACGTGGAATTTTGAGAAATTGAGAGATGAGACATATTCGGAACATCCCGCCTATAATTTGAAATACTATGAGCCATTGTTCGGATTTGCCAACAATCAATCGTTTCAATTTTTGGCGGCCACTGCATTATTGGCCCTTGTGGTTTATGGAATTCCGTTTGCCAGCGGCGTTATGACGAGACAAGTGCTAGTGACGATCAGATATCATCAGAATATGTCTGATAAAACGAAGAAACAAGCGATGACGTTGATATATGTAAGAAGGGTGCTCGAAATCATGATGGCGAGCTATTTTAGGGTCTAATCTGTCAAACGTTTTTGCCTTTTGTTGCCTATATCCCAATATTTTCAAGTTATTTATACTCACAAATTACTGGCGAAGAGATGTTGTTATCAGGTTTCAATGCGAAAATAATACGACGCCGGAACGGTTTTCTAGGTCATCTGATCCTCGTAATGGCCAGCATGCCCGCCCTTGTCGACCCAATCATTTCATTCTATTTCATCGTGCCCTATCGACAAGCAATTATCGAGCGATTTTGCACAAAGAGAAATATTTTGCAAATTGATATGTTTACCGTATCGAGCACATCCGCAGTGAAACCCTGAATAAACACTTTTCTTATCTTATGAATGTGTCGTGCGACTGCGGAAAATTGGCTAAATTCCAAAAAAATCCCAATGGCAGTGATATTGGCGCAAAATTAAAAGCAGGAGGATTGGTTAAAGGCGCACACTGTGCACTGAGACCTCTCCCTAAAAGTTTTTGGCATTTGGCCAATTTTCCTAGGTCGCGCGCCGTCGACAATATACCAATCTTGATTATTTATTGCGCTATCGTCGGCGTCAAAGAATTAAATGATGTGGGGCCTTCAAATTCGCGAAATTAGTGTAGATTTATAATTTATCGTTGGCTGAATATTAAATGCGCGTACACTATAATGCAATGTACGTAGTTGCGCGTACTTTTGCCTCGAAACGCATTGGCACATAGACAAGAATTTTTCTTTCAAATTTCGTTCAGTCATATGACGTCGAAAATAAATTAGCCAATATTATGAACTTTTCCATTTATACAACTACCAAAGATCTCATGGGTGTCGCGTATTTCTTCTTCATTTAGTTACACTATTGCACTTTTTGCATAGCTTCATTGCAAAAATGTGTAAGTAATTTTTTTGCAATTTTTTATTGTATGAATAAATTCAAAAAATGCAAAATGCAACGTCAAGTAATTGATGAAAAAATTATATGACTGAAAGGGTACAAATTCAGGGTGCACGCGTTTAACTACAGTGTTCGATTTTTTTTTTTGCCGACGGTACTTCCCACTGATTAAATTCAAATTTTAATTGCCGTCTCGAAGAAGTGCGATGGTCCGTAATAATGCAAGACGCTCGTTGTTTTTTGCGATGGTAACAGCCAATTTTGTTAAGCGATTTTCCGTAGTATATTGCATTTTTGTCATAATCGCAGGAAACTAATGGACAGGAGAAACAAATTAAAAAGAAAAACATATTTTTTATCTCAAAGTTAATCATCCAATTTCTAAAGAAAATTCCGAAGATTGCTCGCTGTTTACTCTGCATTTGTGCGTAGGGGGTCGGCACGGACTGTAAAATTCAAACTCGGAAAACTCACTGAGCGAAAAAAAACGTCTCTATTTTGCATAAAACGTTGCACGGGTTATCCCAAATCATATGGGACCACTACTTGTGTTCAAATGTGTTTGCTATTCTTATTGTCACTGAACCTCATAAACATTCTCGTACAATGCGTCGCAACTGCCCAAAGTACAAAGTCCAATACATTGTAGCCTGCCGCGTGTGTTATCGTTGTGACCCAGTTCCTGATTAAACTATTTCGCATTTTGAATTTCTTCTACAAGCCTGTTTTAAATATTTTTCAAATCTATCACGAGTTTTTGCCGTTTAAAATTTTGAAGAAGCATGAAAAAAACCAAGAAGTATTTATATGTTTTGATTTCGCAGTGTTCATCTTCGTGTCTCTTCTACCTCTTTTCCATCATACGAGAACAAATATGCCGGTTGTTTTTCGGCCAGTTGTTCATTCGTACATCACTATTAGATATTATACTTATCAGTATCGTATATTAATAGTTTGTCCATTGTCGAGTTAAATATATTTATTCAACGTGCAATTTTCATTTCATTGCAGAATGTTGTCCACGTTGGGAAAGAGCGCTCGAATTGCAGCACAAACAAGGTATGCTTTCAAATTCGAAAATTAATCTTTTGAATTAAAGACTAGTGTTGTTGACCGGTTTCACATACATTTAAAAGTTGCGTTCGATTGTTTTCTTTTGCTTTACCACCTGCGTCTCGTTTCTCTCTCATAACATGACCGCCAAAAATAAATTTCAAAATTATTGAAAAATCGTGTCACGTTTAAAAATACCTATATTAATGTACTTATTTATGAATTTTTTACGGATAACTTTGAAAATTATATTAAATATGCATTTTTTAAACATTCCTTCATTGAAAAATGTGGAAATTTTCATTTCTTATTGCACGAATAAATCCATAAACCTTTGATTTTCAGAGCGTTATGCTTGTCGACTTCTTGTGCTAGCAAGCCTGTCGAAAAAGATGCCAAAAAAATCAAGGCGGAAGATTCGAAATCGTTCGTGATGTCACTTTTTCGCGGAAAAGGAGTCACTGAGCAAGTATTCCCATACCCGTTGAAACTCGACGATGAGCAGAAGGAAACTCTCGGCATGGTAATGGGCCCACTCGAAAAAATGCTTCAAGAGGTTAACGATGTCGTCAAGTAATCTGGAATTCAAGATAAATGATTTTATTGAATTTATTTAGAAACGACGAAACTAGTGATATTCCAAAAGAAGTCCTCCAGAAGTTCGCCGAACTTGGAACTTTCGGAGTTCTCGTTCCGCCAGAGCTCGAAGGATCGGGATTCAATAATACTCAATTAGCTCGTGTTGCTGAAATTGTTGGAGCTTACGATCTTGGATTTGGAGTTGTTATGGGCGCTCATCAATCTATTGGATACAAGGGAATCCTTTTGGAAGGAACCGAGGAGCAAAAGAAGAAATATCTTCCCGACTTGGCTACTGGCCGCAAATTTGCTGCTTTCGCACTAACTGAGCCAACGACTGGATCAGATGCTAATGTATAAGCCAATCTACGTATATCATTTTGATGACTCGATATTTTCAGTCAATTCGTTCGCGAGCTGAACTCTCTCCAGATGGCAAACACTATATTCTCAACGGAGGAAAAATCTGGATCTCGAATGGTGGATTCGCTGATGTGTTCACCGTATTCGCGAAAACTCCAATCAAGCAAGCTGATGGAATCACCAAGGACAAAATGTCGGCATTTATTGTCGAAAGAGCTTTTGGAGGAGTTACCAGTGGTCCGCAAGAAAAGAAAATGGGAATCAAGGGCTCGAACACCACCGAAGTTCACTTCGATAATGTCAAGGTATCGAAAATCTGGTAGATTGTTAATAATTGCTTTGAAATGTTTAGATTCCCGTTGAGAATCTCCTTGGTAAAGAGGGGGAAGGCTTCAAAGTCGCTATGAACATTTTGAATAATGGAAGATTTGGAATTCCGGCTGCTTGCACTGGAGCCATGAAACATTGTATCCAGAAAACCGTAAAAAATTCGATATTAATGAAGAATAATCAAATGCCCAATTCCAGGTTGAGCACATCACCACTCGTGTGCAATTCGGAAGGAAACTCGAAGAATTTGGAAATGTTCAAGAGAAACTCGCTGACATGACTGCTCGTCTTTATGCAACTGAATCGGTTGTTTATATGCTAGCCTCGAATATGGACCGTGGAATAAAGGAATTTCAATTGGAGGCGGCGATTGGAAAAGTTTTCGCTTCGGTGAGTTTCTTCGGATTATTCGATGATTTTTCTGTGAATGTTTAGGAAAGCGCTTGGCACGTGTGCGATGAGGCCATTCAGCTTCACGGTGGAATGGGATTCATGCGCGAGACTGGGCTTGAACGCGTCCTTCGTGATTTGAGAATCTTCCGAATTTTCGAAGGAGCCAATGATGTTCTTCGCCTGTTCATCGCCTTGACTGGAGCTCAACATGCTGGAAAACATTTGGCGCAGACGGCGTCGTCAGGAATTGGAGGAATGCTTGGATTGGCTGTTCAGCGAGTGACTGGAGGTGGTGATACTGGGGCAAATTTCGATGCTGTTGTGGATTCGAGTCTCAAGGATTCGGCTGCAAAAATCGATGCCAATATTCGACTCTTTGGACAAACTGTCCAGAATCTTTTGATCAAACATAAAAAGGGAATTATTGGTATTTTGCGAGAACAGTATGCTTTTATCAACGCAATATCTTTCAGATCGTCAATATGAGATGATTCGTGTGGCGAATGCTGCCATCGACATCTACACTTCGATATCCGCTGTTTCTCGAGCCACCCATACCATCAGGAACAAGTCGGCTAGCGCCGAATTCGAGAAACAAGTTGTCAACTACTATGTGAACAAGGTCGGTATTGCTTAATCATTTATTCGGAAGGTGCGAATTACTTTCCATTTGGATTTCCCGCTCCGTGTTTGTGGCATCTTTTGTAGTATGGGCGACCTCCAGCCGAGACGGCGACGACGGCGAGAGCGAGAAAAGCGATGATTGAGTAAACGTTCATACTGCAAGAGTTTGAAGTTGCTCAGAAGTGGTGTTTTGTGAAAATGTTTACCTTGAATTGATGGAAGCAGGCTTCGATAATTTTTCGCAAAATTCTGATAGGTTTTATACTGAAAATTTAATGATAGATAAAGTTTTATTGGATAGTTTTGACGTCGAATATTTTACGTTCAATAAAACAAAACGGTTATCCACATTGCGCGAATATTGGCTATTTGGCAAATATCAAATTTTGTTCTCAAAATTGATGCTCATTTAAGAGTTTGAATTGTACTAATGAGACGACGAGCATAGTGTTTCCACCAAGAACTCTTGATTGAATTTTGTACAATTTTCAGGCCATGGAATCTGCGAAAAACTCCCTTGACGAAGCGGGACGCGGTGTTGAGAACGCTGCCAAGGTTGAGACAATTGCGAACATCTCGAAACAGATCTGCTCGAACGGCGGACTTCCTCTTCAGCACCCTGTCGATTTGTAAATTAGTTAATGTAAAAAAAAAGATTATTTGATTACACTTCATGTACCAAAGAAATGTATTAGGTTATCTTCATCGCCCGGGTTTTACTTTTATTCCTTCGTTTTTACTTGTGCGCAAAATGAATGTTTTTACCGCCTATTTTGGTTATCAATCGGGTGATGAGGTCTTATCAAAGACTACAGTGTAGGATTGACCAATTTTGGCGTCGTGCAACATTGTTGGCCATTTGTCGGCTGAGATGGATGCCAAGAAAGCGACAGCGCATGTGCCCGAGCCAACGCATTTTCAGTATGACACCCGAGATGCTATTATTTATGCACTTGGAGGTGAGCTGTTGTAGTTTTTCTTGACAAATTCAATCAATATTTCGATGAATTTCAATTTTGCGGTCTCTGCACGAGTTTTGAGTGTACAGGGGGATGCGGAAAGTTGCACGACGCAGAGAAAATTTGAAAATCTAGATTCAATGCAGAAAATCGTAATTTTGACAATTTGTTTCGCATTTCTCTTTTAGAATTTTAAGAATGAAAAAAATCAATAATTCGCGTCATATTTTTGCATTCTGTCTTCGAAAAAATCGACTAGCTAACATATTTCAATGAACAAAAAAGACGAGCCTTGACATATTTTGAAAAAATCGTTTTTTTTTCTTAATTACCCTCAACCGATTCTGGTAGCCACTTTCTTCATCGGAAACAGATTACACGGATGATGTCTTAAATTTTCAGTCGGTGCTACAACCAAAAATGATATAAATTATGTATACGAGAACGCGCCGGAGTTCAAAGTTTTGCCAACATTCATAGTTGCGCCAGGATTCGAATCGGGAAATATCATGGATTGGCCCGGAATCGAATTCGATTTGACTAGGTATGACAATCGCGAATTCGCTAGCTGCGTAGATTTACGGAGAGTTTGGTTCGCAACTTATCGGTAATCAAATTCCCATTGTTCCAATACAAACCAAACTTGAGTTAGGGCCACGAAAAGATTCGATGGTCCACAATTACTCAAGATGCTCGTTTTCTATGATTATAATATTCTGCAAAAAAAAACAAAGCGAAAAATTTTGCGTTAATTTTATTTGAAATTAATCATCCAATTAATTTCACGGCCTTCCAGCTCCGGTTTTAACACATCTTCGACGATATGGGCGTCCTTCCGCCGAAATAGCGACGGTCGCGAGAGCGAGAAATGCAATGATTGAGTAGAAATTCATTCTGAAAATTTCATTTTCGTTTTTCAAAAATTAATGCTTTAAGCCTTACACTGCAGAGAAGGAAAGCTCAGATTATTTTATATGTTTTTGCAAGCTATTTGTACTAATAATTTAAAAAATTAATAGGCGATAAAGTTTTATTACAGAATTCTTCATGGCGAACAATATATTGAAATGTACGAGCCTCTGCCTTCAGAAGCGAAGCTTCGTTCTGAGGGCAGAGTTGTCGACGTCTTGGACAAAGGATCGGGAGCCTTGATTCTTATCGATAGTAAGAGAAAAAATTAATTTTGACATGGAGAGAAATCGGAATTAAGTCTTGACATATGACGAGTCTACGGGAAAGAAAATTGCAATGCAGCAGATGAGCATCTTCCAAGTTGGATCCGGCAATTTTGGCGGCTCGCGCACCTCTCCGCATGAGAAGAAGGCTTCAACGATTCCGAGTCGACCGCCAGATGCTATCATTGAGCAGAAGACGTGGGAGAATCAGGTGAATTTCAGAATCGACTTTTTTTTTAATTTTGGTTTTTATACATATTAGGCTGCCCTTTATCGAATGGGCAGTGGAGATCTGAACCCGCTTCACGTCGATCCGAATTTCGCGAAAATGTCCGGATTCAAGGAGCCGATTCTCCATGGACTCTGCTCTCTTGGATTCGCTGCGAGACACGTTTTGAACGCGTGGACCGACAATGACGCGGATCTGTTCAAAGCGATGAAGGTGAGGCTGAGATGATTGCTAGCAAAATTATTGAACGGCTTCAAGGTTCGCTTCTCCTCGCCCGTCATTCCCGGACAAACGTTGGTCACCGAGACGTGGAAGGATGGCAATCGAATCACGTTCCAGACGAAAGTCAAAGAAACTGGAAAAGTGGTGGTTTCGAATGCCTATGTCGATTTGCACAAGGCTAATGCGAAGCCCAATGTTCCAGAGCACTTGAAAGCCAAATTGTAATCGATTGATTGTTTGCGAATAAAGATTTAAAGGCGCATCGATTATTTCAATTGATTTGTATAAATCAAAATTTCTGATGAACGTTCAATCAGTCTGTTGCAATTCATTGGTGTCGTGATCGAGCAAAAACGAGAGAATATGGGTCAAAGAATCGGCAACAAATTGAATAAGGCGTCAAGAAATTTCGCTTTCGCCATTGGTTTCTTGAAGCGAATTTGTTTGAAAATTGTGGCATTATAAACAAAATTGATTTGTTTTGCACGCCAACTATTGCATATTTATTCATTTATTTATATGTAAGCCTCTCCGGCGGTGGAAAAAAATGTAAACCCGCCGTTCATGAATATTTGATCGATTTGGTTCGAAATGCCAAATATGGCTTCAACAGAGCGCAAATTTTATCGGCCGCTTAATTGGCAGTTAATTTTTTTATTCGTCATTGTTCGCCGTCAAAAATCCTTTTCGTTTTTACGATTTATTTGTCGAGTTTTATTTCACATAAACTTGCGGTTTTGACGAGTTTTTATACATATTTTCGTCGGGGTTTGCGTCGATTTACGGTCGTTGCGCCTTTAAAATTGGTCTCGAGATAATGCCAAAAACTATTAGATAAAACTTGGATAATACATATAACAATTATGTTGATTAATATCATTTGAGTTTCCATTTGGGGGCGAAAATTATTTCATTGCCCGTTATTTCATTTTATTTTTATATAAACAGCAAATAATTAATTTTTCGACCATAAACAAATTCAAATTGTATCTCCGATGGTCATAAATGTTATTAAGATAAGAGAAAGCACGCTCACATAACGGTTAACTAAAGATTATTTGAAAAACACTCAATGCTAAACGAAATTTTTCGCGGACGTGTTATTCTGACCTAATTTTTTTGCGGCCGTCACTCGCATTGCCAACCAGCCGCATGGAAACCATAATTATATGGCCAATAATTATTAACTAAATATTTTTTTAACTAAATTCACTAAATATGATTATTAACTAAATAAATACTTTTCAACTAAATAAAATATTTTTTAACTAAATATGATTTTTAACTAATTAAATCCAATTTTTAACTAAATATAATTATTTTTAACTAAATAAACCTAGCTGACAAGGTATGTCTTTTTTGCTGTCTGTCTCAAAATTTAAGAAGTATATTGTCGGCGTCAAACGACAGAAGGGAGGCGGGGCCTTAAAATTCGAGAAATCAGTGTAGATTTAAATTAATCGTTGACTGAATATTTAATGCGCGCACACTATAATGCAATGTTCGCATTGTATCTGACCTATTGGATCAATATTTCGATATTTTGAGACTTTTTATGTTAATATCTTAAAAAGTAGCCGCGTAGTGGTCAAAAACCTGTGTTTCAAGCGGAGCAGAATTATAAAGCGATCCCCATGAAACGGAACATTTCGCTTTTGTTTAACTGTCACGGGACCAATGTGCACAAAAATAGTTGTGTGGCTTTAAGAACCTACAGTGTTCCTTATTTTTCTATTTTTGAATCATTTGATGCAAAACGTTGGAGCAGCAATTCAAATCTAAATCGACCTAATATGTTTCAAACCTTCTCAAATCTATGCCAGACCATGTTTTTGATGTTATTACCTCGAATAAATAAGTGCTAAAAATTCCAGCTCGATTGAACCACTCGTTTAAAAGTTATGAAGAAAATTAATTATTTCGTACCATTTTACTGTAGGTTTATTTAGTTAAAAATAATTATATTTAGTTAAAAATTGGATTTATTTAGTTAAAAATCATATTTAGATAAAAAATATTTTATTTAGTTGAAAAATATTTAGTTAATAATTATTGGCCTAATTATATTTGTCGGCGTCAAACGACTGAAGGGAGGCGGGACCTTCAAATTGCCGAAATCAGTGTAAATTTAAATTTATCGTTGGCTGAATATTAAATGCGCGTACACTATAATGCAATGTACGTAGTCTTGTGTACTTCTCGCTGCACAGAGACGCATTCGCACAAAGCCAACAATTTTTTAAATTTCTTCAAGTCGTTTGACTCCGGTACATTAAAAATGATTAAAACTTTGGACTTCTGGATTTTCACAAATCTCAATATTTGAAGGAGAATGAAAAAAAGGAAAAAAATGATTATTTTTCCTTTTCTCCTTTTTCCTTCTTTGAAATTTTTCAAATTTTATTTATTTTTATTTTCTCTTTAGCGAAAAAATGTTTGTTTCATGGAGTTAAAAAAAGGGGCATGCAGATTTGTAGGAAAAAAAAACTCAAAAAGCAAACTATGTTTTTTTTTCTGCCCAGGATTTTTCATAACCGGTTTGATAGTTATTTAATCAGTTTTTTTTTTTTTGAGTTATTGTGAAATCCCGCAGCCATTAGAAAAAAAGTACTATAAAATCCATGAATTGTTTTTCGACTTTTTTGATTACAAAAAAGATTGTAAAAATTTGAAGACCATAATTTTGAAAAAAAAAACAAAAAAATTAATTTATGTTATTATTGTTTCTGTTTTTTTTTCAGTAAGCTATTGTCTCGATTTGTAAGCTTGTGTTGGAATAATTGGCAATTTGGCAACATTTGTAAAAAAAAAATTCGCATTTTCGCTGTCGAACCATTTTTTTCAATGTTTATTATCGCTATAAATCGTCGAGTTTTGGATTTGAGTGTCGAAAAAAAATGATATCAATCGATCGGAATATTGTTTGTATAAGCATTTTCTCAAGATAATTGAAACATGAATGCTATAAAATGGGTTTTCTCTGCAAGAAACTTTACTATATATTGAAGGGGGACAAATGTGCAAAATTGGGAGCCCATTGGAAGTAATCATATGCAAATCACTCTTTGTTACCCCCCGATGCCTCCATATTTGTTGCCACGTCGCGTTTGCACTTGTTCGATGATAAAACGATTTCCAATTTGATGATTTGCCCATTTCCTCTTCCATATTTGGTTCGAATCAATTATTATCGCTGTTTGCCCAATATTTCCCTCATGAATGTCATGTTTTCACGGCACACCATGATTGTACATTTATGTATTTTATTGAATTTTTTTTGCCGACTGAATGGCCTAGTTTTATTGCTAATATTTGAACAACATTTTCTAGCAATTTTTAATCCGATTTTGAATTGATCAGCATTTAAAATCGTCAAAATTTCTAATAGTTTAAAAATCTGGTGGAATAATAAGAGGCTCATCGTGGGAATTTTGGCAGACTCGTATTTGTTATATAATTTTCTCAATAAATTAACCAAATTTGATGGGAACTCGCTGGGACATTGAGCGACGCGTTGTTTTCATTTTATTTCAATAAAATCGATGTTACGAATATTTTTCCTTTTTTTCCCGCGACTAAACAAAATATTATTGTCGAAAACCAACAATTGTATACTTTCAACCAAGAGAAACGATTGCTATCAAATATAACAATTAAAAAAAATTAAATATTGAACTATTTATGTGTTCGATGTCTGGAAGATTTCAGGCGAATTGCTTTCTTCGCAATTTCCATTTTTGGATGTTTTGGTGGAAAACTCACAGCTAATGAAATCAATTAGCTTTTGACTTGTCCCATTATTTTCAATGCGCAATTGCATTATTGGATTTTTCAAATTTCTTTTAATATAATTAAATAATTGTGAAGTGCTTATTTCTTCTTCAAAATCTGTGAGAGCAAAATGCGCGCCAAAATTTTTAAATAGTTTTGCTTTTATAGACAAAACCCAATTTTTAGGTTGAAAGATAACAATTTTTTCTTTTTCAGTTTTTTTTCCAAAAATCCATTAGAATCAGGATTGTTGCCAGAAAAGCTATTGATCAGTTTGGATGTGAAAATTATCTAATCTTTGATTAAAATTGATAATTCAGCCTTACTAAACGAAAATCCTTAGCCCGGAGGGCTGAAAAAAATTCTAATTAAAAGTTGAGCATAAAAATTATAAAAGAGCCGATTAGATGTACTAATTTTAGACGATGAGGCATAATTAAAAAGCGTAGTAATGAATTGATTTGATACGTCAAGTTTCAAGCCATAAACTCGGACCACTTTTACGACTCGACCAAATTTGAAAGTCGAAGCGCACAGCTGGGACAATATTGTTGCAGCTCTCTCTCTCTCTCTCTGATTCGCGCGCGCCACAAAAATACCCCAAATTTCGCGGTCAGATCCAACGATTCGTTACAAAACCATTTAATCCGCTCACACGCATACTACATACATACATATGTACATACATATAATAATCATAATCATATAATAATTCTCTCATTTTTCATTGTCTTTCCGGAATGACCGCTTTTACACATCATTCTCATCATCATCATCAGTAGAAGGCCGAGCAAAAAAAAATAGTCGGAGAGAGTGCTTGTAAAAAATTCATTGATATTCTAGTATACTCGCACATTCTCTGCTCTCTGTATTGTTTGTTTGTTTTTTTTTTCATATTTCTGTGGTTTCCACGTTGGCCCCTTTTGTTCATTTTTTTCTTTTTCTGTATATGAATAATTCACGAGGATCGTTTCCAGGGTCACCGTTTTTGGCGAATTTCAGCCATTTTTTGCAAACTTGATTTCTCCCTGTGAAAGCTTTGTTATCATTATTTGAAAATTTAACGAATTGCTTCTAAACCCATATTAGGACTTCTTTAAATGTACGATGTCAAGAGCAATTTGAAGCCCTTTTTTATTCTAAGAAAAAAATGAAATAGGTATAAAATTGACGTCTTCTAATACGATTTTCATTTTGAACTTTCGCCAAATCGCTCATTGGCCAATTTCCGATGTGAATTATCAGTTTTTCGACGTTTTCCAGCTATCCAAATGTTTCAAATTCGAACATATGGAATCGGTTTCGATCTTTTTTTTTTGGGGGGGGGGGGCTCCAATTGTGTTGGTGCACACTTTGCGGCCTAGCTTGCACTATTTTGTCGATATATCACCAAACCGAACAATTTTGTGGCGCAACAATTCGAATTTTCGACCGTTGCGTGGTAACCGACGCTGTGCGACAAAACGCGAGAGATTCCGTTGCTCGTGTTCTCGATTTCTCTTTGTTTCCGTCAAACGGCACCCCGCAACCCCGACAATTTTGACGCTTTTCCACTTTGATTATCATACGTGTTTCCCAAAAAAAAAAGTGGAATTTCGAATTTCGACGTGACCTCAAATATGCCCAATTTTCATTTCGAGCTTTTTTTGAAATCAGAAAAAATGATAAATTTTCAGGTAATTAACTTGAAATGATATCAAGGGGATGGTTTGCCAGGTAGATTATTCGTATTCCATCTGCGGACAATCTTCCAACTTTCGATTTCAGGTGGAAGTACCTATTCATCTTATGCTGCATTTGTTACATTCTAGTCTTCTATGTGCCATCTGAAAATGTGGTATGTTTCCATTGTCTCAATTTTTTGATAAACGAATTCCATATATAGTCGAGAGATAGTGGCACTCAATACATTGCACCTCGATTCAAATTCGGAATCAAAAACGGAATAGCCGCTGATGATCATCAAAATGAAAGCGATGATGGTCCGAAAGAGACATTCATGTTCCGACCTGCTAGCGGTGAAGCATTTGAAGTTGAAGAAGTTCTCACTACAAGTAATATAAAGCTGGCTCAACGAATGAAGTGTAATCCAAAAAAAGGTGTGGGATGGTTTAGCGTCGCGTTTTAATTATTCAAAAATTTTCGGTGAGAAGCGAGTGATATTGTCATGGAATGTTGGCCACTCGCCAGCGAATCTTGGTGGATGTCCGGAATGGAATTGCGAATTTACCACCGACAAAAATCGAGTCAAAGAAGCTGACGCGGTTAGCCAGATTTTTGGGAATTATAATATTGGAAGGATGAAGCTGAATTGCGCGGGCCACCGATTAAATGGTGCCGTAAATTAAAATCCACTCAAACTCTGTCATTTGACATTTTTATCGACAATCAAAAAATATACATATTTAAAAGTCATTCTTTTTCACATTGGTGAATATGGTGAATATAAGGAAAACTCGCTTCTAAGAATTTTAATTCCATACGAGACCCCCCGGGCTGCAATTCAAATGATACAGTAATCTCAACTACCATATTAGAATTCCTTGAAGAACACAATTTTTTTTGACGCCAAAAATTCTAGAAATTTTCAGGTTCTTGTTGGCGGCCAGCCATATGAAGTTAATTTCAAGCCAAACGCCTACTCAGTGTATTTCAGTCAGGTAGTTTTGCCATTTCGATGCATATTCCCCTTCCCAACGATTCCAGGAATCGCCGAAGAACAGCGGCTCGCGAATGCGCTACCAGTTCAACATGACACTTGGTTTTCGGCACGACACGCCCGCCTCGTCGCCATACGGCTACACGGTGAAGTTGGCGAAGAGCTCGTGGAAGACCGGCGAGTTGGTCGACATGAACTTGATCAGAAGCAAGAAGAAGCCGGCGGCGTGGTTTGTCAGCCATTGCGCGACGAACAGCGGCCGAGAAGAATTCATTCAAAGGCTTCAGGTTGGCGGCGATTGTCTCTCATTCAATGGATTAGCTCGCAATTCGCCCTACCGTTTTTCATTAGAAGCCATTGAGTCGATCGAATTGGCTCGTCTCTGCCAAATTAGGGAAATGGTTCGAATTGCAGAAGCATGTCAGCGTTGATATTTATGGCGGTTGCGGCAAACTGAAGTGTCCGAAGAGCGGCAATTGCGAGAATGCGCTCGACACCGACTACTTCTTCTATGTCGCCTTCGAGAACTCGCTTTGCAAAGACTACAACACGGAGAAATTGTGGAATCAGGGATATCAGAGGACAATCATTCCACTTGTCATGAAGGTAATCATTAACTATGCTAATTATAATATCATTAATTTTATAGAGGTCTATTGTTGAACCGTTTGTGCCTCCGAATTCATTCATCGCTATTGATGATTTCAAATCGGTTAAGGAAATGGGAGATTATTTGAATTATCTTATGAACAATCAAACCGCCTACTTGTAAGTTGCTTATCGATTTTGTGGGATGCGCCTTTAAACATCGCCTCCATCAAGCTTACACGGAATTTTGGCAAATTTCCAGTCTTTTTTCCCAGTTTTAAGAAAAAATATAATGACTTTAGCTAGGAGTGATCAAAGTCTTGAAGAAGAAAATTCGAAAAAAATGTTGATTCGATGTTCTTTTAAAGAAACCCCTAAACACGATGTGCCTTTAAAATGCTCATATGGCAATAATTAAGTATTCAATAATAGTTAGAAATTAGATTTTTAAATCGTTTTCCTTTCAATAATTTCGATTTTGCTGCGAAAAAAAGTCCGATCAAAACGTGAATTCCAATGAGATGGTCGCTTTTTGATCTGATTAATGATTCGAAATCGAATACGAAAAAATCGGTCTTCAAACGCGATCAAATACGTTTGCAAACTCATCGAATTCGATTGAAAAATTGATTTTTGAAAAATTTCGATTTTTTTTTCAAATCGTATATAGTCGGCGTCCGGCGCCCGGCGACTGCTGTTGATTTACGGGGATGCTCCTTTCTCTTGGTCTCGCTCGGACTAACAGGTTATTTTGAATTTTATGGGTCACTTCTATAATTTTTGAATCGAATGACGCTAGAAATTTCAAGAAATGCGAAACTCATCAAGAAAAAATGAACCGTTCGTGTGAAAACAGAAAAATAAGTGTTCACGCGTGGTGAGACCTTTTTCAAGGCGCATGCGTGTAAATATACCCGCGGACAGCAGTCGCCGGATGCCGACTATACAACGATCGTAATATTAGGATACGTTGATGATGCATCGTATTTGGTCATTACAGGGTGTCATTTAAGTTCCCGCACAAAAGTTAGACGCCATGAAAAGCTTGGCTGTCGCACTTTTCGTGCACCAATACAATTTATTTTTGTTAAATAAGGTGTATTTTACTTACTTTTCAAGTTTCACTTCATTCGGATGTGTTTCCGAGAAATGGCGAAGGCTAACATTCATCGCGCTTCCATTATCGAACTTCATAAGCGAAATGAGCGCCCGACAGAGATCATTCAACGCCTCGGTGTGCCTCGTAGAACGGTTTAAGACACCAACAAACGTTTCAAGGAGCTAAATACGACCAGTGACCTTCCCAGACAAGGAAGACTCGTCTCAGTAACCACTCCTCAGAAGATCAACGCCGTCAAAACGAGGATCAGGCGAAAACCGCACAGGAGCATAAGAAAGATGGCGTCAGACATGGGAATGAGCATCTTCGCTATGGAACAAATCGTCAAAACAAAGCTTGTACTGACCCCATATCGTGTCCAAAAAGTGGCAATTCTATCGGCCGTCAACAAGCAGAGACGCTTCGAAAAAGCAAAACAACTTTTTGCTCGCACGCGGTCTGGAGAACACCTCGCCACTGTCTTCTCCGACGAGAAGCTGTTCACTGTGGAGGCGGCATTCAACTCACAAAACCATTGAGTACTTGCCCAGACATCCCAGCAAGCTTCAGAGAAAGGAATAACAATTTATCCAGCCTCACATCCTGCCAGTGTGATTGTTTTCGGTGCCATCTGCTCAACCGGGAAGTGCCCCTGGTTTTCGTGGATCAGGTGGTGAAAGTGAACAAAGAAGTCTACGTTCGGGACATTTTGGGGAAGCATATGATGCCCTGGGCCCAAACGCATTTCGGTGGGAAGATATGGGTCTTTCAACAGGACGGAGCACCCGCCCCTACTGCCAAAACTACTCAGGAGTGGTGCCAGACCCATTTTCCCGACTTCATCAAGTCATCCGAATAGCCTGCTTGCTTCCCAGACCTGAACCCGCTTGACTTTTCCGTGATGGGGTCTTGCAGGAGAAGGTCAACGCAAAACCCCACTCAAGTGTAGAGGCTCTGAAGAAGACATTACTGGCGGAATGGGACAATCTTTCCATCGAATACCTGCGTACCACAGTCACATCCTACCCGAAGCGTCTCCGCGAAGTCATAGCTGCGAAAAGAGGCCGAATCGAAAAGAGTTAATAGATAATTATTTGTTGTACTATAGATAAAAAATATTTCGAGTCTCGTTTGATTTGGACTTTTAGTTTCAGAAATATACGTCTTCAAAGTTGTGCGGGAACTTAAATGACACCCTGTAAAATTTTTGTCGTATACGATTATGAACCGTTGATCAGAGGGTCGGATGTTTTCAGCATTTTTGCGTGCTACAATTTATTTATATTTTTTCTGAAATTCTAAGTCTCAAATCTCGTTTAAGACCAAAAATGGGGGACCATATTAGCGAGAGAATTGAAAAGAAAAAAATCACACACAAACACACTACTATGTTTTTTTTTTCCCGGCAGAGAATATTTCAATTGGCGGCGAAAATACAAAGTGATATTCCTGAATGGCGTCAATCATGATGTTCTCGAACGACCGTGGGGATTCTGTCAGCTTTGCCGGATATTATGGAATGAGCCGCGCGAGCACCACGTCATCGACAATTGGGCGGCGTATTGGGATGAAACGTGCGAGCGCGACAAACAGTTGGTCAATTCGATCAGCGATTAGAATTTCTTGTTATTTTTTCCTTTTTTTTCTCTCTGTGTTCTTCTAAAGCTGTCTTCATGTTTTGTATAAGCGCATTCATCAAAACGGGTTTCCATATTTGTATTTGTGTTCGGTTTGACCCATTCAATTGTGTATATCAGTTTTCATGTGATATAAGCTTTTCATGCGTCCAGGTGTTTTTTTTTTCATTGAACAAAGTTATAATTTATTTGTTTTATATTTGAAAAATAATTTTCCGCAATGTTTGACTTATATGTAATAAAATAGATATATGACAAATAGTTATACGGAAGTTGATTGGCCCTTTCTTTGATATTCGAGGTAAAGCTCATGGATCGACTTCTCTTTCGGCTCTAACACTGCAATTGGTGGAGGAGGAGGTAGATCATAGATATGCGACGACGTCTTCCGCGATTTTCGATAGTAGAAGAAGCAATGAAGAAGAACGTCGAGGAGGCCGAGAGCGAACACGATGAAACAGAAGGCCTGAAACCGGCGGTGGTCTTGATGGTGGTGGGGGGCAATTTGGTGATGGGTGTGAATTACCGCGGCGACGTCGTAGGTACCCGTTGAGACGTTTTGAAAGCAGCCATAGCTTGCGATGAGTTTCGGATCACATCCGTTCGAGGAAATGAGCAATAGAATTGCGGCGATTAGAGTGGCTAGCGAGTAGACGAATGAGAAAAGGCATTTCTGGAAATTTTCTGAAATATTGTGTGCAGAAGAAGGCGAAATAAATTCAGGAAAAAAGAAACCAATTTTTGATATTCAAAATTTTTCCATAATATTCCGGATTTTCGTCATTAATTAAGCAATTAAAAAAATGATTCATATTTTGCTCTTTATGAGATTAAAATTTAGAAAAGAATATGGACGTATTATTCCGATTTTTCCACATCAAATTTCATTGTAAGCATCTGAGGACATTTTCCGGGATAATCGCATATGTGTTGCTGCGTGAAATTAGAGGTGGCGGCAATTCAAACATAGGGGGGGGGCTACACAATTTGATCTACCTTGGCTAGAGTTGTGCTATCAGCATCCCAGACAAATAAGGTCGCTATCGAGCTCCCAATAAATAAAATTGCGAGAATGACAAAGAGAAGAGCGAATACAATTGAGACTCGATTAGTCCAATACTGCGAGAGACCGATGCAGAATAGAACGATAATCGAGCACAGCTGAACACATTCGAATGATTATAGCTGAAACGTCTGAAATTCTTACAATTGCTAGCGATCGTATCGCAGCGAAGAAGTAGAAGGAGTTGTTCGATTTCATGCATTAAACTGTTGTCGGGGCAATCTGAAAGCAAAGTTGGACGCGGAATAGAATGGACGGATGATACATTGATGTATTGAATACAAATAAGGAATATTTTGATCGCAAATATTGGCTTAAGGTGGTTTTCGCGAGCGAGGAGAGAACTCTGTACGAGACAGAAGAGAGCAAAAAAAAACATATGCGTAATATTTTGTTGTGGCTGACATATAAGAGTTTGTGTGTGGCCGCGATCACACGCTGGCCGGATTATACGCTTTGCTAGCGGCCGCATAGCAACACACACGCGCCCACATACACGTTGTATGCAATTATTCTCGAAAATGGAAACGGAAGATGAGGAACGAACCGACGGCGAGTGCTAGGCAGTGCGCATCCAGATGAGAGCACGACTACTTCACCTTTACTCGACAAACGCGTTTTTGTGTGCACCAATCCGAAAACGACGAGAGCACAGCGACAACACTGAAATGTTGGGTTTTATTGGCGAATGGAGGCAAACGTCGAGATGTGGTACGAGATTCGATATTTTATTCAAGGGTGCTCAATTTATTTTGCAACCACTTCATACAACCTACTATTTAAAAAAATAGATGGAAACGAAACAAATAATGCAATACATATAATTAAAAAAACATCTCAAACTCGATGTGATGTTAAAATTTTTGTAGTGTAGTAATTAAAAAAACTTTTTTTCTGGTTTTTCAAACCTCAAATGTTGATAAATCAAGGCGCGAAATTAAAATTTTTTGCATGCGCCTTTGACGTATACTGTATTTTCTTAATACGTTGACAATTTTTTTTCGAAGGTTATTATGAAATATTATAAAGCTTTCTAATTTTTATATAGTTTTAGTTAATTCTAAATATCTGACATCAAGCTGGTCCTTGGCCGAATAAGAAAGTCGATAGTAGAAGAAATTTCTCGAAATGAATTTTATTGAAGAGTTTCGATATGGAAAGTATTTAATATTTGATTAAAATTGATGACTTCGGCTTAGTCGGTCGAAAAAAAAAAGAAAAAATGCCTTGACCCGATTTTGGCCGGCCGGCAGAAACGACTTGCCTCTCTGAAATGTGGTTATTCCAAAAAAATTAGCCAAAACCATTTTGATGGAATCAATTACGTGAACTTGGGCATCGCGACATTTTTCGAGTAGCCGATTATCATTTTTGAACGATGATTGTGAATGACGGCTTCGCTGGTTTCAGAAAAACGTCTGAAATAATAGGTCGAACGGAAAAATATTCAACTGTGAGTTTTTCGATCGAATATAAATAGTCGGCGTCAGGTGATTGCTCTACTCCGGCTTGATTTACTGTTGTTTTTTTTGGAAGGAGGTTTTCCCCTATTTCGATTTTTATTTAATTCCTAATTTCCATATCTAAAAAGCTAGAACATTGAGTAATTGTGGACCATTGTATTTTTTTAAGTTGCGGTAATTCAAAGCTCGTTTTTTGCGAATTTAATACGTTAAAAACGCAGGCAAATTATTTTTCGAAGGCAGACAAGAAATGAAACAATTTTAAGATGTACCTTTAATATATACTGTAGCATGTTGTAGAAGCCGCAGTTCATTAACGAATATATTATTTCGAAATGAATAAGTTGAATGAAAAATTCGAAAGAAAACGCCATCGGTAATGTGTGCATACACACGCACGCAAATTTGCACTCATTTGTATGTACTACTTTTTTTTGTTAAATTTAATTCGTTTAAATTTTAATTTATTTAGTAATCTGTGTTGTCTCTACGTAAAATTTGAATTTAAGAGAAAAAATTGAAAATTTGCGCGCAATTCAAACAATTCATTTTTTTTAATTCACAGTTTTAATTCATATTGCGAGATAAAATGGTGTAGTTCAAATTTTTCCTCGTCGAAAATATTCAGCAAAACAAAAATCCACGAACCGCATTCGCCCCGTAAATCTACACCGCTTATGACAATCACCAGACTCCGAGAATCACATTTTAAAATAATGCCCGATTTTGGCAGTATTTAAATCCAGATGTTTCAATGCTTGATGATCTTATACTAATTAGCAGCAATCTAATGTCGAAAGTCAAAATTTTGAAAGAATTAATGTCGACGAGCTGGTTTATCATTGCTCTCATCCTGCTTTGCTTCATTTTCGCAACCAGTAATCCAAAGCAAAAAAAATCGAAATTGCGAAATTCGTTTTTTTAGAAGCACGCAGAATTGACAAATTTGAGCTTTACAAATTTTACAAAGATCGACATATGCACAACTCGCGAATTATCCATGAAACAAAGGAAGAAGAGCTTTTGATGAAGAAGCGGCAGAATTGAAGAAAAAACTATTGCATTTTTAAATATTTATATATGATTTTATGTGAAATAAAATGTGGCTTTTTGATAGAATTTCATTCACAAATGCCTGCCACACGAGCATAGCAATTTTATTATTTTTTTTTTTGCTTGAATAAAAATTGATTCATGACGAAAGACGAGTAACAATAATAGTAAAGCATGTTGGAATCGATTTTGAAAAAATAACAAATTGAAAATCGACAGAAAGAAATTGAGAGTTGCCAGAAAGACGATTGGGATTTTTTTGGGGGAAACATCGGTGTGAAATCAGTCGGTTGTATTGCACAAAACTCTCGTCTTCGTTTTTTTTTTGCTCAACGAATATTCTATGACGAATAATACACACAATTGAATAGAATTAATAGAATGTCTAGCGGTACACATATTTGGGTGAGGATGAATTGATATACTAATTATTGCTGTTGCGCCGTTCGTTGGGCGAGAATGTTGCGGAATTGGGCGATCTCCGATTTGAGCGATTCGATTTGCGCGCGCAGCTCATCGTTTTCGCCTTCGAGAAGCTGAAACGAATGGCAACGTTGATGAATCAAAAAGGAAGACCTGTGAGATACTTCCTCGTCTGTGTGAAAACATTTAAAAGCGCTTTCAAATAATTTTTTATTCAGTATTATCGTGGACGGATCAATTTGAGATTTTTCGGGTCTCGTATGGAAAATGTGTTGGGAGCGAGAAAAATAAAATTCAAATCGCCTCGTCCACGAGAATACCAAATAATGCGCGTTTAAAACATTTCCACTCATGGAATCATATCGATGATTTGAGCCCCTTAAATATTCATGAACATCACCGGTCGGCGACCGGTCAGTACCTGAACCCTTCGGGATCGATATTCAAACACGGCTCGACGATTGGCTCGACATCGCTTCGCTGCTTCGTTGTTCCGCCGCCGACGATCGACATATTGTGGCTAAAAAATTGAGCGAGAATCTCAAATGAGTTTTGATGGGAATTTGAAAATTCTGACCGATTTGTTGGAATAGTTCGAATGGTCCTCGGATGAATGCGACGGCGACAAAGACGCCGATGATGAGACGCTCTCGCAATCGGATTTCGACGAATGGTGCTGCTGGAAAACGAGCGGAATATCAATATTCAATCCATGAACAGCGTGATGGGGCAACCTACCCTTGGTGGTGAGGTGAGACCCGAAATATGCTCGGTTCGACTCTGCTGTATCGATGGAGATGGCCGTCGTTGGGCTAATAATGCGGATAATATAGAAGGCCCTTGGGCACCTCCACCAGGACCCTGAATCACACCTTGATTGCGATTCGCGTTGAGCACTGCCGGTGATCCGACACGATGGATCACCGAGGTGCTCACAGGATCGGTAGTGGATGAATCGGGACTCTGACGATCGCTTCGCATTGCCGTCTCGGAATTGGACGCCGACGGTGCCACTGGCCGGAATGCCGATGTCGACGATGCCGTGAAGGTGGTGGTTGTTGATGATGATGAAGGGGTCGATGGATATAGCTGGAAGTGGCAGATGTGTTAAATTTAGGTCAAATCCATTTGCCAGATGTTCACTTGGTAGGTGGCGGAAAACCACGAAATTGGTGTGACCGAACAAAGTAAAAAAAAAATGGAAGTCGACTCACCGGGGATTGAATTGACGGCTGCATGAGCTGGAGTAGCGGGAAGTGAGGCGGAGCAGCGGTCTGAAGAAGCGGAACGGAGAGCATCGAGCTAGCCTGCAGCGAAGCAACGGGGTTCGCTGGAAACAAATTCTTCGCGACGTCTGGCACAACAATCGGCGGCGGTTTCGCGACGCGACTCTCGAGCTGCGATTTGAGCCGCTGATTCTCGGCGCTCAACTGCATTATGCGCTCCTCCATCGCCAAATCGTTTTGACGGCGCTTCTCGCGACTCCGTCGCGACGCGTCGTTGTTGCGTCGCCGCCGCTCCCAATAGTGTTCGTCTTTGATGACGCTCTCGTTGATCGAATTGCGACGTGAATTCGGCGACGAGCCTTCCGATGAGTTCGACGAATACTCGGCTGACGCCGAGCACACGACCGAAAGCCGCGAGCGTGGCGACGACGACGCCGAATCCACGTCCATTGGCTGCCCGGGGTGTGAACGACGATCGCGCGCGTGGGTCCTACAAGCACAAATATGGAAATATGGCATAGATGGGAATTTGTTGACAAAACTGTCGAGTAGCCTGATAACAAAATATTATCAACGACAAGAAGCAGCAAAAAATTGAAATATTGATAAAACTGGCTTGTAAGGATAATAAAAATGACATAATTCGATAATTTCAAAAAAAAATGTGAAACTCAAAAGCAAAGGGAAGCAATTTCGCAGAATGTGTCAAATTTCCCTATTGATCTATTTTCACTATCGGATAGCGCTATCCGATCCACTCTTCATTCTCCTTTATCCATAAATTTATCAAATTTGAGTTTTTTTCCGGTTCTCTAGTTTTGATCTACCAGGCAGTGAAAAGCAAAACGAGAAAAAAATGAGCCAACGGGGTTAAACAGTTCAACAAGAGGTCAAATTATCTACATATTTGGATTGAGAAACTTGTCCGCAGATGGTTTACAAGTACATTCAAAATTTAGGCAAACAATGAGCCAATTGTTTTTTTTTTTGTTGCCGAACCTCTAAAAAGTGCACAAAAGAAATTAGGGGGGGTCGAAAATGAAACGGAACGCGGACAACAGACGGTATTTAGGTGAAAGTTTCGACGAGCGAAAAAAGCCAGAAGAGAGAAAGGAAAAGGTGGGAGGGAGAGGAAGAGAGGAGGAGGGGAGGGGGAGAGGGGGAGGGCGCCTAGCAACAATTAAGCCGGGTTCTCTCCCCTCTGGGGGTCGTCGTCGGGGCGCGGACACTACGGTTGACCTATATGAGGTCTTTTCGCTCTTTTCGCTCTCTTCCAACTAAACGAACACCGCGATCGGCGAACAAAAGCGACAGCGACGACGACGATGATGATGACGACGATGATGGTAGTGGTCAAAAATGAAACCAGTTTTTCGAGGCGAAATCGCCATTCATCAGCTTCTCCTCCTTTCGCTCCTCGAACCTCCATCTTCCCGAGAAGCATTGGCCCTCGTGTTTCCCTCAATTCGGCGCAACTCGTTCGACGATTCTCGCTTCGAACAGGATGCGCAGACTTTTTGACTTTCACTGCTTCTCTCGACCGTTGCGAGATTTATTGGCGATTTCACTGCTGGATGATGACCTTTCGATTTTCGATGCTACGGTTGTCCGCACGCGCGAAGGGGGGGGCTTGAAATTCAAACGAATCGCGCTCTCTTGACGACCACCAAATTTCGCATATGTTTCGCCAGACAACAAAAAAACGGGGTCGAGGGTCAGCATTACGAAATCCTAGAACAATGCAGAATTTCGAAAAGCAGAAAAATAAATTGGTGCAGGTTTTTTAATTGTAAAATTGGAGAACAAAAAAAATCAAGAATCTGGAATATTTGATTTCAAATTTTGGATCGTAGATTTTATTTCTTGTTGGGGGGGGGGACCTTATTAAAATATGAAAAGGGTCTGTCAAATTGATGAGAGGTAAAAGTGAGATGGCCTTCCAGAAATAGGAGGTCACGTTTAGGCAATCGTATTTGATTACTCGGCTAAAAATAGAATCTCGTGTGTGTGTTTTTTTTTTCCTCTATGATGATGATGAAGTGAATGGCTAACAACAAATACACGAGGCGGCTCGCGTTGACCGCAAATAAACTGCGGGCGCCGCCGCCGCCGCCGGCCGCCGCATCAGCAGACGATCAAAAAAATGCTATTTTTACTGGAGGCGAAAACCGAAAGCGATGCGAGAATCGGCGGCAAAGAAGTGAAAGCCGCCGCCGCCCCTCTCCCGATTGAAGGCAACTGGCGTAGGCGAGAAAAATTGCGATCGGATCGAGTTCGTCTTGTTCGGTTTCGCCGTCGGCCGGCTTCTCGTTGGAGGAGAACAAAAGGCGATATAATAATCATAATAATCGAAAGCCGGACTGAACGAAAGTGAAGGTTTTCTTTTTTTTTTCTTGGTTGGACAATAGCCGATGTGGACGCCTTCTTCCTCACGGAACTCTCAACCCATTGGGTCATTTTTGGACGAGTTCCAATCGACGAAGAAAATCGCGAATCAATACAATTTTTTCGAGTTTTCCTCATTCTTTCTTTCACTTTCATTTCGTTCGAATGTTGAAAAATGGGGGGAATGGATCGAACCGATCGCCGATTGCTTCAATCCAACAGGCAAAATCAGAATTTGAAAATACAGTTTCGGAAAATGTCGTATCGAATTTACATTGAAATTTAAATTTAGTCCAATGTATCGAAATATATTCAATAATTCTACATAGTAGAAAAAAAATTGACCCGGCCCAGTTGCAGGTTGGACCCATTTGAAGAAGCTTAATTCAGATTGAAAGAGTATTTCTAGGGATACTGGGAAGAATGAAAAATTACGACAACAGGTTGGCCGCGGAGAATCTTGAAATTTTGAAATAGACTGGTGCGATTAGCACCTAATGCGGAGACTGACGAACGGACAGATGAGCGCAACAGGCCGAGAGCTCCGCAAGAATAAGAAGACAATTAATGATATGCGTTGTGGTTGCGACCGGCTGGCACGCCTGGTAAACAATCGTGGCCCCGTCTCGTCTCGGGGTCGGCGTTGACCCTCGAGAGCAGGCTGGCAGCTAATGCACACGTAAACAATTTCTGCGCGCTCTCCGCAACGCGCGCTATCCGCAATGGTCGAAGGGGGGCGCGATAAGAAGACCGAAGCCAATCGGCAATTGCTCAAAACAAGTGCAAATTCGAGGCGAAATTAATTGGGCCATGTGCAAGAACATCAGCAACACGGCGTTTTGTTCAAAATTTCGGGTTCCTGTTGACTCGCGGCCGGCGGCTCGCGCACAGCTGTTTGTTTGTCTACATATATGTCACGACCTTTTTCTGGCTTTGTTTTTCCGTGGACAAACATTGCCGCGCCAACACCACACTATGCGAACCGTGCCGTTCAACACGAAAATTGAAATTTTCGAATCTAGACAATTTTTCAACAACTCTGGTAACGCAAAACCAATCGGATCCGAATAATTACAAATCGGATCCGACAAAATTCGGCTCCGGAATCAACCCGATCCGATTGGTAATTTTACAGATAAGATTTGTATTTTTTCGGATCCGATTTGTAATTTGTCGCATCCGATTGGAAAATTTTTCTAATTCGGATCCGATTGGTATTGAGTTACCAGAGAATCGAAATTGAATGAATTATTCATGGTCACACGAAGCCTCTCACATGTTACAGAATGGACCAACGAATTCGAAATACTCGAATTGTACGCTGTGCCATTTAAGGAAAAGAACCCCCTCAAACACTCAATATATTGTAGAAAAATGAGGAATGTGAAAAACTGCAGCGATATCCTGTGCATTGTGTGCGTACACCGAGTCGCACATCACGATTTTACCTACAGTAATCTCAAATGAAAATTATTTAATTAATTATTATGTAAAACAATTAACTTTGAATTATTTACCAAATGATTAATATTTCACTTTTTAAACACAACAGTATACATAAAACCATAAAATCGTTAAGAAAACACAAATAAAATCAAAAATTAAATAAATAAATAAATAAATTGCAGTTGAGATTACTGTAGGTAAGATCGAGATGTGAGACTCGGTGTACGCACACAATGCATTGGATATCGCTGCAGTTTTTCACATTCCTCATTTTTCCACAATACCGCTTAAACAATTTTTATGGGATTTCTATATAATGTGGACGAAACTAAATATAATGTTTGGAAAAAAAATTTATAAGACAAATTCCAATGAGATGAGTATTTTTAGTTGTTTTCAAGTTAAAATTTTCTTATAAATTTATTTCTAATATTATATATTTGCAAATGTTAATAAATCAATAACAAAGACAAAATAAAAATGCATATAACGGCGAGAAAGCGGGCAAAAATAGCGCAACTCCGAAAACACCTTTGGCTGCAAATCAAACGTCTTTCTCCTTCATGGACATTTTCGAGAATCTTTAAATGGTCCCGTAGAACAAAATGGTATCTTACTTCAACATTGGATTCTTTTGTTAATTGACAAATTACATAAATGTTAGTTTGAAGGAGCAGATGTTTCCAAGACAATGAGCCGCAGGCAACATGGGAGATTTTGCTGATCCACCTACCCTTATATGTCGTCACGAAACTTGCATCGGAAACACTCTAGGAACACAATCTCTGAACAATTAGATGTCAACATTGCGCAATGATCATTTTAAGGTAGTGTTTCGCTAAACTCTACCTAACTGATATTAAAAAGTGTTTTTTTTTTTTGAAAAATAATATTTTGTAGTATGGTATTCAAACAAACCAAAGAAGACAACTATTGTGCATTAAAAACATTATTAATTGAATTTTCAGATGGCAATTACTCGTCCCACCAGCGCAGCCTGGCATTTTGTGGTCACACTCAGAAGACCATCAAGTTTGGCAGTTATACAAAAATTCTGAAACGGTAGGTAAAATGGCCTCGCTTGTAAGGTGTACGGTGCACGGTCGGTGCATACAGACATACTAAAATTGACGCACACTTGCACTGTTTCAGTTATTCGGATGTGAAGGCTGTGCGGCAATGGGATCGCAGATTGCCGCACAGTCTTGTCGGATGTGTTGAACTTCATATAATAATATTGCCAAAAAATAAATGAGTGTCCTGGTATTTTGTGGACTATCGCAATTTTCAGGGCCGCTATCCAAATTTCGACTTTTGTGGCCGTGGAATTGGACACGGCCAAGAGGATGGCCTCCCAAAAGATGGTGGGACTCGCTTCGGAAGGAGACAAGAATAGCTGATGGAGAAGTAATCACACCGTGGTCTCCGCAAGCCAAAAACCGAAAAGCTTGGAGAGCTGTGGTCCGAGCCTCAACAGGCGAAGGGCGAAGCGACTACGTGCGAATTAGAGTACCGTACTATGGAAAACCTGCGAATCAGGCTCCAAAAGCTCACAGTTTTTGTCTTTAATAAAATAAAAATCACATACATAGGTTGTATAAGAATCGTATACGATAAGGGCTTTCAAAAACTTGATTTTGCCAGTTTGATTACTGCACTCATCTCGCGTTTTGTATTCTTCAATCGTTTTAGATCTGTTGTAAACGTCGTACCGTGAAATGTGCATTTACCTCAATTAATGATTAGACAACAACGTTCAAATGATTAAAAATAAATATAAATGCAAAAAAAGACAAAAAAAAAAAACAGGGTTTCTTTGGCAAACACAGCTCACCAACAAAGTGTAATTGCGCGTCAAGTCTAGTGTGTGTGTATACACCGCGATTTGTACCGTAACCGCGGGATTTAAATAGTTGATAATGAGTGGCTATCATTTTCTGCTCCATGCAACAAGATCAATCAAAATTCAAACGAGCCAGTTAATAAACCAAAAGTTTATTATCAAATTTGAAACAGCGTAAATTATTTCGTATCATCTTTCTTCGTGAATAGGTTGAATATAAAATAAAGCTCTTATTTCTTCTCTTCGAAGAGATTATTGAAACGATAATTTTATGTTGAATTCCCCATATTTTTCAACAAATCTTTTTTTATTCTGAATGTTTGATATTGATATTAAAATTTCCGTATTATTCGCGAGCTGGTCTCTGCAACAAAAAAAAATCAAAAATGCAAAGATGAGATCACACATACATTAATTGATCGAATAAATTGAATTCTTTGAAGTTGTGCCGTTCAATCAGATAATTCTTAACAAAATTGCCAAATGGGGGAAATATGAAAAGCTGAAATCATGAATCGAGACCATCGCTCCCAAAAAATGCGAAATACCGTTCCGAACAATTTGCTCGAATCGATCACACTCTCGACACTCTCATACGGATCGTCGAGATAGATTCTCAAGAGCCGCACATTGAAATCGTTTCGTAAACTCAACCAAGCAGGTATTAGGATACTGTAACCTGTGTTATTTTCGGATGAAGACCTTTCTGATCTACTTGGCGCCAATCTCAGAGCCATGGAGGACGACCTCCATTTCAAACGTCATTGTGAAGATGTAGCCCAAGCAAGCTTTCGCCATCCCAATTGCCACCATTGGCGGTATCACCTTGTTGCGATGAAGGCCTGAAGCGGCGATCTCATCTCGATCTTGAATTGAGATTCAAGCTCACCGAATGGCAGACAGTGCACGATGTCGTAGTTTTGAACGTTGTATTCCGGCTTGGATGGGAGCAATTCTTCGCCGATGAAAATTATCAAGGAATCTTTGAAGTCGTTGTCTTTGCGAAAATAGCTGAACTTTGCGATTTCGCCGACAACCATTCCAATCGATCAATCGACTCATACCGTAATCGGACGGCCGACTCGGCCGATTTGATATTGGTGTCGAGCCACAAATGGCCGCTGACATTCACCGCCGCTTCAGTCCTCGACTGCCATTGCAATTTCGGCACGATGTGATAGATTTCGTCGGGATACAAAACGATGAGCACCGTCGGCAGACAGAATAGAGCAAACGCGACGAATAGAATCAGTTGGACGATACGCAGACCGACACGGGCAATCGTCACCGTCGTTTCGCTGTAGTATCGATAGTTCGGAATTCGACCCGGCGTGTATATCACTCGGCCAGCCTCCATGATATCGAATTGATTGAAACGAATTAATTACATAGAAATGAGCGGATTGAAGGAACGAAACGTCAATTCATTATTTTTCTTTCAATCTTTTAAATTTGATAATTGATAATTATTGTTTCGTTTGTAGGTGTGTGTGTGTGGGCCACAAAATTTGGCCAATATGGCATTTTTGAGCCAATAAAATAGAATGCCAAAATAAGGGAAACGCGAGTTTTTATAGCGCCTCGGAATCGTACTACAAACCAGGGCTGTGCGGCAATCGGAAATTTTTACAAATCGGCAATTCCATTGCCGCACAGCCCTGCTACAAACAATAGAGAACGCAGAGAAAAAGACTGCGACTTGTGAGAGACGCAGAGAAGAAAATTCGAGAAATAGAGATCGAGGGAGAGTGAGAGGGTGCTATACAACGAGACATTTCTATAGGGCATCTTTGTGGATTATAACAATTATATTGTCGGTGTGGGGGCTTCCAAATTTTCGAAATTAGTGTAGATTTAATTTTAATTGATTTCGTTGACTGAATATTAAACGCGCGTATACTATAATGCAATGTACGCAATCTCACTGCCTCGAGACGCATTGGCAAGTAGCCAATAATTTTTTAAATTTCGTCAAGTCGTTTAACTTCGACGATAATGATGAAAAAGAAAATGATATTTACAAGCCGCCCAAAAATGAATCTCTGATCTCATCTGCCCCCTCACGATCATAAATTGTGGATTGAAAGCGGGCATGAAAGGATCGCCGAAATTTACACGGAAAATCTAGTCAAATGTCAGGCTGAAAATTTTCAGACTTCGAGAATTCTCTGCAATAACATGAGTAGGAAATTTCTCGCAGAATATCTGAGAGAATGTAGGTATCGCCAAAACAATGTCTATTTTATTTTCTGATGCTTCATTTTTTGGTTTGCTTTTTTATTAATGTTCATTGAAATAAATGAAGAAAACTTGATTCATTTTATTAAAAAGGTCTCACCACGATTGCCATCAAAAAAAGAAAATAGTAGCAGATTTCCCAAAAATAAAAGAGCTAATTTTGTTTTATTCGAAAATTGAAAAATATGTTATCGTCTGAATCCATTTTACCAAAATGCGGAAATCTATAATGTATAAATCCCTATCAATTAGACCTTGTTGTTTGGACACAAGGTCTAATTGTTTGGGAATGTCTCAACCATAAACGGGCATTTCAGATTTTCCTTGGAAGTCTGGAATCTCTCAAGTCAAATTGTCCAGGACAGATACTCGCTAGTTTGAATGAAACCATTTTTATTTTCTCCTGCAGGACTTAAAAATAATTTTTTTTTTAAATTTTGTTCTACTAAACATATTTAAAATTACAGAGTATTACAAGAAAAAAATTGTCCGAGGAAAGAATCGAAAGTAATTTTCAAATAAATGTATATCAATTTCAAACAATTAGCTGTCAATAAATATATTTTACCATTTAAGGCTTACGGTTTCGATATTTATGACTTCAGGTTTCAGGTTTTGTAGAGATGGACGCATCAATTCGGAGATTTGCAGGGATAAATTAGGTAAAGTCCAGCAATTTTCTATCCAAATTTTTCAAAAAACTGAAAAACAACCGGTAAAGAACCCTAGAAAAGCAGAAAAAATCCAAAAACCTCGGCCACGTCCATTGTTTTCGAAGCCTTCAATACCACAGGTTTTTTTCTTATTAAATCGCTGCAAGAGTCTTAAAAATCGTTTCATCGAAAAACTTGAATTAAAAAAATCGAATTGATCCGATTAAAGGCGCATATAATGAAATTGTATGAATCTTGCAGCGATTGGTACTGTAGACTTCGAAAATATTTAAAGGTTTTTACCGGTTTTTTGAATTTTCACAATTATTCTTTTCTTTCGGAATTTTCAAATTTTTCAAATCAATATAATTTTAAACGTTCCGGTCGACGAAATATTCAGCAACGAAAAATACATGATATCCAAAAATTATTTTTTTTTTTTCAATTTTTTAATATCCATTATTTCATGAAGCTAATAGGATTTTCATCGTATTTTTTGGGGGAAAAATTAGCAGAAATAGTTTAAACAAGCTGAAAAACAAGGAAAAAACGGATTTCCCCAATTTCCGGGAAATTTTGGACAAAAACTTTTTCACAATATTTTGTTGGAGGGTCTGGATCGCATTGGATGAAAGTCGGACTTCAAAGCCACGCCCACATCTCTTCCAAGCCAACCAAAAATGAGCAATTATTTGATTCCACCTTTATATTATTATAAACAACTCTTAACTATATGATTATATAGAAATGCATCATTTATTTTTTGTTCGAAATCCCCTTACGTCGTTTGATGATTGATTCTCAAACATTTGGCTTCTTGACGTTTCAACATTTGGCGAGAAAATCAGAAAATGTGAAGTGCGAACTGAAATAATTAATAATGAGATTAGCGAAACAAAATTTTTGGTTTAGTCCTGAGCAATGTTAAAATCTTCGTCACGAGACCTAAAGGATTATAAATCGTTTAGGCGGGGTTTCATTGTTTTTCCTTTAAAATCCCAAAGTTTTTGAAGAAATTATGGTTTTTTTCGATCATCTAAAATAAAATTGGACTAACAATGCCAAATTTAACACATGAATCGGAGTTGTGTCGTTCTCAAATGATCTCTCTCACGCTTAATTCGAATCCGCCCTCTTGCCTTCGCAGTTGTCGTACTCATCAATCTCTCGGACGAACTTAACAAGTATTATCATTCAATTCAATTGAAATGTTGTCGTTTTGTTTCAACAAGTGCTTCTGCTTCTTCAGCTTCTCCTCTCGACCCCATCGAATTCTTGTTTTGCACAAATTTGATTAATCGTTTCGAATCACGTTGTTGAACGGATGTCGGGCTTCCGATTCTTCTTTTTCTTTCGCTATTTGAGATTTTTGGTTAAAACGATTTACAGACTCCGATTGTAAAGTGTAATAATAAAAAAAATCGTGCCGGTAGATATGAATTTCATATTATAAAAATCCATCTGCGGACAATTCTATTTTGCGCTAATCAATCTCTTGCACTCTGTTTGCTCGAGTTTAATGCTCTTTGTGTAAAACATAAAATCTCAAACAAGTTCTCACAGCGATTTTTAACTTTGTTTCGTTCGAATTCTTCAGATTCTTTCAAATCAGGTTCTGATACGCTTACACAAAATAACTTTTTATTCATCCCCCCCCCTTAGTTGAAATATTTTTTAAAATAATCTCTGGTATATGAAAATCAAACAAATCGCTTTTTGAATCGAATTGAATTAATTTCTCAATGGAATCAGGTAAATTTATATTTCATTTTTCGATTATTTTTTATTTAAAAGTTTTATAAACTATATTGGTTAAACCAACGCTTCGAAATTCAAATTGCGCAGAAAGTTCTCAAATTTAATGCAATTTGATAAGAATTTCTATCTGCGGACATGCTCACGGGTTGGGTTTTTTCAACGCCAAAAGTTCGATAAACTTTTGAATTAAATTTACACTAATGAATTATTCGGATGAATGAATAAAAAGAAGAAAAAAAGTGAACAATTGAAGGATTTCAGTGAAGAAAAAACGAAAATTTTGGCGGTGTTTTGCTCATTTCCATCAGCAGTCGATTTTCATTCTTTTTTCGAGAAATAATAACAATAACACGGAAATGTCCTTTCTGTCTAGCAGTCTGTAAAACGAATTTTTGAATTTATTTGCGAGAAAAATATCCGTTGAACAACACCAATAGAGCGAAAAGTGTGCAATTTGGCGTCCGGTGTACCTGCGGACTCAACGAGTTGACATTTTGTTGGAAATTTCGAAATAAAGAAACCAAAGTTATCAAAAAATATCCAATAAATCCAAAGAAATCCATGTGTTTTGATGGGTTTAAGCTTAAAAAAATTAAAAAAAAATTGAATATGAAGCAATTTATGCGAAATTTCGAAAAAATAGTTTGTGGAATTGTGAGAAAATTGGCGCAAAACACAATTCAAATTTTTTGTTGCGACAATCTGAAAAAAAAGATAGTGACAATATACGTATAGCAGTCTAATCTCCTGAATAATTTCATTTGTTATTGATGAGCCCGAGTGCGCTAATCGTCCGATGAATACATTCTAATTTAAGATACTCGAATATATATTTTGTCATTCGATACACTTCATGAAGACGTTCTTTGTTTGCAAGGAAACCAACTGCTGCTACCCAACGTTTTTTTTTGTTGTTCTTGTGTCATCCATTATTATTTTTCATTATTTTTTGTTTTCTCAAATTCTTCTATTTTTTCCTCTTTCCTAATTGGGATGCTCTTGTCTTTATGATTCAATCGCTATTCAATTCACTTCGCCCATTTTTTTTCTCTCGTCCTTTTTCTGAATGCTAGCAACTCTCATCATTCATATCATGTCATCGCATTCGGATTTCGGCAAACCAACCATGTTCCCAGATTTTATTATATTCTTCCTAAAGACGCTTCCTTGAATTTGTTTGAAAATTATTCTGCAATTTGCCGTTTCGTGAGAACTTCAAGCACGGCCGCCGATTTTCAGAAGAGTGGTTCTTCTCGCGAATTCTTGTTAATTCCGGTTCAATCCATACACATTCGTCTCAAATCGAAACTCTCGTTCGATTGCTAACCGGATGATGTTTATTCATACGGATTATCCTTCTTATTATCATATGAACAACATGAATTAAGCGTGTCGAAAAAAAAATTTTAGATGGAAATTTGGAGCATTAAAACAAATTGGTGAAACATCAAACGCTTCGAAAATTTTTGATCTGTGAGATTTTATGAACATTAAAAATACTGGGAAATGCGATTTCTCTTTATATCGGTGCTAAATTTGTTTTCACGGACCACTCAAAAAAAAATGGTCCGACATGAAGAACCAGGCTTTGAATAATTTCGAAATCGAAAAATTCGACTTCTCGAAAAAAAAACTCTTATAGTACCACATATAGCACCTTTTTTTTGAGCTATGAGAAAACCAATAAGATCAAAATATTTTAGCGATGAAACAAGAATTTTGTCAATTTCTTTTGCTAGAATTTTTTGAAGATTTAAAGGCGCATACCTTGTTTTGAATTCAGAATTGCAACACGCGTTTGTGTTCAATCATCGCCTACAAATTTGCGAGCACAAAATTGTGGTTTTTTCAAGTTTTTAATTATTTACCGCAAAAAAAACTCCATGGCATTCATCTCGCCGAAATCGGCTTATTCTTCAAGCCCCTAAAAAATCGTTTTATTTATTTTTTTTTTGAGAAACCAAATTCTCGGCTGTGATTTACCGATGCCTCCAAGTGAGTTCTCGATTTCTATTTTCAAAAACACCTCCATGCCATACCTATTTCTTATGACTATTTAATGAATTTCGCGAAACTGAGCGCGCACTTGTGATTTTGTGAAATCTCTCACGTACCCATCGAATCATGCTATATTTGAAGGTGAGCCAGACAGCTATTTGTTTTGTTTTTTTTTCGCTTAATCGTTTGGGGAAGCCAACAATGAAGGCGAGCAAAAAAAATAATTGTTGTGCAGAAAATAACCATGAAGAAGGAAGTGGCTGTTTGAAATCCGACATGATTTTACTTCCTCCCTTTTTTTTCGAGAAAAACTTACCTGCGATAAGAGATCAGCTTCTTAAATTCCTAAAATGCCTAGAACAATAGCAATTTGCGCAATCCATTCCCTTTCATTCGCGTTAAGACCCTCTCCGAAAATCTTATTTTTTATTGATGATTAATAAATCGTTTTCTGATATCCGCCAATCATCGAGGGTGGATTAATTAGATCGTTAGTCACACAGACAGACATCATAGACAGCGCTTCCCACTGTTTCAAGTGGGGGGTCGACCGTCATAAATAATTCAAAATATTAGCTTAAGACAAGTACACGGTTGTAATGGACGAAAAACGTCAGGATTTGCTGTCGTGGATTAAGTATTGCTTCTGCTGTTTTTTTTTCCTTCTGCTTCAAACCGACTCCCTAACATTCAATATGACTGAATCGTTGTGAGTCAGCAATGTAGATGTTCGGCGACGAGGGAATTATTTGAATATCGTGCCTAATTCGTTGCCTCCGGTTACCGGATGTCTTTCATTAGATCGTCTACACTCGCAATTTGTGTCTTATATTTTTTCTGCGAATAAAATATTTGCTCAAAAATTGTGAGCAACAAATATCCATTTTTCGCGATTTGATTTTGAGCATAGCAACCACAACAGTATTTTTGGTTTTTTTTTTTGTAGAAAATGCGAGGTCGACGACCACCGAGGGCAATATTGATGGCGGTCAATCCGGACAAGGGCGCTTTTCCGTTGCTCATGACGATTCCCTATGAGAATACGAGGAGCAGTGCCGACAGCGAGGAAGCAACTAAAAAGTGAGTTTTTTTTTTATAAATTCAAAAATTAGTGTGCAATGGAGCGCGTTAGCTACACCCTTTTCGTAAATCAACCCCCACTAGAATTCTTACCTAATTTTTTTTTAATTTTTCTTGCTTTATCCCATCATGAAATATAAGACATCTTCTTGTGCAATTTACTTCTTCGATTCATCCATTGTCATGCAGAAGAGAAACATTTATTTGCTCTTTAGCAACGCGTTTGACGAATTAATTCATAACCGTGGGAATTCTAGAATATTCGATTGCAAATTCGAGTTCCTTTCAACTCCATTGCGGATATGTAGTATGGTACAATGCATATTTTGCAAAAATTCATAAAAATGCGACCCAAAAAAATAGAAAAATCTAGGCCGCGGCCACGTTTTTTTCAAGCTTCCAATTTTTTTTTGAAAAAAAAATAGAATCGCGAAAAATTGTTACGGTTAACGGCGCATATGATAAAATAATTTTGGCGGCGATTTTATAAAAACTGTGATATTGTAAGCTTCGAAGAATTTGGCCGTGGGCGAGGTTTTCGGAGTTTTTTTTTAAAGTATTTTTTGTGAAATCCGTGTAATACCAATGTACATTTTGTCGATGACCATGAAAGTTTGGTTTCCGTTTTAGACGAACAACCAGTAGCCAATGTTTTCATTGAAAATTGATGTCAAAAATGTTGTAATGTGAAGTGATAAATCACATCTGTCAAGACAACGGTTTAACCGGCAAAAAAGTGTCCATATTTGGAATACCTGCGCAATCATCTTTGTGTATTGATTTTATGAAAAGAAAAAGTCAGAAATCATTGAATTGAAACGACGATCCTTTAAAAAATTTTAAATTTTTAAAATAACACTCATTTTTATCGGAAAATTTAACAGATTTGACGTGATTGCATTTGATTAAAAAATGTTTTGATGGACTTATTTTGCTCATTGGAAAAAGCTATTTAACAATTTTTTGGTATTTTTTTTCTTATAAGCAAGGTTAAAAATTCAAAAAATACTTTTTTTTTAACTCGGAGAATAGATCGAATCATCACTTCAAGAATATAACCCATTTTGGATATGCCTTATTAAGGTGAGGTCTAGAAAAGCATCTCAGAATTTGAGCGACTTGTGAGAAAGTTTGAAGAAGGCTCTTAGATCAGTACCAGAAGAATCAGATGTTTCCACCCACTTGACAGTTCGGGCTCATGCTCAAACCCTACATCATCATTTGGCGGCACTGGCTGGTCGAATTCTCCTCTGATCAATGTTTCACAATGATTCGCGTTTGATATATGTGGCCAACTACTATCATCGGACATTGTCAGCAGCAAAAATGTCTATAACTTCCTGTCGAATCGATTCAATATTGGTAAGGCGGCGGCGACACGACGGCGGAGGCCAGCCGAGGTGATTCTGTCGCATCTTTCAAATATGAATTATTTCCGCAAAATAAATGATCGATTGATGATTGTTGTGATGATGGGGGGCGTCTCGACAGAAGGCGGCCAAATTTTTGGCTACGCTTCGCGCAGAGACGCGCGTCCCTCGTTTGTTGGGTACTGACAAAAACGAGTGGGCGGAGCCGGCGATTGAATGCAACCGTGTTTGTGTTGTATGCGCCCCGCTGCTTGCCTGTAATAGGCGCGTCGCGTCTTTCCATAGGCATTTTTCAACAAAAAAATCCATCCCCCCCTCACATCATATTAATCACGTGCTTCTGGCTCCACCATTTTTTTTACCAACGTAGCATGATGGGAGCCGATGAGGAGAACGGCGGCGGCGTCGATGATCGATCGAGCCGCACCTCGTCCGGAATAATGCGATTCGAGGCCAAACTTGATGAGTAAGTTCGTTATTTGTTTGGGGAGGTTTCAACCGAAAAAAAACACACACACAATCGTTTCTTATCGTTCAGTTCTTTGTTGTGCTTCATTCATTACAAAGCTTGCATTGATACTGCCAAAAGGGAAAACCCTAGGCGTCAGATAGTCGAGGCAGCGGTGAATGAGAAGCCGTTGAATATGCTAGGAAGTGGTCTTGAAACGAGCAATCCGTTGAGCTTGAATGGCTATCGAGCAAAAATCAATTCCACCTTTTGAATGTCTCATTCTCGATTCCGTCCAATCGCGATAGATTCTGACAACTTCAATGTTTTACTATTTTCCTTCAGATTGTCAAAAACAAGTAAAAAAATGAAAATGGATTCTAAAAATACCAGATTTTTGTCAGCTGATGCCTACTGGTAGACTGCTTTCTCGACATTCCTTGAAATGCGAAAAAACGATTTTTGCAAAATGATGATGAATCGGCCTATTGATACTCACATTTCCGGTGAATCTCTCTCCAATTCATCTCCTCTCTATTTTTTCTTATCAGTTGTGTTCATTTGAGACGCGACGGAGACGCGCGCGCGCGGCGAATTCAAAAAAAAAAGAAAAAAAACCAACGCCGACGTTTTCTATATTTAGACACCGTGCGCGACGAATTCGGCTATCTTTAGATTTTTCAAAAATTTTTTGATTGATGAAAACAATGAAAATTCATTTATTTGTATACCGCGAAATAGGTGGTTTTTTGGAATTCGACAATCAAGAAATATATTATAATTTGAGTGCTTCAAGCACGAACGCTTATCATTCTTGAATGTTCAAAAATCTCTCAGAGACTGAAGGAGATGATAACGATGAACCAACATCTAGAGAACCTCCAATGATCATTTCAAATTTTCAAACAATCAATGTCCTATTATCGATTTACCTTGGAGATTTCGTCAATATTTTTGATAAGCCCAGTACTCATTGATGGTCAGGAATATTTCTGGTCATAATACTTCACGTGAGGCTCTGAGTGCGAAGTTTTTTGCAATAAAGTCAGGTTCTGAAAAAAACGTCTATCTGTCACTAAGCCTTCCGGCAATAACGCCCGTCTCGTAATGATCATACTTTTTAAAAACAAACACGTAACAAGTAGAATTTTTAATCTAAGAATTTTTCGATATAATATCCAAGAGAATCTGTTAGAATCAAATATGAGATGGGCGACAGAATGTCAGACAGACTGTCGCCCCACCTCATATCATAGGGTTTTTACTATATTTCGATTATTTTATGTGTTTTATCTAAATAAAATAGGCCTTTAGATGTCCCCTAGTTTTTTTTTTTGCTTAATTTTAACTTTTTTTTCATTCTGATTACCGAATAGAAATGATTCTGATGACCCGGGGGTTTCAACGCGAAATTCGAACTTCTAAGTTGGTTATTGTGATATTTTGAATAGCTTTTCATCATTTTCAATTTTTTGTTGAAATTTTAGCGTGATAATTGTATTTAAAAAAAAAACTCGTGATTTTCATGTATTAGGCTGCTAAAATAATTTTGACGAGACCAATTTTAAGCACTCAGGAGATTTTCTGCAATTTTACAAATTATATTATTGATAAGACCAGAAAATATTGCGCGTTCACCAATTTCCTATTAACAATTTGCCCTAGTTGGATTTCTACTCTATTCAGGGCCATCAGAGATCCTAGCAATCCGATCCCCACATATCGTTGGTTTCAGCTATCTTAACTTTTCCTTTCAACTCTTCGATAAATTTTGAAATATTGCTTATTGTTTCCACTTTTCTCTATCTTTCTTTCATCAGCTGATTGATGATGCTGTCGATTCGACAAGAAGTTAAATTCACGATTCGATTCGAAACACCTTCAAAGGTTATTCTCATTACACCACAGGAATTCTCGATTACCTTGGGTTTTTTATTTTTGAATGCTAATGGGAATTACAATAGAATTATGTGTAGTTTCCGTTAGCCAACATGACTCAGATTTTCATTTCAATTTTGGTATTTAACAGACGACTTTCAGGGAAGCGAACTACTCAGTGGGGGCTCGCAATAATTTACTTTTTGGCTGCGTATCGAAATATGCGTAATTAAAGAACACATTAAAGGCGCATGCAAAAAAATTATTGTTTTCTCGGCACGAAATACAAATTAATTTTATCAAAAGTATTCAAACTACCTACAAGATTTTCGTGTTGGAAAACAATGAATCTATAATGACAAACCATCTCCTTAAAGGGAGGGCGACGTGAATATTATCAGGGTTATCTGCTTCCGGTGTGAAACGCGCAAACCTGTTGTCGATTCGTCGATGGTCGTTCGAACATTCATCGATCAGAGTTCACGACCTTCAACTAGTTCACTTGCATCACACGAAACTATCGATTCGATGAGGCACAGTTTTTCCTCGTCGCCTCCTCGTCATGCAGTCACACTAGCAATTGCCGCTGGCTGAGGCTCGCTAAGCAAACACTAGAAATTGCCTTATTTGGAAGAACCAATGGTTCCTTAGGAGCGAAATTGTTCGGCGTAAACCTGTCTGATAGATGAAAGTTGAAATCTTCATCTTTCGCTATCTCTTGCATTGATCATCCAATCGTGTATTTCTTCCAACACTGTATCCACCGGTGAAGCTGCTGTTCAAACCATTCTTGCTTCATGCGTTCGGTTAGGCGATTCAGATGGTTTGTCTTTTCTTTTAATTAATCTAAAGAGGTGCAACAATTCTGTAGTTAAGCATTTCTAAACCATCTGCGGATATTGTCCCGGTTTTTAAAATTGTTTTTTTTGGGTCTCTCATGGAATAACCGATTTTATTCGCTTATTTTAGGGCTCAGGAGAACAGCAACGAGCAGGTTGAGCTTCTTCGACCCGAAGTTGATGACGATGACGATCAGAACGATATCAACGACTATGATGACGAGTATGATGATCCATATGAATCGGACGCGAAGCGGCAACGAAAAGAAACCACACAGGAATTTCTCGCCAGTGAGAATTTGGCTGAAAATCGGAGCAATCAAACGATCTCAAATAATTTGCAGGACAATATCAGAATCTTGTTCATTTCTTCGTCGAGGATTGGTTCCTTTCCGCCATGCTCGGATTCATCACCGCGATAATGTCGATAGCGATCGATGTCGGAATCGAGTACCTCGTTCATTGTGAGTTTTCGAGCCATCATGTCCGACGCTCGTCTATTTCATTTTTTGCAGTCCGCAATTATTTATTCGAGTCGGCGAGGGAGAGCCATCGATACACCGGATTCCTCGCCTGGGTCTTGTACATTACTGGTCTCGTTTGGCTGGCCGCGCTGACTTGCTACGCGTTCGGCAAACAGGCCGTCGGTGAGACGCCTTCTAGCCAACATCACTAATCTGAAATTCGTAGGCTCGGGAATACCGGAAGTCAAAGTACTCATTCATGGATTTGTGCTCAAAAATTATTTGTCATTGAAAACGCTGGTCGCCAAAATGATTGGATTGACGTTGACGATCGGCTCGGGAATGCCCGTTGGAAAAGAGGGACCATTTGTGCACATTGGCGCCATCGTTGCTTCACTTCTCAACAAGGCCACCACTGCCTGTCGGTATAACGCGTTCTTCTCGAACGAAGGTCGTGCGATGGAAATGTTGAGCATTGGATGTGCTGTGGGAATTGCGTGCACATTCTCAGCGCCGATGGGAGGCTCGTTTATCGATTTTGCCTCTCTTTGAATGTCTGTTTTTTTTTCTTATTGTTCAGGAGTACTGTATGGTATCGAATCAACGTCGAAATATTTCGCCGTCAAGAATTACTGGAGATCATTCTTCGCCACCACTTGCTCGGCAATGATTTTCCGATTTGCGGTTGCGTTCATCGTGCCGCCACATATTGGTCAGAATTTTTTTCTTTTCATTTTGAAAAAGCTATTGGATATTAAAAACCTGGAAAAATGTCCGCAGCAGGATTCTTCTTTAAGATTTACGTTTTAAAAGTTATTATTATTTTTCATTAATTAAAATGAAATTTGAAATTTCGGAAATATGCTATGTGCCAAAAAAATAATCACAGTGATCGTGGAGCAAGACTAAAATTGTAGATTTACGGGCCTATGCATAAGAAACGTTTAAAGGCGCACACCGAGAACTCGTCCTGATTTATTTTTCATTTTGCTAATTTTCCGCAGTTGCGCGACGCCGACAGTATGCAATTTTAATCATTTCTAATATAGTTGATGAATTTGGCATTTCTTGGAATGTATAACGCCGTTCGATTTAAAAATTATCGAATTGACCCATAAAATGCAAAATCACCAGTTAGTCCGCGCGAGACCAAGAGAAAGACGCATGCCCGTAAATCTACCCGAGCACATCACTCGCTAAGAAATATGAATTGATTAATATTAATGCGCATTGCAAAATTCAAGCCCACAAATTTCACAGCAGGCATTTAGAAAATTGAACATTTCAAATGTCCGCAGATCGTTTCGTTATTATATTTTCTCAATATCCCTAACACTTAATGCCTCACTCTTTGTTTCAGCTGGTACGATAACCGCCTACTATCAAACCACATTCCCAAATGAGGTGTTCGTCGTCGAAGAGCTGCCATTCTTCATTCTTCTTGGGTTCGTTTCTCAATCATTCATATTTCATGCCAATTTCCAGCATTTTCACCGGCCTCATCGGCGCGCTTTTCGTCTGGTATCATCGTCAAATCTCATTTTTCAAAAAGAAGAATCGCCTATTCAAGGCTGTCTTCGCCAACAAGTAATACGAATAAGTCCAAATCGCGAAGTTCAAATGTTTGAATTCATATCAATCACAAATAATTGTTGACAAAAATCGGTTGTCTCCGGTTTTTTTTTTGAAAGTAGTCATGTTCCGCCGCCGGATTATCACATTAGGAGAGAGAGAGAGAGAGCGAAAATAGATGTCTGGTGTTTCGATGAATGCTATTTTTGGCGACTTCCGGCTGAAAGATTGATTGCAAAACAAATAGATTAGTTCAGAAACAGGTCACGTCGTTGAGAAACAGAAAAACGATCATCCCTATCCATCAAAAAACTAAATTAATCGCACAAATCTCGGAAATTCTCCATCGTTTTCAGTCCGATCACGTTCACCACTCTATGCGCTGCGATTTTCGCCGTCATCATCTATCCGGATGGACTCGGACAATACATTGCCGGAAAGGTTGAACGTTTTGAGTGTCGATGGTCGAACCGAAATTCCAGATGACGTTCCGCGAGACGCTTGTCGATTTCCTCTCAAATTGCACATTCTCATTGTCGAACATTTCGTCGAACGGATGCCCGCCAGAGGTTATCGAGCATTGGACCATTGGCAACTCGTTCCATCCGCTTCTCACCTTGTCGCTCTACTTTTTGATATTTGTAAGCTCATCCGAAAAACAAAAAGCCGTCGAGACAATCGTTTAGTTCATTCTTGTCCCGATCTGCATCACGCTGTACATTCCATCGGGAGTCTTCGTTCCATGCTTCGTCATCGGTGCATGCGCTGGACGCATTTTTGGCGAAGTGCTGACCGAATGGTGGCCCGAAGGCCTTCGTGGTCTCGGACAACCGCAAATCTATCCTGGACTTTATGCGGTCGTCGGAGCCGCTTCCTTCACGGGATCCGTTACTCACTCGCTATCCATCGCCCTCATCGTGTGCGAGACCACCGGCCAACTTTGCGCTCTTCTACCAGTATTGGTTAGGCTTGATGAAAGAATTCCAGCCATTATATCTATCGTTTCAGATTGCTTTGATGATTTCCAACGCGCTCTGCGCTTTCCTTCAACCTTCGATTTACGACTCGATCATCAAAATTAATGGATATCCATACCTCGCCGATCTTCCTCCCAGTCGTATGTCGTAAGTGTTGAATCATCAGCTTCACCTCTAAAATGCATCGTCACAGTGTGCATCAAATGAAAGTCGAAAGGATTATGGTGAAGGATATTGTGTATATCACTCGCGATACCACCTACAGAGAGCTTCGGCAGATTCTACTCGAGACGCCGACTCTCCGATCGTATCCATTTGTGACGGATAAACGTGAGTATTTCAATAATCCATACACATGAATCTCATTGATTGCAGAATCAATGACATTATTAGGAAGTGTGGGACGCAAATATCTGGTATACTTGCTCCAGAAGCGACTTGGACCTGAGCCAGAGCTCTACTCGCACAGAAGGAGGTATGAGTTGATGGCGAGGGTTCTCATAAATGAAGGAAACTTTGAAAATAGAAAGAATAGGAATTCCATGGGAATTCCAACTTTAGCTTTTTCATTTATTAAAACTTTAGGACCACATCAATTAAACGAACAATCGCGTAAGTATTAGTCATATAGTGGCGATGGTGTATCCTTGGTTATAATGGGAGCGAGCTGTTCGACTTTTGGTCGTGCTCCTCCCAAAACGTTTTGCTAGTCGTAGTATTGAATGCTATCAATTATAATCCAACTTCTTCTCTCGTGTCTATCGGTTCAGCACAAAATTGTGAAATATTTAGAAGTCGCACCGCATCCGAGATCTTCAGCACAATTCAGAATTTGAGGTTTGTCGGTGTTGCATGTTGATTTGTCTGGTGTTGGTGGTTCTGACATTCACCTACATTTCACTTGTGCTCATCATCATTTTTCCCAATCACACCAGTTTATCACACGCGACTAATCGTCTCCAACTGCACGGCTTCGTCACAGCACCCCAATTGTTGTAATTATTCAGAAAACATTCTAGACGCGGATCATCTTTGAACAACGCCATCAGCCATCATACCTCGAATGGGCATTCGCAGGTTCTCACCGATCGCAACATTTCTGGAAACACGCTTCTTCCGCAGTCGCCACTTCACGAGGAGCAGGTTTGTCGATTTATAGACATAGGTTTAGATTGGAGCTTTTAGGGCGAGCGCAGCCGATTGGCTCCGCTGTTGTACTCGCAGAATGAGCATCACGAGCCAATTGTGCACTCATTGGCGAAACGCGCTGAAATTTTGTCGTCGAAACTGGATTTGGAGGAGGTTGCCATCGATCCGGCGCCATTCCAGCTTGTCCGTGGAACGTCGCTTTACAAGGTCGACAGAATTTGCGAATCGCTTGAAACCCGAACCTTACTGGTTTCAGGTGCACACCCTATTCTCACTGCTTGCTCTGAATCACGCGTACGTCACCGAGAAGGGACGTCTTGTCGGCGTTGTTGCTCTCAAAGAGCTCCGCGAGGCATTGAGCAACATTTATAGTCGAGGAGCTGTCGTGCCGCGACCGAGAGTCCGACTCTCAACATTCCGTTTGAATCAGGATCAAGATGGTGAGAACACTGCATGAATTTCAGGCAGTGTCTTGGTTTTTTTTTTAGAAGTAAATGGAAATGGATCAAGTGATGGTGAAAAGAAGAAAGACGAGAAGGAAGAGGAGGAAGGAAGCGATGATCCACCGCTAGTCGTCACGGCGCCAAGGATCACGTTTGAAGCTCCAAGTGACACGAATATCAATCAAATTGGAGAAATGGATCATAATGATCCAAATCCGCCATCGATTTCATAATATTGAGATTTGTTGAAAATTGTATAGGGTAATGTGTGTTCTTTGGCTCAGAAATTTCCGAGTTGACCCCCCCCCCCAAATCGTATCTAGTCCAGCTCTATATTCTTTCCTAAACTCTCATATGCATTCACCTAGAACAACATCATGTTTAATTTTTTAAAAAAATTTGAATTTTTCTTCGCCCCTCGGTTTTTGTACATACTTTGAACTCACGTTTTGATGTTTTTTTTTAAAGAAGAAGAAGAAGACAAGAGCCGGTGTATTATTCCATTTTTGTCGGTGAATTTCCCCCCGAAAGTGTTAATAATAATTATTAGAACTATCGGATTTTCATTATTAATGTTGATTGTTTATTGATTTTAATGCGAGGCAAGCATATAAAATGTCAAGGCAAATAATACGTATTCATGATTTTGAAAATGTCTCCAGTCATTATTTTAAGAATAAAAATTAGGTATTATAGAGTGATGCCAAAAAAAGAAAGAATATTACATTTATTGTTGAGAAATGACAAATGTATCGAGATGTCGTGGGATCCTGCGTTTTGTACGCAATGTGATGAGCCGGTTACCGTAATCCTCGCAGCGATTTTTAATTTTTTTTTCCAATTTTTCGCTTACTTTTCCTTTTTTTCCCTTTTTTCTGAAGCAAAAATTAATATAATACGAACCGCACAGATTATTACCTTATTCTGTATTTATCTAATAATTATCCATTTGACATGTTGAGTTGGGTATCATTGGAAAGATTTTGGCGCTCTGAAAATTATTTTGAAAATGAAGAATAGAAAAACGAGATAATAGAAACTCGTACTAAAAGCAAAACATGAATAAAGAATTTTATTAACGACAAAACATTTTATCAACGACAAAAATGTTTTTTTTTATCTCTGCTCTTTTTACCAAAAAAAAATATCGTTTAAAAGTGCATATTCTGTAAAATAAATATTTAAAATCGATCTCCACATATTTTAAATAAAAAATTTCAAAGAAAATAGGAAAATTAAACGAAAAATTAAAAAAAAAATCTAAAATACGAAATTTAAAAAAATCCCCGTAAATCGCTGCGAGGATTACGGTAACCGGCTGATCACATTGCGTACAAAACGCATTATCCCACGACATCTCGATACATTTGTCATTTCGCAACAATAAATTAACAAGACATTAATTTTTCATTTAATCATAACACCATTTATGAATTATTTGAATTGCCACCGTGGGTCTCGTATCGAAAATCCTTTTTTTCGATAAAGTGCAAATTATTTGAGTTGTTTTTGATATGCCCAAGTATGAGCTTCTTTGATTTTTCATGATATCAAATGTCGAATTTCTAAAATTAGTTCAGAAATTTAAAATTTTTAAATTTGACGGGTTTTCCAAGAATTTTAATTTTGAATTTCACATTCGCTTCAATTCAACTAAATACTTCATGTGAAACGGTGAATTTTAAAATCTAAAATTCTCGATTTTAGTATTCCAAATTACTGTTTCTTATCGTCTACAAATAATTGGCTTTACATAATTCGTTCGATTAATTACAGAGAATTGAATTGTAGTACACAAATAGCCGTGGACTCGCGAATTTGAGGCCAATGTTCAATGACTCATACTTTTTGACTTGACTCATGATTTTTGACTCATAAAAATTGTATCATGATTTTTTATTCTTTGACTCATGGTTTTTGACTAGTGATTTTTGACTATTTTTTTTTGACTAACAATTTTTGACTAATGATTTTCTGAGAATTTTTTAAATAATTTAAATAAATTAAAATTATTCTGGTCTGATGAGAATTGCAATATTATTTAAATTTTTGTACATTAACTCAAACCAAAAAGGATTTTTTTATTAACAAAAAACAAAATTATATAATGAAATGGTGGACATCAGAAAATGGGCGAATATTTCCGTAGTTTTTTTATTTTTCTTTTTTCTCCAGACATCGTTAAGCTCGATTCGAAGTTTGAGAGACTTCTAAAAGAATACTAATATTGGTCCAACTTTTGGTTACTACGGTCAATTACCTTTTATTTTCATTTGGAGTTGTCCAAATCTGTGTTGATGTTTCCAAAATATTGGAAACTGATCCAGAATCGGATTCAAAATCTCGATATCTAAAAATTCAAATATTGGTCCAACTTTTGGTTACTACGGTCAATTACCTTTTATTTTCATTTGGAGTTGTCCAAATCTGTGTTGATGTTTCCAAAATATTGGAAACTGATCCAGAATCGGATTCAAAATCTCGATATCTAAAAATTCAAATATTGGTCCAACTTTTGGTTACTACGGTCAATTACCTTTTATTTTCATTTGGAGTTGTCCAAATCTGTGTTGATGTTTCCAAAATATTGGAAACTGATCCAGAATCAGATTCAAAATCTCGATATCTAAAAATTCAAATATTGGCCCAACTTTTGGTTACTACGGTCAATTACCTTTTATTTTCATTTGGAGTTGTCCAAATCTGTGTTGATGTTTCCAAAATATTGGAAACTGATCCAGAATCAGATTCAAAATCTCGATATCTAAAAATTCAAATATTGGTCCAACTTTTGGTTACTACGGTCAATTACCTTTTGTGTGCCAATGTTGGGGTGAAAGAAGACAAATTTACACTGGATTCATTGTTTTGAAGTACACTGTCTTCACTATCATTGTACATTGTCATGCTGAAAGAAAGTGTTCGTACTTCGAATATTTGAAAACAACTTACAGCGATAAATCTTGCAAAAGTCTTCGCCCATTATTTTTACTCTTGTTTGTTCTCTTCCGCATTGGAGCTTTTCTTCCACATAATACTGGCCTACTCAATGTTACCCTTTTTCTCAAACTAACTTTGCGTGCTTCATCGGCAATCTTTTCGATTTCTACCTCTTTTTCTTTTTCCGTTAAAGAACAAACCGCAGCCCATCTAAAATTTTTTGGAAGGTTAGAAAGATAATTTTTTTTTTACAAATGCTGGCATATTTTTGGGAATCGTCTCTTGCAGTTCATATCGGAGCATCCTATGCGATTGTCCGAAGATTTCACATCGACAATACTGCTGAAATAAAGTTTCGGAAGTTCTCCAGCAAAATTTCCAGTAAAAACATACTCATTTGACTTCACTATAAAACCTTCCTCATACATTATTATTTTTAATTTCTGAACCTGCTGGTGTAACCATACAACATGCGAATCAGGATTGTCTGTGAAATTGAAAATAAGAATTTCCTCAGAGATTGGTGAGCACATACCTTGGGCTAAAATAAGAGGTAGTTTTAAGATTGGTCTTTCACGAAACCCTAATTTAATTAGAAATTGGGTTTTTTCGAATTCCCGGAGATTTGAAAACAATTCTTGATGCTCAAATCGTACGACTTCGTCGTAATCTATCACAGATCGATGATAGCGATCGCTTTCGTCTGAAAATATAATGAAATACTCACGACTACTGCAATTTACCCTTCAAGAACTCCATAATTTTCAAACAAGCATCATCAGCACGTAACGGCGATTTTATCAGCTCAGCCAAAATTGAGTTGAAACATTCAATTGAATTCGACGATAAAAAGGGTTGAATAACACCAGCAATCAATCGGCTCCGCAAGGAATTGCAATCGAAAAGGTTATCGAAATTTCGACGTACCCTGAAAAAGGAGAAAAAAAGAAAATTTAAAAAATTCGTTTTTCTTTCATTTATTACGATTTATTTTTTTTAGTTAATATGCTATTTTAATGTTTTTCCTCGAAACGCCAGCATTTCTTTAATCGTATTTCATCGTTGCCTAATATTTAAATTTAAAATATTGAAAATACCAAGCTTTTGCGCCATCATCATCACAAGTCTTCTCAAACAATTCGAGACGACGGTGATAGTCTTGTATGTTCAATGCTCCAAGAAGTCCAGTCTTCAAGTAGTTCGGTCCCATCTGTAGGCTCGTAATTTTAATTGAAAAAGTGAATGTAAATGTTTAAACTTGTCCAAAAACCATTCGGACTATTCTGCGACTATAACTCGAATCCTTAGATTTCACACTATCTGCCAAATTTTTTGATCTGTGTAGTTCACAACGAAGAGTTTGTGCGTGGTCGAATGCGGAAATAGTCTATAGTTCTCTCTTGAAATAGATATATGAGTTAATTGAAGAACCTGGCGATATACGGAGAATGAAGATTCACCGTCACAAATAATTGCAGGAGTTTTTCTTAACTTTTTTGGCTCAAGCTGAGACAAAATCGATTCTAAATGCTGCGCATGGAACGAATGACTTGCGGAATGTTTTCTAGAATGGAAAAGAACTCCCAAAACAAGAAATCGGGGTTTATCGGAACTTCGAGTTCTAAAGATAACTATTTTTTCAAATTCATTTTTGATTATACCGGAATTGTTTTGAGGCAGTCCCAATGATAGTTATAAAAAGATCCGATAGTGTGAATGTTGTATCAATGAATATAACTCCTTCAAACATGTATGCATCTTTTTCCTTCCTGTTCCAATCGTCTATCAAAATTCAAAATAATATCTAATTCTATACAACAATGGCTATCATACCCAAGTATTTTTGAATCGAACTAAGCGGTCCATCGTCACATAATTGTCCAATCTTTTCGCGATGTTGAACTAGTTCGTCTTCAGTTGGCAAGGAATTCAAATAAATGTTACAGTTTTCACGGATTATTATTGACAAACATTCCGATATATCTCCATCACCTTAAAATATTTTCAGAATTTAATGAAACCCAAAAGTAAGTAAGTGTAAGTGAATGAAACATACAATTTTCAATCGAAAACTTGCAATCTGGAATTTTATGAGAAATACTTGACAGTTGATATGGGGTTGCCACTCGTTTTGGGCCTCGTTTCCCGATTACTGCATCGCGCACATACCGAACTTGATTCCGAATCTAAAGTAAAATAGTTCTATTTTAAATATGTGCCATATTTACCTGTTTCTTATTAAATTTAAAACCTTGATCCAAAAGTTGTTTTTTTGTGCAGTCAACCGTACGCCCCTTCAGCGTTTCTCGAATTATCCGAGCTTCTTGATCTGAAAAAAAAATTTATTTAATGTTGTAGGCAAAATTTTACTTGAAAGCCTCGAAGGCTCCTCAATAAGAATTATGTTCGGAGATTTTTTAATGTATTGGATTAAAAAAATTTCGCCGCCAATCTTATGAATTATCTAAAACTAATAATTTAAAAAATACACAAAATAACAAATACCATTTTTTTCAGATCGGGGTTTTCCACGTATTCGCATTTAATTACTTGGTATTTTTCGTATTCTTGGTTCCAATAAATATAAATGGGAGCAATTTTCTTTTTTCCTAGAAGAATAAAATAAATAATTTAAATTGCAAAAATATTATGAACCTTTTTCCCTTCTTGACCATTTGAGGCCATCGTTCATTTGAGGCCATCGCACTTAGGCCACACAAGGCGTCCTTCTTTATAATGAAATATTTTGAACCAATCCATGTTCCATCAATTTTCGATTTGATTTCGTTCATCGATATCGAATATCTATAAAATACAAATATTGTCGAAGAAGGACGAATTGTACAAATTTGAATGACCAAACGCGTTAGCTATTTTTGAATTTTTGCATGCGCCAATATCTATAAAATTCAATTTTTTCAACTTAATTACTCACCGAATCACGTTTTCGTCGTCGGACAAGAGCAAGCCTAAAGCTTCGTGCTTTTTCAAATAATCCGTTTTAGATTGAAGAGACATAACAAAACCAAATGTGAAGTTTTCCGAGAAGGCGACTGAAAGTGATTTATTAGTGTCATAAAGTTAAACGGAACAAATTTCATCTGACATGTAGTTTCAGCATGTAACTAAGAATTACGGCACGAAAAATAGTGAATGAACGGAGAATTTAGGATTGATAGCAATAAAAACATGAAAACGAAAACGATCTGTAAACACAACGGTATAAAATGCACACCGAGCTTACCGTACCAACCACGTGTATTTTTTCCACAACTACTTACATAATGAACTGCAACGTGTTTTATTTATAAAAACTTATAAATTCATTTTCAAAGACTGTAGTTAAAATATTCTACATAGATTAAAAAAAGGAAAAACATAGAAAAGCGAAAAGATTAACTAATTTTTATCTAATTAAATTTTTAGATTGTGCACATTTGAGAAAATGTTACCGTAACGCTGCGTCTTTAACTGTCATTTTTTATTTCTTCTTTTTTTTTTTTTTAATTTTTTGCCACTTTTTGCAGTTAGTTGCTTCGAAATTAATTGAAATGTTTCTAGTTCAATTTTAAGTCTATTTATTATAAATTCACGGCAATTAAGGCTTGAAATTGCGTAAATTTCAATTATTTCTCATTAATTTTTAGGATTTTAATTTTTCCGCAAATTTCGATGTTTACTCCACTTCTCACAGTTTTTTAATAAATAATTTTTTAGGTTCCGTGCGTTGGCAGCACTATTTGATAGATTCAACATTCGATTCTCTACTTCTGTATCTTTTGGTATATTTTTTCCAGTTTTATTGTCTTTTCTCCACGCTAATTAATTAATTTCGGTTTTTTTTTTGAATAAATTTATTTTTTTTTAAACGTATTTGATTACTTCAAATCATTTAAGTTCATTTGGTCGGTTTTAAGAATTTGAAAACAAGCAACATTGCCAAGCAACACTGGACTCGCACAAAAATTATGTTCTTTCAAATACGTTTAGTTTACTATTCATTGATTGCTCGATTGGGTGAATCAAGGAAAAGAAATCAATACTGCCTGCTGCAAATTTCCAAATTTTCTCTATCAGCCGAACAACTAGTTTTATTGCAGTATATATATATATATATATATATTGAAATCTGCAATAATTTACATATATTGTCGGCGACAAACGACTGAAGAAGGCGGGGCCTTCAACTTCACGAATTCAGTGTAGATTTAAATTTTTTGTTAACTGAATATTAAATGCGCGTACGCTATAATGCAATGTACGCAATCTCGCTGCCTCGAGACGCATTGGCACATAGCCGATATTTGCTTACATTTCGTCAAGCCGTTTGACTTCGATAATATGTATATTCTCAGAAAATCATTAGTCAAAAATTGTTAGTCAAAAAAAAATAGTCAAAAATCACTAGTCAAAAACCATGAGTCAAAGAATAAAAAATCATGATACAATTTTTATGAGTCAAAAATCATGAGTCAAGTCAAAAAGTATGAGTCATTGAACATTGGCCCGAATTTGAGACGCCATTGATTGATAATAAATTTGAATGGCCGTCATAAGGTCTCGTATGGAAATTGTTGCGAGGAGCAAGAAAATATGAAGAAAGATATTAGCAATTTAAATCCTGCGGTTACGGTGAATATCACGGTGTTTACACACACACCTGAGTTGGCGCGCAAATACACGATGTTGAGTTGTTGGATTGTTTTAGGCCCGGACCCGAGTTGCTTGATTGGTTTCCGTTGTTATTTATATTTTCCTACCGTGCGGCTTCATTATTATTTTTATTCACATACTATCCATTCCCCCGGCTAGCCATTATTGTTATTATTATCCGTTAACTAATTAAATTGCGCTTCGTTCGTTATTGTTGTCTAACGCTTACTTTAGATAAAGTTTAAATTGTAATTCGAGTTTTCCGACTTACAACAGTGGCGATCAGGAACAAGAACAAAAAAGGGATAATCGTAAAATGGGAGATAACAAAGACACGGCGATGTTGCAAATGATGAAATTGCTGCAAGAGCAAATGGAGTTAACGAGGATTCAGGCGGAGGAAGGGAGGAAGCAAACGGCAAAGTTTGCGGAGTTGGTGGAGCGATTGTCCGGAAACGCGCAACAGTCAACAAAGTTGGAAAAGGTAGAGGTTAGCGAGGCTTCCATTATAGCATCATTAGCTGAGCGGATACCAACATTCGATTTCAATCTTGAGGATAATCGCACGTTTCCGAAATGGTACAATCGTTATGCAGAAATGTTAAAAGGATTATCGGAAGACGGGAAGCGCCAACTGCTATTGGAGAAGCTGTCTGAACCCTGCTATGAGCAACTGGTGGCTGCGCTAAGACCGAAAAGATGCATTGAGCTAAGTGTTGAGGAGCTCACGGAAACTTTGTCGAACATATTCGACATTAAACGGTCTCTTTTTGCATATCGGTTCGCATGTTTGCAAATATCCAAAGCAGAAGAAACGCCTACGGAGTACGCTAACAGAGTGAACGAAATGTGTGAAAAAGCGAGACTGGAAGAGTTAAGCGCTGAGGACTGGAAGGTCTTTTTCTTTATAAAAGGGTTGGATCGCCCCGCCGATGAGAAAATGCGGACTCATTTTCTGCATTTCATGGAACGAAGGACCACGGAACAGAAGCAAACGACAATAAAGGACTTATTCGCTGAGTGGATGAGGATCTTAAGCCTAAAAAAAGACTCGGAAGAAATCGAAAGGAGGTCTATGGCTGAGGTAAGCCAAGTTCACAAAAGAACCTCGAGGCCCGAGTGGAAAGGTGGAGACCAGCGAACAAAGCAGACAAATCGGAGCAGGAGTCGGCAACAAAGAAAGGTATCGAAGACCAGGGAATGCTGGAACTGTGGTGAAACAGGGCATTTCAAGAAGGAATGTCGTAAATCCGCTGCAAAACCCAAAAGGACGTTTAGCGTCGTATCGAGCTGCACGATAAACACTATTAGGAAGTTCTTACCGGTAAGGGTAAAGGGCCAGTGGATCGATTTCCAAGTGGATACCGGAGCCGACATTACCTTGATCGGTAGAGTCGAGTGGGAAAAGTTGGGAAAACCAACTTTGGAAACAGCTGACGCCAAAGTCATATGTGCAAATGGATCCACAATGGAAATAGACGGTCGATTCCATACTGATTTTGAACTAAAAGGATCCACCGGTCAAGGTTGGATATATGTTCGAAAAGAAGGAAACCTGCTTGGATTAGATTTTATCAATCAATCCGAACATATGGCGTACCATATGGAGCGAATGGTAAGCCAGGTCGAATCTGTAAAAAAGGATTGGGCCAAAGAATTACAAACAAGATTCCCAACCGTGTTCCAGGAAGAGCTAGGAACTTGTGTCAAGGAGAAGGCCCACCTGGAAGTGAAAGAAGGGGTAACCCCGGTGTTCAAGAAGGCCAGACCGGTCCCCTATGGTTCGCTAGAAGCCGCTACTACAGAAATCGAAAGACTCGTCGGATTGGGAGTCATTGAGAAAATCGCACACAGTCAATGGGCCGCACCGACGGTTATTATTAAAAAGGCCAACGGTAAAACCCGAATGTGCGCCGATTTCAAAACAGGATTAAATAATAATCTTGAAGAAGATAAGCACCCGCTACCCACTCCACAAGACATTTTCACACGTCTGAATGGTGGAAGGATCTTTTCCCAAATCGATCTGGCAGATGCGTATTTACAGATCGAATTGGATGAGGAGTCGAAGAAATTGTGTGTAATAAATACACACCTAAGTCTTTTCAAATACAACAGACTGCCATTCGGAGTGAAAACGGCCCCAGCAATTTTTCAGCAAGTGGTCGACAAAATGATCACAGGTCTAAATGGAGTAGCGGCGTATCTTGATGATGTAATCATCGTCGGAAAAACCGAAGAAGAGCACAGTAAAAATCTAACAGAATTGTTCCAACGAATCCAGGAGTATGGATTTCGAGTAAGAATGGAAAAGTGCACATTCGGAAAACCACAGATAGAATTCCTGGGATTTCTATTAGATAGCGACGGCAGACGGCCAAACCCAACAAAAACAAAAGTCATTCGAGAAATGCTACCGCCCGACAACAAAAAGAAGTTACAATCATTCATGGGAATGATCACATACTATAGTGCCTTCATCCCAAAGATGAAAGAATTGAGAGGTCCACTGGATCGTCTTTTACAGAAAGACACTCCTTGGAAATGGACCGATGTGGAACAGAGTAAGTTTGATGAACTAAAGGATATTTTAGGATCAGATTTAAATCTCACCCACTTCGATCCACAACTACCAATCATTGTGGCGGCCGATGCGTCAGAATATGGAATTGGTGGAGTGATCTCACACAGGATGCCAGATGGATCGGAGAAACCGATTGCGCATGCTGCCAGATCACTAGCAGGAGCCGAAAAGAATTACGCTCAAATCGAAAAGGAAGCACTTGGCTTAGTTTTTGCAATCAAACGATTCCACAGGTATATTTTTGGTAGAAAATTCATTTTAAGGACAGATCACAAACCGTTGCTGGCCATATTTGGAGAAAAGCGGGATTTGCCGATTTACTCACAAAACAGATTGGTTCGATGGGCAACGATGTTGATGGGGTATGATTTTTCTATTGAATATGTAAAAACCGACAGGTTCGGTCAAGCGGATGGACTATCCAGGATGATGCAGAAAGCACAAATTCAGGACGAAGACATCGTAATCGCCGAAGTCAAGGTGTTAAATGTGGATTATTTGGCTGAAGGGGTAAGAAAATTACCATTAACAGTGTCCGATATTCAGGAAGCGACAGCTACGGATAAGGTGTTGAAGACCGTCATCAAATACTGGAAATCGAATAATTGGCCAAGAAGTAATCAAGTCGATGAAACGATAAGACCGTTTATCACGAGGAAAGATGATATCGCAGTCACTGAAGGATGTGTGTTATGGAAACATAGAGTTGTCATCCCAAAATTATTGCGAAACCAGGTATTGAAGCAACTTCATGAGAATCATCCAGGTATCGAGAGGATGAAGCAATTAGCCCGAACATGCGTATATTGGCCAAAGATCGATGAAGCATGCACCGAAACGGTAACCAGATGTCGGAAATGCCAAGAAAACCAGAAGACGTCGGTGAAAGTTCCGTTGGAACCATGGCCAAAGCCGAATCGAGCGTGGAGCCGCATCCACATCGATTTTGCGGGACCAGAAAATGGAGTTTGGTATCTCGTAGCAGTAGATGCATTGTCTAAATGGCCTGAGGTATCGATCACAAAATCGATTGCAGCTTCCACAACAGTCGCATTGTTGAAACAAATGTTTGCTAGAAATGGATTGCCAGATACAATAGTATCAGACAATGGAACCCAGTTTGTTTTAGAATTATTTACACGAATGTGCCTGGAGAATGGCATAGAACATATCAAGACACCAACGTATCATCCACAAAGTAATGGCTTGGCAGAAAGATTTGTGGATACCCTCAAACGCGGACTCAGGAAGTTGAAGGGTGAAGGGATCACATCACAGGAAACGCTGGACAAATTTCTATTATACTATCGCTCAACACCGATGGATTCAATTGGAGGTATCTCACCAGCAGAATTACATTTAGGTCGGAAATTAAAGACTAAGCTCTCACTAATGTTACCAGGAAATGATCAAGGAAAGTCCCAACAAAACTTGTCGGACAAACAAAGGATCATGAAGGAACATTTTGACGGGAGGGGGGTTAAAGAGAAACACTTCCAGGTAAATGATCGAGTTTTCGTAAAAATCTATCGTCGAAATCGATGGACTTGGGAAGAAGGTATAGTGACGAAGGTGGTGGGACCAGTGATCTACATGGTGGATCATGAAGGACACATAAAAAAGTTCCACGCCAATCAAATGAGACCAAATAGATTGGTAAAGAGTCCAGAAGAGAGGTGGTTTGAGACAATGACTGATATTTTCATGTTACCCGTATCACATGAAATAATTTCAGGAAATCCAGTGAATGATCTGTGCACCAATCAGTCGAGTTCAAGCAGTGACAACGACAATACCCATTCGCCACCGGACAAGCCAAAGTCAAACGAACATCCCAACCAGAAGTCTTGCCATGGACAAAGTCAACCCTCAAGTTCAAAACATCGTCACAGTCAAATACCAGTAGCAATCGCAAAGGAGTCAGCAGGATCAACACGTACGAAAGGTCAGAGACAAAATATTTCCCCTTGTATAGGTCCCCCTGAGGATAGTAGATCTATGTCAAATGTATGTGACGCGCTAGGTAGCCAGCGTACGGTGTGTGTTAAACCCAAGATTGAACCGAACACCCAGGCAGGCCCTGAGGATCGTGCCAAGGACGTACCCGCAAGCATTCTAAAGCGGAACCAGGACGCTCCAGAAGTCAGTTTACGACGCAGTGCAAGAGTTCGGAAACCCATCGTACGATTTGATCCCAGTCCACAATGAAGACCCAACTTATATCAGTCAGCAGCCATAGTTATCAGTCAGCAACCAGTCAACGGTCATTGTGCACAGTCGCTATATCGTCATATCATCGACGTCATCAACGCCAACACCAAGCAAGGATGCCCCAATTTCTTTTGTCGGGGGAGATGTTGCGAGGAGCAAGAAAATATGAAGAAAGATATTAGCAATTTAAATCCTGCGGTTACGGTGAATATCACGGTGTTTACACACACACCTGAGTTGGCGCGCAAATACACGATGTTGAGTTGTTGGATTGTTTTAGGCCCGGACCCGAGTTGCTTGATTGGTTTCCGTTGTTATTTATATTTTCCTACCGTGCGGCTTCATTATTATTTTTATTCACATACTATCCATTCCCCCGGCTAGCCATTATTGTTATTATTATCCGTTAACTAATTAAATTGCGCTTCGTTCGTTATTGTTGTCTAACGCTTACTTTAGATAAAGTTTAAATTGTAATTCGAGTTTTCCGACTTACAACAGAAATACTCCTAGAATCTAGTTTTTTTAACTTTGTTAATTTTATCAAAGTAGTTCTCGATTAACATTTTTCAAATTCGTCCCTCCACGATTTTTTTTTGAACTTTGTAATAATGCCGACGAATATGTACATATAAGGTGTGCGATTGTGTTTTCTCTACGTCATCAAAATCCGATCGGAAAACTGATTTGCTGCCAATACCTAGTTTCATTATTGTTCCGGTCATGTGATGACATCCATTTTAGGCGACCACGTGAATCCAGAATATGTTTGGTTTCAACGACCATTTCTCATAAAGTTTTTTGTATTTTTTTTAGTGCTCGACCCTTCAATTGTCGGCAGCATGGTGTTCACATATGTAGCAATGCATCACGTCATGTATTTATGTAGTCGATCACAATTTGACTATATAAACAACAATGAGAAACTGATTGTTCCAAAGAACTTTCTAGTCGATCTTGGCCGCTTAAGAATTTCGATTCTCGCGCGATTTGCGAGTCTGGTGGTGTTGGTTTCGAACTGATATATGACCGTAATCGGGTCTATCAAAGACTGTTCAAATTTCCTTGACAAACGATCACAAGAATTTTGATCGATGAAATATTGAACTCAAGATGGAGACGACCGACCGGCGACGTCGTCGTCGCGATTTCGCACTTCGTCTTTGATCTCGACACGAATGAAGTCGACAGGAAACACGACTAAAATAACAATATTGGAAAAAAAATATTTTTTTCGCATTAATATGTATGTATTTATGAGCCAAACTAAAAATAGACATACTGATCGATAAAATACGAATGATATTAGCATAACCGATTAGTTTGAAATGGGGTCTCGAAAGGAAAAATGTTCGAAAATCTTTTTTACTGAAATACTGTCCTCTGTTTGTTCTGATGTGCTCTTGTTGTAAATAGCTGAAGACTTACATTATAAGAAGTTTCGCATATTTACTTGAACTTGGGTCTCGTATGGAAAAGGACAATTTTCCAGAGGTTCTCAAGAATAGAATTAAAAATTTTTCAAGAATTCAACCATCGGATAGAATTTCTGTGAAAATCGAGAATAAACCAGGGAAATTTTGTTTTCAATAATTTTTTCAATCTGCGGACATTTTTTGAGGGCCTGCAATTTGTCCGCAGATGATAATCAACTTATTTCGATTTTCTGAGGAAACGCTTTTAACAAACTTGTTTCCAAATTTCGATTCAATTAAATTTGATCGGCAAGCCTATATCAATTGTCCAATTTCGGTTCAATTCAATGGTCTTTCTCCTTCCGCAATCTTATCTTTTCTTTACAGTAATGCAACTTACAGTATACCAAGAGGGGGATGTCCGCAAACACGCCAGCGAACTTTTGCGGACTCTAGACGTCACTCGGCGAATGAGAACAAATTGTATCAAATAGATAAAAAAAAAATATGAGAAAATAACAATTTATTAAATGTACAACCGGTATGTACAAGTTCAAAATGAACTCAAGAGAAAAATGGAAAACAAAATGAAGAAATGAGATCAAGATATGGGGGCTTAGAGTTGGTTCATGCTTTTAAAGGTTTGTAGATAGAGAGCACACTATTATAGTGAAAATAAGCAAGCGTTGAAATTGAGTACCTTTCAACTAGAGTGCTATTTTGACCGGATGGCAAAATTGGAATAATTAAAGGCGTTGCTCAACTTTTTCGACGTCGAGCTCCTTGACACGCTCGTTCTGAAGATCCATGACTGATCCGGGACGATGGAAGTCGTCGGATGTCCATTCGCAAGGCTCGCCTCTGACGAACACGCAGAAGATGAGATTGGTGACGACCATGACGGCGGCGGTGATCAAGAACACCCACGACCATTCTTCTTGGGTGTTGTTGTGGGTGAGCGCGTTGACGACGAACGGGACGATCAGCATTGTGATGGTGATGCCGAGAGAAACGTTGCCGGTGACGAAATGACTGTAATCAATTATTGGTATGAATGAATGACTCATGATGCGTCTTGCTTCTACCTGTACTGCTTCGACAGAATCGGTCCGGCTTTGAAGAATCCGCCGGTGGTGGCTCCCAGCAGGCCGGCGGAGATGCCGAGCACCACCATGTTCAAATCTTTTCGCGAGTCGCCCATGAACGCGAGAACTGTGAGGAATACTGCCGAGCCGAAGAAGGCGACCGAATTGAAGATTCGGAATTTGGTGGCCTCGGAGATGAAGTGGATTCGGTCGGAGATGGCGCCGACGATCAATTTGGCAAGGAATTGGAGAAGTGGCGGGATCGCCGAGCTGAGACCCGTGCTGTGAACAGGGAAGCCGAGAACTGAAACAACATTATTTCGACGACATCGGATCCTCATTTCCTACCTTGAGATAGATAGGTTGGACTGAACAAGAACATCATATTGACGCATGTGAAGTTTCCGATGGCGGCAATCCAGACGGCCCAGATGGCTGGCGTCTTGAGAATCGGTCCATACGGGATCTTTTTCAGAGCGCGTTTGCTGAAATCAAATCACGTGTTCGATTGTTGATTGATTGCGAAACACGTCATACTCGACATTGGCGATTTTTCCGATCGAGATTTTCTTCAATTCGACATTGCCGACGAACGGATGCTTCTGCGGCGAGTTGCGATAGAAGAGGCCATAGGTGACGAACAAGATGAGCGAGACGGCTCCGTGCGCGTAGAACACCGACGGCCATTGGAACGCGTCGCATAGGGCGCCGGAAGCCGGCATTGTGATGGCTGGCGCCAATTGGACGTAGGCGACGAGCGCCGACACGAACAAACCGCTCTGTTTGAAGTAGGACCATTTGGCGCAGAACGAGCCGATGACCGGAAAATTGGCGGCGAACGCGAATCCTTGAAGGGCGCGAATCGCGAGGAAGTAGTAGAATCCCATCTGATAATTTGTTTTCATAAGCTAGAAAAAATAAAAGTAAGATTTTCGGGCGAACTTGAAACCAAATGCACAAGTAAGCAGAAAATCATACCAATATTTTCTCCGAAAAAAAAAAATTAAAGACTTGTTTTTTTTTCAACAATAAAAAAACGACTCACTCTAATCGAGACTGGGACGAGAAGTGTCGACACTGCCGACAAGATTCCCAAGCCGGTGAAGACGGTTCGGATTCCGACGAGTCCGACGAGTTGAACGACTGGGAAGTTGCCGATGAGCGCGGCGATTGCAACAATCGACATCGCCCACGATTTTTGGACTGAAAATGATTGACGATGAGAATCGACTTCGATTTCGAATCGCTTACAATTCGTGAATCCGTCTTCTAGATTGCCGGTGTTCGCCGTCGAATTGTCGCCGGCGTTCATGCAGATAACGGCAAAGTTGAACGCAAGGATGTTCGACCTAAATTTGATAGTTGAGACGCTTCAAAATCGTAACCGATCTACCATATGGATGTTAAGCATAGCAGAATCAACACCATGAGGACGAATCGGGTCCTCGTGCCGAACAGGCTAATATAGCGGGTTTGAGCTGTCGCTTGTGTTGGAAATACCGAATCGGCCATCTTCTGAAATATGAATTATTATTATGTGTCGATTAAGCGGTTTATGATTTCGGGGTCCTAATACACAATGAACCTGTATCACAATAATAAGAGATGGGACGAGGAGGCCGTCTGTAGTAATAAATGATTGTTTAACACAAAAAGGAGAAAAAAAAGGCGTGAAGCGGTCTCATGATTGAGAGAACAAGTGTTCTGAGGAAGTTGGCAAACTACGCGGAGCCTTATATAAATATCGTTTAGTGTGGGGCGGGGAGTGTGGTGCGTTTTTGGGGGTGGGAGAGTGGGTGGGTGGCATAGCACAAACGCACGGGTCACAAATTTCGGGGGGCGATCGCGATGGGCGGGGCGAACACGAGGCGGCGAAATATGTGGAGAGAGATGAGAAACGACGGCTTGGAGATGGACGGCTACCGAAAAAAAAAATTGAGCGTGTGGATTGCGAAGAGGGCCTAGATGATGAAGTCGTCGGAATTCGATCAGTGATAATCCGCGCGCCTCACTAGGAAATGATACAATAACATTTATTTATGCAATCAGCGACGAGAATTTCAAAACGATGGCTTTGCGAAACGATCTACCTACATTAACCCACGCTGATCCGAAAATCAGTTTTCCGGAACATATTTGCTGTTTGACAACACCATTCTCAGTGACAACCGTCGTTTCCTCTCTCGTCAGAATAACTGCCGACGGCTTCTTCTTCGTCTTCTTCTCATCGTCACAGCGGTCGGGCGTCTAGAAGAAATTCGGATGAACGTGCAGTGATGACGAAGAAACCTACCATCGCGAGCGCGTTTCGAATCAGAAAATGTGTCTTGTCAAATTTTGACCTCCCCTTAGCGTTCAATCTTATATACAGCGCCTAGTTTCGCTTCTAGAAGATTCGCATTCTCTCCAGCCGGCTCGACGCCTTCAGATCGGCGGATCGGAGAAAACAACCAACTTGCAGAACCAGCGATGATCTCCGATATTTCTCTGTATATCATTAGTCAGCGACCTCCGAATGTTTTATGACTCCCAATTACAGAATTCAAATGATGTTGTTTGTGTGCGTGTGCCTTCAAGGACAATCTCACACGATTCCAGAAAATTCGCGAAGACGTTGGAATGATGATTCCACTCTAGAATTGGAACCTAGAAGGTTAAACTTCAAAACTCGGCGAACTATGCAAAATTTTTAAAAAACCGTGCCCAAATTGAATATTCATGAGGTTCGTCTTCTATATTTGAAGAAGAGAAATGATCACAATAAACGAATGAATCAAACATCACGTGGGATCATTAAATTCCAAAAAATGACCTTCACGTGAATCTGCAGATCGCTCGGTCTTCTATCGACCACATCGGACAGCCGCCAACATCGTATTAATAGTATATCAAGTGTCTTGCGAGAGAAAAAAAGCAGTCTACTGATCAATTACGTCAGAATCACAATCGTAGCCGCTTACAATGCCCCCAAGAACATTGCATATATATGAATTGTATGCGGGCCTCCTCGAAACGCATAATCATAGAACACGAGGTGTCGAATTGTACAGTTGTTAAACCGATTAGCCAACCAAAGACAATGCACAATATTCAAATTTTTGGGGCAGAACACGCAAAAGATCAAATAACCTAATAGTAATCAACTAACCTTATCTTCGACGGCTGCTCCTACCGACATCGGCATTGTTGACATGACGAGTTGCTGAAGAATTATATTTATTCGTATATGAATGAATGGCGGTTTTTATGGAAAGGTCGTTTGGAAGATCGGAATGGATGTGCAACAAAGTCAGAGATCAGCATAGTGTATAGAGTGCGCGATTCAACGGAGTCGCAGTTTATTCGGATGATATCGTTATTCGCCGCGTTGACCGCAAAATTTTATGGCACTCTGGGTCCACACTATTCGCGAGCTCTATCTATATAACACATATCATCGATCAATCCGATCTTTAATAGTCGTGCCAGAGAACACATTGTGGTCCCGACGCGACGAATATGTGGTTTGAAATCGAAAATCAAATATTTTTTGTATTGTATATTTATGCAATATTTAATGATGAATTCGGATTAATTCGTTGACGATCCCATTTTGAGATTTGATGTCGGTCGGTGCATGGGAACGAAATATTGCCAAACTAGACATTCGATTTTTTTGGTTCGGTTCCATAATAATACCAAAATTTTATAGAAAAAATCGAGTATTCTGATTACTGTATTTTGGAAAATTCAACTAACTTCCATTACATTCACACCAAAGAAAGTGAAATTAGTTTGATTCGCAGGTTGTCCTATTGCGGTATTCAAATTCCCAATTTGAATTACCGCGGACAAATTGTGCGCAAGTATCTTTAGTGGAAATTCAAATTTCTCTCGGCTACCGTACTACGGATAACCTGCGAATCAAACTCATAGGAAATCGGCAATACAATTTTTCGTAGTTTGAATTTTTAGATTATTGTTTTAAAATCGAAAAATTAAAATATTGGAATTAATTTTCGCACAATGAAAAATGTTCAATTTTCATTTACAGTATTTCAATAGAATTCATTTTCGCATCGAGACCCATTTATTGGCAAAACACAGGCGCAAAGTTCTTCAATATTACAATTATGATGATATATTGCTACATGAAACAAAATGTTCTGGTTTTTGTCTGACAAGCGATCAGTAGTAATACATACATACGTATGACTAACTTGACATTCAACATTTTGATCTCGTATGTCTTTACATAGTAACAGTTTTCGCTGTTCTCTGAAATATTGTCTTGGAGTATAGAAATGAAAGACAAAAGGTTTGAAAATATGCAAATACATATTAGTCATTTAAACACAATACAAACCACCAAATAGTTTTTTTATTGTTGTATTATATTTGGAAATAAAAAAATGAAAAATTCAAAGTGTGAAATGGAATTTTGCGAAGACTGGAAAAAGGATTGGCTGATGGATTTTTTAATCGAGCCATAAAACTGTGAAAATCGAAATGTGGTTTTGCCATTTTTGTATTTATTTTTTATCAATTCATCGAATTCATAGTAACGAACGTTGAAAGCGGAACTTTTTCAAAAAAGCAATTCTCAAAAAAATTAGAAATCATTTATGAACCGAAATTAAAAAAATACTTTTGCGCCAGATTTTGAATCCCTCATTTTTAGAATCAGAAAATCGATATCTCAAAAGTTCAAGTTCGGAAAAATAATGTCCTGCACATCAAACTTTATTCTTGGAAACAAGGGTTCTCTTTTTTTGCGATGGCCGCATTTTTCGAAAAACCACAAATGGCCGCAAAATTCACGGCCATAAAAACTAGTCCTCGACTTGTCTACAGGGTGTCATTTAAGTTCCCGCACAAAAGTTTGACGCCATGAAGAGCTTGGCTGTCGCACTTTTCGTGCACCAATACAATTTATTTTTGTTAAATAAGGTATATTTTACTTACTTTCCAAGTTTCACCTCATTCGGATGTGTTTCCCAGAAATGGCGAAGGCTAACATCCATCGCGCTTCCATTATCGAATTTCATAAGCAAAATGTGAGCCCGAGAGACATCATTCAACGGGTCGGTGTGCCTCGTAGAACGGTTTATGACACTATCAAACGATTCAAGGAGCTAAATACGACCAGTGACCGTCCCAGACAAGGAAGACTCGTCTCAGTAATCACTCCTCAGAAGATCAACGCCGTTAAATCGAGGATCAGGCGAAAACCCCACAGGAGCATGAGAAAGATGGCGTCAGACATGGGAATGAGCATCTTCGCTATGGAAAAAATCGTCAAAACGAAGCTTGGACTGACCCCATATCGTGTCCAAAAAGCGGCAATTCTATCGGCCGTCAGCAAGCAGAGACGCTTCGAAAAAGCAAAACGACTTCTTGCTCGCACGCGGTCTGGACAACACCTCGTCACTGTCTTCTCCAACGAGAAGCTGTTCACTGTGGAGGCGGCATTCAACTCACAAAGCCATTGAGTACTTGCCCAGACATCCCAGCAAGCTTCTGAGAAAGGAAGAACAATTCATCGAGCCTCACATCCTGCCAGTGTGATGGTTTTCGGTGCCATCTGCTCAACCGGGAAGTGCCCCCTGGTTTTCGTGGATCAGGGGGTGAAAATGAACAGAGAAGTCTACGTTCGGGACATTTTGGAGAATCATGTGATGCCCTGTACCCAAACGCATTTCGGTGGGCAGAAATGGGTCTTTCAACAGGACGGAGCACCCGCCCACACTGCCAAAACTACTCAGGAGTGGTGCCAGACCCATTTTCCCGACTTCATCAAGTCATCCGAATAGCCTGCTTGCTCCCCAGACCTGAACCCGCTTGACTTCTCCGTGATGGGGTCTTGCAGGAGAAGGTCAACGCAAAACCCCACTCAAGTATAGAGGCTCTGAAGAAGACATTACTGGCGGAATGGGACAATCTTTCCATCGAATATCTGCGTACCACAGTCGCATCCTACCCGAAGCGTCTCCGTGAAGTCATAGCTGCGAAAGAAGACCGAATCGAAAAGAGTTAAAAGATAATTATTTGTTATACTATAGAAAAAAAATATTTCGAGTCTCGTTTGATTTGTACTTTTAGTTTCAGAAATATACGTCTTCAAAGTTGTGCGGGAACTTAAATGACACCCTGTAAAAATAGGAACCAAATTCTTATGGATTTATTCATCAAATCCAATAATTTTTTAAATTTTTTTCACATTTCCGCCTTGCAAAATGGGTGATTAAAAAAAAATTCTTAATTACATAAATCCAATCGATTTCTTCGAACTTCCCGCATTTGAAATATTTTCTGCCACGGAACTGCTATTATATTGTAAAAAAAATAGAAAGTTTGAAATAAAACATTTGTTGTAATATTGCCAAAAGGGTTTTTTAACGTTATAGTAGAAAGAATGAGATTTATCGCGAAAAACAAACTCTTCAGAGTTCCTACCTGCGGTCAAAATAATTGCTCAGCGAGCGTGAAACAATGGCACCAAAAAAAAAACAAAAATGTTTTCACACAAAGGAATTATCAACTGTATTTACTTGTCATGTTTTCGACAAATTATTATTATTATTTGCACATTGCTTAACTTCTTCTTTGTATTTCCCAAAGAACACATTCATACACTTGAATTTATTATAAATTTTGCCGGGTTTTATTATCAATGATGCTATCAATTCCAAAAAATAGATTGCACTTATGTAAAAACATATACAGTTCGAGATAAGAGCATGTAAATCAACATGTCGGTCAATGAACTTTTATTTCCTTTATGAATGAATGATGTGCACCTTTAAAATTGGTTTCCACTCAATTCAAAAATTGCTGCGAGACCTTATTTAAAAGTTTGAACAATCGACCTATATGGAAATCAAGAAGACCACAATTTTGAAAAATTGGGGATGCCTTGACCTATGGAAATGTGCGAAAAATTATGATAAATTCAAAACAGCCAAATATGGGCAAAACACTAAAACCCCGAATATTCCAAACATCTGCCAACGATGAAAGTTTAAATATGAAATTCCTGGATCATTTGCATTCGTCCATCAAAACAATTTCTATTATGCAAATTCGTCTTGGCCGTCTGGTTACTGTAGCTAGCGGAAATCGCAAAACACAGTATCGACGACGTCTTCGGTTTTTTCATCGCTAATATCGTGCGATATCAAAAATAGACTTCCGGCGATTATTTTTAGAAACCTACCAATGTCATCGTCGTCTTCGGGTGATCTCGTTTCCCATATCATTTCACTACGGTTTGTTCTCCTCATCCATCGTTTGATTGATATTGACAGTCGATCCATTCGTTTCTGCAAACCAAATCATACCCAATTGTGTACACATAAGCCCGATTTGTTTTTTTTTTTCTTTTAATCGAAGCAGCTTCAATTTCAAATCACAATTCTGCCGTCAAATGATCAGAAGGTCAGCGTCGAAACAATCGTAAATCTCGGCGCCGCCAAGCAAAGAAGTCACATGAAGATTTTCGAATGCTTCGGAATCATAGAATTTTCGTGACAAAAATGATCATTAAAATTCAAAAAGTCACAGGGGACTACAGGGTGTCATTTAAGTTCCCGCACAACTTTGAAGGCATATATTTCTGAAACTAAAAGTCCAAATCAAACGAGACTCGAAATATTTTTTATCTATAGTATAACAAATAATTATCTATTAACTCTTTTTGATTCGGTCTCCTTTCGCAGCTATGACTTCACGGAGACGCTTCGGGTAGGATGTGACTGTGGTACGCAGGTATTCGATGGAAAGATTGTCCCATTCCGCCAGTAATGTCTTCTTCAGAGCCTCTATACTTGAGTGGGGTTTTGCGTTGACCTTCTCCTGCAAGAGCCCATCACGGAAAAGTCAAGCGGGTTCAGGTCTGGGGAGCAATCAGACCATTCGGATGACTTGATGAAGTCGGGAAAATGGGTCTGGCACCACTCCTGAGTAGTTTTGGCAGTGTGGGCGGGTGCTCCGTCCTGTTAAAAAACCTATTTCTGCCCACCGAAATGCGTTTGGGTACAGGGCATCACATGCTTCTCCAAAATGTCCCGAACGTAGACTTCTTTGTTCACTTTCACCCCCTGATCCGCGAAAACCAGGGAGCACTTCCCGGTTGAGCAGATGGCACCGAAAACCATCACACTGGCAGGATGTGAGGCTGGATGATATGTTCTTCCTTTCTCAGAAGCTTGCTGG